GTTGTCCCTCAACTCTCAAGACACGCCACACAGATTCGCTGCATGTAAGCAGGTACCGTACCTAGTACTCATTGAAGCAGATTGAGCAGATCTCAGCTGCATTACAAACTCGATTCAACAGACATTCGCAACGCATATACAACCCTTTTGGACATAGAATGCTTCTTGGTTCATTCACCGTATTATTCCATGGCATGATACCTCAGAAAGGAAGACAATAAGCACAAAGGACCAATGGACACACTGTCAGGGGACACAACAGAACAATGCGGGTGTGCCAGTACGTCACGGATAACTCTTGTGATCTCTGGGCTGCATTCTCAGCCCTTGCGAATTTCGATTCCAGCTATCCCTAGGCACCAAGCTGTCGGTGCTAAACATAGCGGCAGACTACCTAGCCTTCTTTCGCTTGTTTAGCGAGGGGGGTTTTGATTCCTCTTCCGAATCCAGGATGTCGCTGGCCCCTTCAATGTCAACATCAGACTCGTCTTCCATGTCTTCATCCTCGCTGGTTTCCTCGGAGCTATTCTCGTCTTCAGATTCTTCCTCCTCATCCTCCTCATCACTTGTATCGCCTAGGGGTATCATGTCTTCTGCGCCGCCGTCCTGAACTGCCTTCTCAGCTCCATCTTCCCGCTCGGATTCGCTGTCGCTCGAGAAGCCCGAGAAGTGTTCGTCTTCTTCCTCCTCTTCCTCTTCATCATTGACCGCTACCGTAGAGCCTGCTAATGAGGTATCGGCGACACTCGCAGTCTCATCGCGTTTCCTCTTCTTCGGCATCTCTCCGAAACGGCCTTCTCGGCCTTCAATGACGGCCTCGTCGCCCCCTTCCATAGCAGGCGCGGGTGTGAACCAGGGAATCTTTCCCCGCATAAAGTCGTTGAGGACCATCTTTGCAACACCATCAACATCCGGTTCGCCGCCTTTGAGCAGTCTGCCCGCTTTCCTAGCCAGAAGCTCGAGGAACTCCATGTGATCTTTCCACCCCTTCAGCTCATACGTCCTCTCCATATGATGCGTTTTGACTTTAGCCAGGACAGCGGGTATGTATTGCTCCGGATTCTCAACATTCTCCACACGGACGACGCCGCGAAGGAGGAGATCCTGGGGAGTATCATGGTGGTTGGGCGGCACAATACCCGGGCAGTCGATTAGGTATATCCGCTTCATCAAAGTGACGTACTGCCAAACCTTGGTCTCACCGGGAATAGGTGCCACCTTGGCTACCGCTTTGCCGCGCAGCGCGTTGATGATGCTCGACTTCCCAACGTTCGGATAACCAATCAGGCCCACACTGATCTGTTTCCGATCCTTGTGAAGGATGCTAAATTGCCGCAAAAGATCAATCAGAGATCCACGCCCGAAGGGGTTCTTGATGCTTGACCTCATTGCACAAGTAGGGTGGTCCTTCTGAAGCACGCGAATCCATGCGGCCTATATCTGTCAGCATCTGAACGACGCAACGATGAAAAGAATATAGTGTGGCAACTTGGAATGTGTGAATCATCACTAAGAAGACAACCATGCGCTGTCCATGATGGACAGTGGTGGCCTTCAACTCGTATAAAACACTTCCGGTATCCGGCGATAGTGCTCCAAAACGGAGACCATCAATCCCCAGTCTGAAAACCAAACCAGGGACGTTGGAAATGGAGATTGCTCTCCCAGGGATGTAACGGACAATCTCCCATTATAAGCACAAGAGTGCGGAAGGATCCTGACGAAAGCCCTGGGGTTTTCGCAGTAACCCCGTTGCCGATGGCTGTATCAGGTGGAACCACAGGGCGAAGTAGGGTGAGGGACGATGGATAACTTTGGAGGTCGTTACAATTGAGACGATCAAACTTACTGCTGTGCTTGATGGTACCAGGTCAATCTTGTTCAAAACAAAAACAAGGTGTTTATGCGGCGCCTCGGCCGCGAGATACTTTTCGACGTGACGGCTGCGAGGGATGAGTCAATACAGAAAATAGCATCAAAGACGGAGAGAACACATACCATCTTGTCCCAAGGGGATCTCGAGCATCGAGGACATGGAGAATGACATCTGATGAATCTATCACCTTGTCTAAGTGGCTGTTAGCAGATGCATACGAAGAACGGCGGCCAAGCGAGACCCACAAAGCTCGTTCCAAATCCGTTTGGATTGGCCCTTGGAGAAGATTGCCTCCTTGGCTGTCGCGACGCTGAAGTCTTCCTCCTCTACCGGCGCATCACCATCAACAGCGGCGGCCCCTGCGGTGCCGTTCAACAGCCGAATTTCCTCCAGGCGAGACTGATATGAGTTAAGACTCTCTTCGGTGTGACCCGCTAGCTCGTCAACGGTATTGAAACTAAGCTTCGGCCGTTTCCTTTGTGCCTTGGGCCCAAAGGTCTCGGAAAAGGGCTCGCTCTCAATCGTCATTTTTGCCTGATGCTTCTTGAGGCCGTCTTGGAGGTTGGGGGTATCGCGGATAAGACTCATAGGCAGTTTGTTGCTTTTCAGCAGAACTGAATATGGGTCCTTCTCCTTCTCAGCGATCGCCTCCCTAAACGATTTGAGGGTGTCCTGGGAGATGACTCGGGTGTTTGTGAACCACCTCCGGTTCGGTTCAATGACGGCTTTGGGGACGTCCCTGCTCTGGTAGGACGCCGCCTTGACGATCTTGCCCTCTTTGTTCCGGATAGCCTTGCCCTCCTTGTACATGTTGAGGGTCTTGATCTTCTTGGCCGACCGGTAGAAGTTCTCGCCCTTGACCTTTGGGTCGCCGGTGACCTTGCCCTCCCGCTGGAGGCGGGACTTCTCCTTTTTTCCTATCGCCATTGGTCAGTCGCAAGCGGGACGACTTAGATGAACGGTAGAGGAAGACTTACCTGTCCCCATTTTGCCAGCTGAGTTGGCGCCACGGAAGAATAAAAAAGGGGAATTGAGAAAAATAGGACCCGCCTGCAAAGAATTGAATTGCAGTGATCTTCCACGAGGGGGGAGAAGGAGCGTGGAAGACGGGGAAGAAAAAGGAGGAAACGAGCTGTGAAGAGAGGATGCGCACCGAAAATGAAGTTTTCCGAGCGGTGGAGCTTTCCGAGCTTGAAAGCCTCGATGAAAATTTGGCGGTGTGTCGCGGCACAACATGCACGGACGAACCCCGGAACTAACTACGCTAATCTCAAAACAGATTAGCGGGTTGAGCACATCCACCGAGCTTCAGAATTTCCAACTGCGATCGAACATCACATCTGCGGCCGTCTGGTCGGATTGACTGCTTTTTTCAACCTCAATCTCTTCCGGCTCGGGACTCACTCTGTCAAATCTACGGACTCGGATCTCATCAATCACCCACACAAAAATGCCGCCTCCGCTCTCGCGGCCGTCAATAAGCGGCCTCCAAGCCGCCCTTTCCTCATGTCGAATCTCGACGACCACAACCAAGACCAGGACATCAACAACAACCTCGGCCTCCTGCGCCTCCTCAACCTCGCCATGGCGAGCATCATTTAGCACCACCTCCACGCCCTTTGCTGCCTCCAGCGGCGTTACCCGCGTGCCTCCACAGTCGCCCAAATACATCCAGCTACCCGAACCACCGCAGTCATCCGAGTCGAAACCCCCCCGCGTCCGTGGCCACCTGCCCGTGCCGCGCAAGATCTTCCGCGCAAGCGACGGGCACCTCAAAGTCCAATCCGGCTACGTCGAGCGCATCATGCCTTTGTCAGCCGCCGAAAAGGCCGGGGCCCCGCCAAAATCCGAGCAGGAAGAACGCCGCCGGCGTATGGCTGCCGCGCGGCGCAGCGCGTTAGCCGCTGGTCTCCAGGGGCTCTACGTGCGCAAGGTCGCCCGGGAGCGACGCCTCGCGCGGCGCGCGGCAGCCCATCGTGAAGCCAACCTAGCCGCCGCGACCGCGCCGGAGCGAATCGACGATGTTCTCACCCGGCCCAGTGTCCGGCTGGCGACCGCTGAGCAAGTCGCTGTCCAATTGGATCCGGACCGATTCATCAAAGCCGACCAGGCGCGCAAAAAGCACGCGGCCAAGCTCGCAAGGGAAGCTGAGGCGCGGGGCGACGCGCTCGCGCAGCTGTACGTCGCGGCCAAGGACTTCATTGTCGACGAGGCTGAGCTGGAGCAGCGCATCGAGACGCTGTTCACGGCCGATTACCACCGCCACGGCGGGCTGAACAAGGGCATCAGCATCTGGGACGTTCACCATGCCCCCATCAGCGTCAACGAGCTGCGGGCTGAGCTGATGGGCCAGTCGTCGGAGAAGATACTTGATCGTCACAAGGCGCCGTCGACGAGGACGGCTGAGCGGCAAAAGACGGTGGCCGAGGAACTCACTGGTGGAAAGCTGGTATGAGCCGAAACTGCCATTGGGTAGTTGGGTTTTGCTTCCATTGGGGGGATAGGAGGTTGCGAAAAGATGTTGGCTTCTTTGCCTAACAAGTCGACGCGTGTCACAGCATGTACAAATAGAATTATCGCCGGCGAGGCTTTTCCGCATATTTACATGAGAACTTGCATGTGTGACTGATTGCACATGGAATTTGTATAACTAGCATATATATGTTTGTTATATGAAAGGAGTACAATTGAAAATGCGTGCGCCGACAACGCCGAAATCCATCACGTCACCCTCGCTGTCCTCTCTGAAACCCATGTTGCTTGCTACCCAGAGCCAACGAAACACGGTCTACCTCCCGTAAAACGAGACTCAACGCTTGAATACTGTCCGAACTCTATCCGACTAAATCAGGGTACGAAGGCCTTCGTTCCCAATACTCATACCAACGCTCAACCGCCAGAACAGCGAGCATTATCGCCTCTCCACAAGCAGAATATGCATTGCCGCGTAGGCTAGCACGATAAATACAGCCCCAAAGATGCCCAGGTTTATAATATCCATCCACATGGCTTGGTTGTCGAAGCCAAAGGAGCTCAGGATCGCCGCGCCAGGCACTGTGATGTCAATGCCAATCTTGTGGTCGACCAGCGTCAGTTGGGTGACCTCGTTCACAATCAGCGCCTCAAAGCCGTAATGGAAGATGGAGAGCCATTGGAGCCAGAGGGCTGCGGGTGGGATGGCGTTGTGATTAAGCAAGAGGCCAGCAAACAGCAAGCTGAAGAGCATGACCAAGCTCCCAATGAGGTTGGCGACGCCGTGGTCTTTGCAGACGATACCGATGAACAGGCAGATGGCGGCCGCTGCGAGGTTGAAGAGGACCAGAACGAGCATGAAAATCATAAACTTGTCAATCTGGGCAACCAGACCGGTCATTGGGTAGACAATGGCCCCAAGCAGGATGGGGGGGATGATTCTCAATGGGACAATGTCGAAGAGGACCTTAGCGGCGAAGTAAGTGATTGGTGAGTAATACCCGTTAGCTCTCTCGCGCACAAAGAGCAGCCGCTCCTGAGAGAATACCGACAGGCTGGTCAAGGTGCTGAATCCAAAGAGGGCGAGGACGAAGAAGAACAGGCCGAGCCTATTCTGGAACCCGGCGATGTCCATGGTCAGACCATAGAAAAGATAGCCAGCAAAGACGGCCAGGAGTATGGCAATTGCGTAGTGAGTCAACATCAACATCGGGTTCCTGTAGAGGTTCCTCCACGTTCGCTGTGAAAGAAGTACGAACTGCCGCCAGTACCCAACGCGGGCGTACCCCTTCCCCATGGTGGGGAGGTTGATGTTGGGCCCGGCTTCGGCATATCCGTTGGAGTTTCGACCATTGCGGTTAGTTGCTGCAGTGACAGCCTGCTGGATCTCGTCATGCGTGTTCCCCGCTATGTCAGATTGGATATATGAATGCACCAGAATGTCGAGGTCGGTTCCAGTAGGTGCCGGTGGAGGCAGGTCGTCATGGTCGTCCGGCGTAGAGGTTGCTAGCGGCAATCTGTGCGGGGGGTGCCGTTGGAGCTTGTAAGCCCCAAGCTCGTCACCGGCATCAGAGGAGGCCGCGGTATCTACTGCTTGTTTGCGTCGAGTGTAGAGCTCTCGCTCCTGTCTGAGTCGAACCGAGTCACGGCGTTTGTTCTTGGGGCGAGAAGACGTTGCTTCAGCCGTGCTGTCATCACCAACGCTGCCAGACACGCTTGCGATAGACTTCACCGCCCTTGTGCTACTGGGACCAACGCTTGCCGCGTCGATGGAGAGAGTCCCGTCATCGAATGACGAGGTGGAACTGGCATGCATTGTCAAGTCCACAAGGTAATCCGCAATGTTGAAGCCAGGCGGGCAGCTGTATCCAATGTGATCGAAGTAGTCCTGGCATTGGTGCAACGGGCCAGAGTAGACAGTCTTGCCCTGGGCGAGCAGGATCAGGCGGTCGAAGAGGGCAACGATGTTGGACCTGGGCTGATGAATCGTGAAAATGACAGTTCGTTTGTACGTCTTGGCGAGGGTGACGAGACATTCAATGACGTTGTAGGCGTTGTACGCGTCGAGACCGCTGGTAGGCTCATCGAGGAAGAGAATGGACGGGCTGGTGACCAACTCGCAAGCAATACTAACCCGGCGCTTTTCTCCGCCGGAAATGCCACGTCCTTTGCCCTCTTCCGAACCGATCAGAGAGTCCCGGATGTGGTGGATTCCCAGCTGCTTTTCGACTTCGAGCACTCTTTGCTCTTTTGCTGCTCGGCCCATGTCCCTCGGAAGGCGTAGGAGGGCACTGGTGAGGATCGTCTCGTGCACGGTCAAAGTGGGAAGCATGGTGTCCTCCTGATCAACAAATCCGGTTGCGTTCTTGTAATCGACGTCGCTCACTTTCTCGCCGTTGACGTAAAATTCTCCAGAGACTTGACCACGCTTGTTCTTGCGAGCAAGGATATCTAGGAAGGTAGTTTTCCCTGCACCTGAGGCACCCATTATGGCGGTGATTTCGCCTGGGTGAGCCATGCCCTGGATGCCTGACAAGATTTCTTTGCCGTTCAGACTGTAGGAGACATTCTGAAAGTACAGAGATGCCGGCTTGTGGTCTGTCATGAGCTTGATGGCCTCATCGTCCGAGTCGTCCAGATGGATTGGCCCGTACTTGAACTGTCGCCTAGACAGGTACCAAGTCCCGAGAATGACCGCAACCAGGAAGAGCGCGCACCCTGCGATGACGCCAGCGATGAGGGGCGTATTGATCTGGGGTACTTTTGGCGAGTATCCGGGCACTTCGGTATGATATAAACACTCCCCAGAGCCGCATGTCAGGAGAATGCTGGAATCGCCAAAGATGTCGCTAATCAGGTTGTTCATCTCCGGTTCCTGAAACGCGCATTTCTTCCCTTCCCCGGGTCGTTGCGTACATTCGAACTTTGCGGGGCCCTTGATCATGTTAACCAGGAAGTCACTAATATCAACGGAGCCATTCTCGCCGCAAAGCATGCGGTCGGGAATACACTCGCACGAGATTTTGTTGCACTTGTAAGACGTCGAGTTCTTCTTGCCAGATGGGTCGAAGTCGGCGCTTGATTCGCACTCGTTCAAGTGGCACATGAACGACTCGCGCTCATCCACCCAGACTGTGACATGTGAGCAAGCCGGACGCTGTCCGTCCTGGAAGCAGCAGCAACTCACATTGAAAATCGCACTCGCCGCTCGGCTTATCGCAAGTGAAGGTGACCTGAGGCACTTGTTCCCCGAGCAGGTCTCGAATTGCCTTGTTCGTAACGTCGCACATCTGGTAGTTTTGCTTGACGACCTCGCCGCCAGTGTAGCAGACTCCGCCATCACCCGTTTCTGTCAGCGCATCGCACGCCCGATCGCTTGTGCACACATTGCAATTGATGCCCGTCCACCCCTCATCGCATTCGCAAGATTTTCCTGATCGCACGGTTCGATCTGGACCTCGAGCTAGAGACCCGCATACTGTAGGATCATTGTAAGACCAGGGACTTGGCAGACGTGGGAAGGCATTGGGGTACGCATACGAGGCTCTAGACAGTTATCCCCGCCAAAGCCTGCCGGGCAGTTGCACTTGCCGCTGTATTCGCTACAAGGAGCGAACTGGCCGCAGGAGTAGATGGGAAGGTTGCAGTTGAAGCTGGAAAACGGAAGGCAATCAGCAAGAAATGTTTCAAGCAGGAGACTGGCGGGTTTTAGTTCCAGCGCCGTACCATGGCGGGCAATCCTTAGGCCTATCCTCCATAAGGGCCAGCTGCGCGCGCATCATCTCGATTGATGAGGAATGATTGTAGGCAGAGGTGAGACATGTTAGCGACAGCGCCACTACAAGGAGCGCGCGATGTGGTTTGAGCGCCATGATGGCGAGGCGACGTCAATGAGGAGCTTATCCGCAGTCCGTGATGATGCCGTCGATGGATGGAAGAAGTGGCAGGAAACGCTTATTGAGAGAGGATGACGCTTGGCCTAATCGGCGGTCACAGTCCCGGCAGGCTGCGACGTACCCCACGACACACGAGGTCGATGGGGCTCAATCGCCAACTTCGAATTGATCGCTGAACAACGAAGTTGACTAAACACCTTCCGGTACGAGTGGACTGCAAGCCTTAAGGTCGATGCAGCCGAAATCGAAATAGTAGGGAGTGAACTGCTGAGAATACGGGGGATAAACAGTACACAAGAAATGATGGAAACACGGCGAGCAGCCAAGCACCGTCAGGTGCGACAACCGACTGTTGATGATGTCGGCTGTGGAGTCACGGAACATTGATCTCCATGGCACTGGGGGTGCCTGGGCGTGGCTTGAGACCCTGCTTCTGTGGTGGGGATGCACTTGGGTCCTGACGATCGGTTGGAATGATTGGAGGACCTCGGTTGGCAGAGTCAAGTGGGCTGCACCGCCACAGTGAGCGTGGCATAAGATGCTCCAGAGACACATGTACTGTTCTTTTGTTACTCCCTACTACGGATACACCCACCTGAGACAGGAACGAACTCAACCAAGCCATCTTATCTTATCGAGGCATGTGCCGTATTCTCCGTATTGTACGGGGGTAGGTACGGTAGCTTTGGTCTCCTTATTTCCTGCGCCCTTTAGTGTACATACCGGTACATTCTCTCTCCACACCAGCCCGAGCGGGAGAGAATTTGATATATAAATATGCAGATTACTCTTTCGTGCCCTGATGTACATATTGTGCGGAAAAGGGAGCTTAGGTTGTAAGAGAGAGCAGTCCGGATAGACATTTGGTTGAAACTGCAGGAACGACTTGCCGAATATACTATTACGACCCTCCATAATCCAGCCAACCCTTCTCGGAGCCCCAAAGTCTACGGCAAACAAGCAGTTGCGCCCTCGCTGTAAGGGCCCGACAGATTTTCACATCGGGTTGTCTGTCGAATGCTTTGAGCTCGAGAACCCCTCAGAATGGTCAAAATCGAGCCGTTCGAAGTGGAGCAATGGTTCGACCGTCTAGAGAACACTCCAGGGGTGCTCAACGTGGCAGAGACGTGCGCAGCATCCGTGTCGTACGATGACCTGGTTCATCTATGCGAAGACAAAACTCTACCAGATCCCCTTCGGCGCTCCCAGAAGCTGACATACGGAGCGATCCGAGGGTCCGAACAACTCCGCCAGCGCGTTGCCTCCCTGTTCGGCCGCGCATCCGAAGCCGAGCCTCTCCCGGCCGGCAATGTCATTATTACTCAAGGAGCTATCGGGGCCAACTTCCTTCTTTTCTACACCTTGATCGGGCCTGGAGACCACGTCATCTGTGTCTATCCTACGTATCAGCAGCTGTATTCTGTTCCTGAAAGCCTCGGAGCCGAAGTGTCTCTGTGGAGGTTGAAGGAGGAGAATGGTTATGTGCCCGTTGTGGAGGAGCTCGAGGGCTTGGTGAGGTCCAATACCAAGGTGAGTGAAGCCTTAGTACCTTGGCTTGCTCCGCCATGTCCCATTTACTGACGGTGGTTAGATGATTGTCATCAACAACCCCAACAACCCGACTGGCAGCACGATGCCCAAGCGTGTCCTCGAAGGCATAGTTGCCTTCGCGAAACAGAGAGGGATCATAATACTCTCGGACGAGGTCTACAGCCCTCTTTACCACTCTCTTCCGGACGGCCAGGATGCACCTCCATCCGTCCTTGCTTTGGGATACGAGAAGACGGTGGCGACGGGCTCAATGTCCAAGGCGTTTTCGCTGGCAGGCATTCGGCTGGGATGGATAGCGTCCCGGGACAGGAGCATCATTGAGGCGGTGGCGGTTGCCCGCGATTACACCACCATCAGTGTGTCGCAGCTGGATGACCAGGTCGCAAGTTATGCATTGTCTCAGCCGGTGATGCGGCCGTTGTTGAGCAGAAACATGGCGCTTGCCAAAACCAACCTGGCCCTGCTCAGCGCCTTCATCGAGCGGCACGCCACGGTCTGTTCTTGGGTGAAGCCAACGGCAGGGACAACTGCTCTGGTGCAGTTCAAGAAAAAGGGGGTCCCAGTTGATGACCCCAAGTTCGTGTTGGATTTGCTGAAAACGACAAATGTCTTGGTTATGCCGGCCAACCCATGCTTCGGACTCGGGCAAGACTTCAAGGGGTTTATTCGGTTTGGCTACGTGTGCGAAACCGAGGTTTTGATTGCTGGGTTAGAGAAGCTGGAGCAGTATGTCAAGGAGCATCTAATGTGAACGGATTGTTATTGAATTGAGGCAGCCTACCTATTGCTCTACAGTACTTCTTCCGGACGTTGTTATTCCCGAGGCCGTTCAAAGCATCGGATGTGACGTGTAAGAGGTCTCCACAGAGCAAACGCGGCGCCTACAGACGACAACCCTTGCCTCAGGTTTGGCTTTGACATCGGTCTGATCTCGAGCGAATACCGGGAACAATGGGTCCTCCGGTTGTTTCATTTTGCCCGTCTCGGTGGCGAGTTGCGCAGAGGCAAGCAGTGTGCCTTGTTTAGGTACGTTCTTATTCAAAATCCGGTCCCGTTCAGCAGTTCCAGTTATTTTAGTATTTGTACGATGGCATCTTGGACCTGAACAGTGGTACGGCGTCTCGAGTTCCGTCCAGTCTACATCTTGGTTTGCATTCACGCCGCCGAGTCCCGGTTCCGAGGTTGTGGCCGCCTTGACATCTCTCGGTCCCAGTCTATCGCGGCAATTAGCCGTTTGCTGCATCCCGTTCCGGTTTTAACATCTGATTCCTCACTGTGTGGAATCTTCTCAGCAAGCCGTCCGCTGCGCCTTGCCCAGCTATTTGGGGAGCATGCTCGGTTTGTAAATATCACTAGGAAATTGCACAACCATGAAAGCATCTGCAAGGGCCGTTGTGGGCGTGTTGCTTCTCGGGGAGGCAAGTGCAGCCTCGATGAATGGCGTCATCCAGTGGGACATACAAAAAAACCAGCGTCCACGAGAACTGAGGAGGTTAGGTAGACGCGCCTCAACGTTCGAGGAAGTCATCACGAACGAGCAAGCAAGGGGAGGCTATTTCGCTACCTGCAGGTTAGGCACGCCGGGCCAAAACTTGACGCTTCAGCTCGACACAGGCAGTAGTGATATTTGGCTGCCGGATTCCAACGCTCAGATCTGTACACGGGCTGGGCGCAGGAGATGCGATCTCGGAACTTTTGACCCAAGCCGGTCCAGCACCTACCAGGTCACCGGGAAGGGGGCGTTTAACATCAACTATGTCGACGGCAGTTCTTCGAAAGGGGACTACTTTACCGATGTATTCGAGATCGGCGGAGCTACCCTGCGGAACATGACCATGGGCCTAGGGCTGGAGACGGATATCCCATACGGTCTGGTCGGCGTCGGCTACGCAGCCAGCGAAGCAATCGTCGGGCAGACGCAATCAACCTCCTCAGCGTACCCCAATCTTCCCGTGAACATGGCTCAAGAGGGCCTAATCAGCACCGTTGCATACAGCTTGTGGCTGAACGACTTGGGTAAGGCTTACGTATATGACCCGGAACGTGCCGTTCATCCAGCTGATGGCATTCTAGACTCGAGCTCGGGAAACATCCTGTTTGGCGGGATCGACACGGCAAAGTACCAAGGGCAGTTGACGAGGATCGACATCTACCCATCCCAGCCAGATTTGTTCACCTCGTTCCGGGTGGCTTTGACGTCGTTGCAGGCCATCAGCCCGAGCGGCAGCGACACGCTCACGTCGGAAGAATTCCCCTTCCCCGTCGTCCTCGACTCCGGAACGACACTGTCTTACCTGCCAACCGACCTAGCTCAACACGTGTGGAACGAGGTCGGGGCAGTGTACTCGCCCGAGTTCAAACTTGCCGTCATCCCTTGTCGCATGCAGAACAGTAAAGGATATTTCTCATTTGGCTTCGCTGGCCCAAGAGGTCCGCGGATCAATGTCACGATGGACGAGCTAGTCTTGGATCTGACGTCTGGCCAGCCGCCTGTCTTCAATACGGGTCCATATAAGGGCCAGGAGGCGTGCGAGTTCGGCATCCAGAATTTCTCCACCTCGCCGTATCTACTTGGGGACTCGTTCCTGCGCTCGGCCTACGTGGTGTACGATCTGGTCAACAACCAAATCGGCATTGCGCCCACCGACTTCAACGCGACCGAGAGCAACATCGTGGCGTTCCCCAGCTTCGGCGCGCAGATTCCGTCAGCAACCGTGGCGCCCGATCAGAGCCAGGCAACGGCCACGTCTAGTCCGGCCGGGACAACATCATCCTATGCGGCCAGCCCGGGCTTCACGGACACTGCTGGGACGGGCAGTGGCGATTCGAGTTCCACATCGAGTATGCCTGCAGCGATTGGAAGGACGCAGATGCTACTGCTCGCCATCTCGATGCTTATGTCAATTCTTGGCTCGGGCTTGTTGTTCGCCATCTGAGCTGCCAACATGGGGCGGCGGATTTTGTGTATTAAGGAAATAGGACGTTGCGGTGGTATTGATACGCTTGTAAATGAAACCGCCCTGGCAGGATAAAGGCGCAGATATGGAGTACGTCCACGGTATCTTTCATGGGATTCTTCCTCAGGGCATCAGTCATACCTAGACACTTTGATGCATGGTCGATTTTCATTCCTCTAGGCCTCTGTGTTCCTCAAAGTGATGGGATTCGATAATTCGAGGGTGAATGGATGCAAAAATATATGTACATACATCAACATACACGGATAGACAGCTTCCACGAGAATGAGTATCAAGGTGGTGATGGAAAGCTTGCTGAGACTCAACCGTGGCGCTCCCGTCTGCGATCCTTGCCCAAATGCTCCCCCGGTCAGCGACCTTCGCTCAGGGTCCAGGGACCAGGACCACTAGGGACTAGGGAGCATGCACAGGCGTGGCACGGCCGCCTGGGCATGCCGGGACCCACTAAAAAAATTCGCGGCACCTTCACCTCAGGCGACGCGAATTCCTATGTTCGGCTGTTCCACAGCCCGGGAACTTCCTTCCTTTCCTCAGTCATTCTTTTATTAGTCCGTTGTCTTTTTTGTGAAGATGCGGGTAATACGGGCTGTGGCAGCGCTCAACAGCAGCCGTGCTGTTGCCTCAAGGCATGGGGCTCGCTGTGCCGGCGCTGTGTGCCGCACCGCCTTCAACACACCCTCGATGCAATGGCAGCCGACTGGCCTCCGATACTTCAGCAGGAGCCCTGCCAGGGCCGCCGCCTCAAGTGCGGCCGAGGCTGCGTACGCCCATTCCAATCCGTCGCATTAGCAAGGATTGGGATAAGATATGCTGACACCGAGCGATAGGATGAGGCAGGCGAAGGAGCTGGCCGCGGCCAACATGACCCCCGAAGCAGTCGCCGCCCGCATGGATCCCGCCGAGAGAAAGAAGCTGTCAATGGTTCGGAATATTGGTATTGCAGTATGTCAGGTCCCCGGCAGGACACAAAAATGGGCGAAAAGTTGGGTCCTGAAGGAAGCCCGTTGAGACTGAGCGGCTAGATAGGCACACATCGACAGCGGCAAGACGACAGTGACGGAGCGCATTCTCTTCTACACCGGTCGTGTCAAAGCTATACACGAGGTCAGGGGGAAGGATGGCGTCGGTGCCAAGATGGACTCCATGGAACTTGAGAGGGAGAGAGGTATTACCATCCAGTCTGCTGCTACCTTCGCCGACTGGAAAAAGGTCGAAAACGGAAAGGAGGAGACATACCACTTTAACCTGATCGACACCCCAGGCCACATCGATTTTACAATTGAGGTTGAGCGTGCCATGAGAGTGCTGGACGGGGCTGTCATGGTTCTCTGTGCCGTCAGCGGCGTGCAGAGTCAGACCATCACTGTCGATAGGCAGATGAAGCGGTACAACGTTCCCCGGATTAGCTTCGTCAACAAGATGGACCGCATGGGCGCGAATCCCTGGAAGGCCGTCGAAATGATTAACTCCAAGCTCAAGATCCCCGCTGCCGCAGTCCAGATACCCATCGGCTCCGAAAAGGAGTTCGAAGGCGTGGTCGACCTGATTGAGATGAAGACTATTCGGAATGATGGGCACCGGGGTACCAACATCAAAGTCTCAAAGCACATTCCTGAGGAGCTGAGGGAGCTGGCTCAGGAAAAGAGGCAAGAGCTGATTGAGAAATTGGCCGATGTCGACGAAGAGATTGCCGAGATGTTCTTGGAGGAGAAGACCCCTTCACCTGAGCAGATCAAGGCTGCGATACGGAGAGCAACCATTGGCCTCAAGTTTACCCCGGTGCTGATGGGGTCTGCGCTGGCTGACAAGTCAATTCAGCCCATGCTGGACGCCGTTTGCGACTACCTCCCGAACCCGGGCAACGTCAACAACATGGCGCTGGACCGGTCAAAGGGCGAGGAGCCCGTACAGCTTATTCCCTACAATGCGCTGCCGTTCGTCGGCCTCGCCTTCAAGCTGGAAGAGAACCCCTACGGCCAGCTTACCTATATCCGCGTCTACCAGGGTTCCCTGAAAAAGGGGCAGTACCTGTTCAACTCGCGCACTAGCAAGAAGGTCCGCATCCCCCGTATTGTACGCATGCACTCAAACGAGATGGAAGATGTGGCGGAGATTGGTGCCGGTGAAATCTGCGCCGTCTTTGGTGTCGACTGTGCATCCGGCGACACCTTCACAGATGGTAATCTGCCCTACACCATGAGCTCGATGTATGTGCCGGATGCCGTCATGTCACTCAGTATCAAGCCGAAGCGGAGCAGCGACGCCGATACCTTTAGCAAGGCCATCAACCGTTTCATGCGCGAAGATCCTACATTCCGGCTCCATGTTGACGAAGAGTCTGAAGAGACCATCATCAGCGGCATGGGCGAACTTCATCTTGACATCTATGTCGAGCGTCTGCGCCGCGAGTACAAGGTGGAATGTGAGACGGGCAAGCCCCGCGTCGCATATCGCGAGACCATCAGCAAGCGTGCCGAATTTGACTATCTCCTCAAGCGGCAAACGGGTGGTCCTGGCGACTATGCTCGCGTTGTGGGCTGGATCGAGCCCAACCCGGAGAACCCCGAGGCGAACCACTTTGAGACCCAGGTCGTCGGCGGTACCATCCCCGACAAGTACTTGACTGCATGCGGCAAAGGCTTCGAAGAGGCCTGCCTCAAGGGCCCGCTACTCGGGCACAGGGTCATCGGCGCGTCCATGGTCATTTCGGACGGTGCAACACACGTTACCGATTCCAGCGATTACGCCTTTAACCTGGCCACGCAGATGGCTTTCCGCAAGGCGTTCCCCGACGCCGGCGGCCAGGTCCTCGAGCCGCTTATGAAGACAACCATCACAGCACCCGCCGAATTCCAGGGTAACGTCCTTATGCTCATGAACAAGCGCGGCACCATCATAGACACGGAGATTGGCGCCGACGAGTTCACCATGATCGCTGACTGCAGTCTCAACGCCATGTTTGGTTTCAGCACCCACCTGCGCGCTGCCACGCAGGGCAAGGGCGAGTTCAGCATGGAGTTTAGCCACTACGCGCCCGCGCCGCCGCATCTGCAGTAAGTGATCCTCTAAGCGCTCCTTTCTTTTAGAACGGTTACTAAACATGCTTTCCCCCTACAGGAAGGAGCTCATCGCTGAGCATCAGAAGGAGCTGGAGGCCAAGCGGACTAAATGAGCGCGGCTCTCACGGCACCTCTTTTCCTTGCTGGAAAACACTTTGGCCATCTCCTCCCCAAGCTGCACCAGCCCTCGGCTGAACGGGAAGCATATACGGGCTATAGCCCTCGCTAATGGAATACAGTCGGCAGAGCTCGGCGTGTGGGTCAGACGTCTAGACCCTTACAGGATCGGATTCCCCTGGCTGGTTTGGAAAATGGATTCGGTGGATAGATATGGGATACATGGCGTATGGGCGGTAACGTCCCAGAAAAGAGGCGGTCCTTAGCATGTTGGGCGACGCTATCACTATGGGTCGCCATGTGTTGTATATATATACATGTATGTTCAAACTGTTGTATGATACACGATGTTCCAACTAGATGGGTATGGTACGCGCATAAAGGAGTTTAATATGGATATCATCACTCATCTGACCGGGTTGGATTCGGGATAGTTTCCAGATACAGGGCGGATGGGCCTCTTACCACATTACACGCGATGAGTATATTACTGTACTTGCAATTAACATGGCCCTTGTCTCTTTACTCCCGAAATGCGGTCCGTCAACTATCAGGCCTCAACAACCTCCTTTTCCCTGTTTTCCCTCTTGCACTCAGGATTTCATCGCATGTGCCTCTTTTTTCCATGCCCTGATCCCAATAAAATCCATATATTTACAAAAGGATGGAGTATATATCACAGCACGGATGTACTCCGAGTTTCCCTGCTCTTCGTGCTTCTGAATCTGGCATCCGCATTTAAAGCCGCCTCAGAACATCCTGAACGACTTCCTCCGTCGTAGCCTTGCCGCCCAGGTCAGGGCTGAGAAGCTTGCCCTCCTCGAGGTTTCCATCCACGGCGGCGTAGATCTTCGCAGCCGCAGCCTCCTCGTTAAGGAACTCCAGCATCAGCGCGGCGCTGCGTAGGGTTGCAATGGGGTTGGCGATGCCCTGGCCCTGGATGTCGGGCGCGCTGCCGTGGCAGGGCTCGCCAATAGCAAAACCCTCGCCGACGTTGGCGCTGGGGACGAGGCCCAGGGACCCCACCAGCGCCGCGGCGCCGTCCGACAGGATGTCGCCGTACAGGTTGGGCGCGACAATCACGTCGTACGCCTCGGGCTGCCTGAACAGCTTGTACACCATCGAGTCGACAATCTGCTCCTCGACGGCGACGCCAGAGTCCTGGAACCGTGCCGCGGCGAGCGCCTCGCGCGCCGTGGACCGGAACAGACCGTCGGTCTGGGACAGCACGTTGGATTTGTGTGTTATAGTGACGAGCGGGCCGTTGTGGATGGATGGAGCCCCGCCGGCGCGGATCTTTTGGCGCCGCAGGGCGATTTCCCCGGCCATGGTGGCGATGCGGCTGCTGGCGCGCTGCGAGATGCGCTTGATGGCCTCGGCGACCTTGCCCTGCGGGGTGTCGTACGTCTTTTCCTCCTTGACGTACAGGTCCTCGGTGTTTTCGCGGACAATGACCATGTCGATGGGCTTGGGCGCGGTGACGACCGTCTTGACGGGGCGGACGTTGGCGTAGAGATCGAGCTTTTTCCGCAGCGCGACAATTGGCGACGAGTAGCCCTTGACGGCCTTGGTCGGGGAGCTGACGGCGCCGAAGAGCGCACCGTCGCAGTCGGATTTGAGGACCGAGACCGTCTCCTCGGGAAGCGCGACGCCGGTTTGTTCAAAGGTCTCCCAGCCGGCCTTGAGGTCGACGAACTCGAATTTCAGGCCGAGCGAAGCCGGAAGTGCTTCGAGGATACGACGGCCGGCGGGGATGACTTCTTTGCCGATGCCATCGCCGGGAATCAGGCCTGAGCAGGCGAGTCAGAAGCAAGCTTAGGACGGTCATGGGGGGGTTGACGGTTGGAAAAATGTAAGATTCAAGATCTCGGGCGTTAAAATTTGCTCACCAATTCTGAGAGTCCTGGCTGCCATGGTTGCGCTTCAATTGGCCTTTGTTCGAGCTCGTCGAGCAGTCAAGATTCTAAAAGTTTGGGCTTGGAAATGGCTCTACGGTAATTATTGTGGTACCGGTAACTTGGGTCCGGGATCGGAGTGTCGGGGAGTGCCTTGTAGCCTAGCCTACAGTACATACATATACCTAACCCTGGTTTGGGCTCCTGGCCGTCCCACCCACGGTACTTAACTGTGAGGCTGTGAATAGCTTCGGTCTCGTCCAATTACAGTTAAGTCAGCCTGCCGAATGATGAATCTGGCAAGTTGGATGTGACTGGACTCAGCATGAACCTGTGCAGTGTATACTCCGTACATGGTACCAGTATGTCTATGCAACTTTCCACGGGGAGGATGGGGGAGAGGACTCAGAGAAGAGAAAGAGAGAGGAAGAGGGGGGGTTTATACTGGCACGAAGCAAAGAGGGTCGAGTTGGACTTGCCTCCTTTATGGGCATCCGCAGACGAGGTCAGCAGGAACGACCTAGGCACCGTGTGCTTGGGAGCCAAAAGGCAATTTTGCGTCTGGCGGTTGAAAAACATGGCAAGCAGGGGGGGAGGACTAGTAGTTCGCTATTCCAGGGCTGGTTGTTCTCTCTTGTATTCCGTCCTGATCCATGTCAAGATTTGTCCCCTAGCCAAACATTTCGGGGCTCGGTCCAGCACCTGGCGTAGGGCCTTAGTATCTCGGAGCTCTTGCTTTGCCCACTCCAGAGTAAGCTGAAGCTCCTCGGCGAACAGGCGAAGGCCTTGATCACATATCGCAACCAATCTGATTCCAGCTACGGAAGCAGCTACCCAGAGCAGAAGCATCTTGACTCCCGGATCCCCAGCAAAGGCGCCGCAACCCCACAAGCCCGTTCGAACCTCACCGAAACCGCCCGCTGAGAAGGCTGTGCACGCTTTTCGAATCTCGCGGTCCACGTTCTCCCGAATCAAATCAGAAAGGCCGGGCTCTGTAGTCTGCACAAGGTCCAGCTCGAGGGCATCCATGAAGAGCATAGTTCTCTCCCGCCAGCCGTTTTCACCGCCAGGCGGGACCCCAATCTCATCAATCACGATATTCCGGCCTCGGCCAGAAACATTAACCATGGCCTGAGCGCCCCTGACAATCAGAACCTGATCATCCTTGAGCGGCGGAGTGACAAGCACAGCAGGACAAGCCTCTGGCGACGTTCCCACATGCACCTCCTCTTGCGTAGCAGACTGCCCGAAGCCAATGAACCTATTCGCCGAGACAACGGCGGCTCCGCCAGGCAGGCCCAGGCTCGCGGGGGAGGTATCGTACCTTTCCATGACCAACACCTCGGCCTCTCCAAGCGGGCTTCCCTTCCCTATCTTTTCACAGAGCACGTCTTCCTCCTCGTTCATGTTCCCACTGAGTGCCCGAAGGGTGTAGACAACCTCCCATTCCATCCTCGGCATCCCGATCCTGCCCTCGTCGCAAACCACCTCGGCAAAATACCCCATCAGCGCCCGCAGATATGCCCTGGCGGCGCCGGGGTGGCGCTGGTGCTCCGCTCCCGCATACCACACACCAAAATCGCACAGCACATCCTGATCTTGACCCCACGGTGGCGTGGCTAGCGTGCGCAAGAACTGGTGCACCACCAGACAGGCAGCTTGCCGGCGCGAGAGGGACAGAGAACTTGAACTCGAGGCGGACCCACGCCCCAGCACCGGGATCCGGCCCTCGGGAAAGAGCAGGGGCATCTGCAGCGCCGTTTGCACCAGGCGAGGCCAGACGCGCTGGAAGAATGCCTGTTCTCCTCTACTAGTACTGGTAGTACCACTGTCACCATTCAAGTTGAAACTGTGACTGTGAGTGGCGATGGCCTCGCAAAGGAGCGCATAGTCGCCCGCGGGATGGGCGGTGCCGCGCAGGGTCACCGAGATGGTGTCGAGAAGGGAGGTTAGGGCTGGGAGGGAGTTGATTGGTTGGGAGAGGATGGAATGGAGGAGGGGCCAGAAGGGGACGAGGCCGTCGGCATCTTCAAGGCTCTGACCAGCATCATCATCAAGAAGGCTGAACCGATCAATGCATTTGTACTTTCGTGACGAGGGGAGGATGTAAAAGTCGGGAATTGCCAGTGGAGTCGCCATAATCATATTGGGAGGTTAACGGCTCAAGCTTTTGGGTGAGTTAGCGTGGAGAGCGGACTTGTAAGGGGAATGGCAATATACTGGGAGAAGTGTCCATGGTCAACTTGTTGGAGTGTTTTGTAGTCACGTAGTGTATTCCAGCTTGGGGAGTCAGTTAAGGTAGAGAGAACCTACAAGGTTATCCTCGCGACGATAAGGCGCATTCTGCTCAGCCAAGGCTAACTCCCGTATCCGGACAAGTGGGAGAACCGCGGCAGCCGTTCGCAGCTGACGGATTGCTTCAGGGGGGATAAGGGGGAACTCAGGCTACTCAGCAAGGCCACTGGCAGCTGCTCTCCATAGGGACTGTATATCGACGACTGCTAAAATATGCTCACAGACACATAGCAATTCCCAAAGTCAACACGTCAGTGTCTTGCATGGCTGAGGTCACGGCCTTGATCCAACATTACTAGTCAAGGTGTAGACTGGATCATGGATGAAGGGGCGAGCCCTTATTCCCCTACGCCGACGATGGCGGTTCAAAGCCCTTGAGGCGGGGAGACATTCCGCACCCAGCCAAGCCATTTGCCGTAATGTGCACAGTGAAGATGACGGCTGTTGCAATTTGCTGGAAAAGGGCAGTCAGGGGTCGAGCTAGGAGTGCGTTGGTACCTAGGCTTGTGTTGACCCAACCGTTTCATTGATTGTAAACAGCATAGGAATCTGATAATCCGAAGCATCATGGCCTAGTAGTACCATAATAGTTCTAGCATCTTGCTGTCCCATAGCTTCCAGATGACTGGTTCCTTTCACATGAATCATGGTGCTGGCAAAATCACAACAGCTACGGTACTGTCTTTTCACACAGTCACACTATGGCTTGATAGTGCACACTATAATGATACTATTTGATTTACGAACTTGCTCCTACTACATTTAGTAGCTGTCATGTTATGATACTGGTATTGAGAAGATCAACTTATAAGTCCTTTTTTTTCTCCATACTACTTACCTTAGATGAACAATATAGACCTCTCTAGGCGTTACAGACCCAGTCTTTCGAGCAAATGTTGATGGTTCCGGACCTCCGGTTAGGTCCGTCCGAGATGCGGCCTACCCGCCCCAAGATAGTATATGGCGAGTCGTTACCCCGACTAGACTGAGAGCTCCGGGTCCGACCCCTCACACCACCTCAGTCTCGCTATATATGGATAAGAGACACAATTCTGTATTTGATCTGCCCACAAGGTCGGTTATCGAACTTGAAGTAGACCACCTATTTCTCTTTGACTCAGCCTCCAAGTCATCCCCGGCCATTCTAAGTCCGGCTCAACGGGTTCATAACACGAGACAAGATGCCGAACAAACTCCTAAACTTGCACACTGTTGACGACGTCAGTTTCCCTTACATTTTTGAGCAGAATGCAACTGTACAGCTCAGATCCGGCGGTCTGGTACGCTGCAATGTCTACCGACCCAAGACCACGGATCCTGTCCCGATCCTGGTCACGTACGGACCGTACGGCAAAGACATCCATTACAAGGAGTAGGATGATCCCGTCATGACAGCGAGACACACCAAGCTGATTTGAAGCAGCTTCTCACCCAAGTACCCCGAGGTAAACCCCCGGCATCAATCCGCCCACTCGGCTTGGGAGACCCCTGACCCGGGCTACTGGACCGAACATGGCTACGCCGTGGTTCGAGTCGACGAGGTAGGCACTGGCCAGTCTCCTGGGATTCTCGATACCATGTCTCGGGGTACCACAGATGCCTTTGTCGATGTTGTCGAGTGGGCGGCGGATCAGCCGTGGTCTTCTGGCAAAGTCGGTCTGCTGGGCATCAGCTATTACGCAGGCAGTCGTACGTACAACTTGAACTTAGCAGTCTGAAACGCACCATATTACCCCTGAGAAGCAGGACTGACAATAGTAGCCAGAATGGCGCGTGGCTGCTCGGAAGCCCAAGGGTCTCTCGGCTATCGTGCCATGGGAGGGCATGTCGGACTATTACCGGGATCGGTGCCGGCACGGTGGCATTCTCTCCAACGCCTTCATCAAGTTCTGGTGGAACAGGCAGGTCATTACCAATCAGTACGGCAGACCAGGAAAGGCAGCTTCCAACTGGGGTCCGGGTGTGTGTTCTTGCATCGTCCAGGTCTAATAACATAACTGATGCATGTCAGACACCATTGAGGGCGATCTCCCCGAAGAGGAACTCGCTGCCCATCGCCGAGACCAGACAATCGACAACCGGGCCCACCGCTTCCGCGACGAGCCCTACTACGCCTCCAAGGAATACGACATGGGCGACATCGAGGTGCCTCTCCTCTCAGTCGGCAACTGGGGCGGCATTCTTCTCCATCTCAGGGGCAACGTCGAGGGTTTCACCCACGCCGGATCGAAGCTCAAGTACCTGCGCATGATCACGGGTCGCCACGACCTGCCCTTTTACTACGACGAAGAAGTCGAGATACAACGAAGCTTCCTCGACGCCTTCCTCAAGAACGAAGACCGAGTCGGGTGGTCTCAGCCGGGCAAGGTGCCGCCCGTCAGCCTGGTGCTGCGCAAGGGCAATGTCGGCTTTAACGACGCCGAGAAGGAAAAGGCTTACCAGCGCCGTGAAGAGGACGAATGGCCCATCGCTCGGACGGTGTACACCCGCTTCCACCTGACACCCGACCTCGGCCTACAGCCTGAGCCCACGCCGTCCCCAGCAGCAGCAAGCCACATGCAACAAGAAAGAAAGAAACTGACCTACCGCGCCCTGGGCACCATCGACCAGCCCCAGCTGATGCAGTTCACCACGCCGCCCTTTGGGCACGAGACCGAGATCACAGGCCACATCGTGGCTCACCTGAACATCTCCATGTCGCCAGACCCTGCCTCGCCGACGGTCCCCTCGGACATTGACCTATTCCTCACGCTGCGCTACCTTGGGCCGGACGGCCGGGAAGTGTTGTACACGGGCACGGCGGGCGACCCGGTGCCGCTGACCAAAGGGTGGCTGCGAACGTCGCTGCGCAAAGTGAACCGCGAGCATGCCAAGCACCGCCCCTGGCTGCCCCACCGCGACTATACCAGCCGCGACGTGCTCCCCGTCTTACCGGGTGAGGTGTATGTCGTCGACGTGGAGGTGTGGCCGACCAATGTGGTGGTTGAGAAGGGCGGGCGGATTGTGCTGGAGGTTGCCTCGAGCGATACCCAAGGGAGCGGAATCTTTTTGCATGATGATCCGGTTGATCGGTACGTGCGGACGCATCTGTGTGTATGGGGCAATGGAGACAGGCTGACGAGGAATGGTCATTTTTAGGTCGCAGGAGGTGTTTCGCGGGTTCAACCACATCCACTTTGGCCCGCGGTTGGAAAACTATGTGACGCTGCCCATCATTCCGCCAAAGGAGTAGTAATGGTTACGTGGATATGATGGGCTGCCGAGGCCGCATTGGTAAAGAGGTTGCAGCAGCTGATGGAGGCTTTGCAGGGTCGTCTGTTGAGATGATGGGGTGTCATGACCAAGCGAACAAACAATACTTGCCCTAATTAAGGTACTGAAAATACAACCTAGTGTGTTTTGCCAACATGTACAGGCTTGTGGTTGTTGTCAAGATGCACCATTATTGGGCGCAGTTATGATCCCTTGAAGTCGTCAGATTTGGTGGTGAGGGGTTGTTGCTGTGGCTCGAGTGTGGTTTTTCAGCAGCCCCGCTGTTGCATCTGGACCCCTGCTGGGTTAATGTGGGGAGCTCTCACCCGGCTCGGAACCAATCAGAAGCTCAGATTTCCATCGAAAGACATCGAAAGTCCAGAGCTTTCCATGAGCCTGGCCAGTCGACGATGCTCTGAAGGCTGAAATTCTTAGAAAGGCTGCCTGATACTTCTTCCGTTGAAACAAACTCCGAACCTCAGAGACATTGCACTAATTAGATATACAAGTTCTCTATTCTCGCCAGCCATAACGTTCACTACCAAGCGCCATGTCGACTGCCGACGAGCTCAAAGCTCTGGGTAACAAGGCCATCGCGGCCAAGAACTTTGACGAGGCCATGTAAGTTAACCAAGTAACTCCCCGGGCTTGTAAAGGGAATCGCTGACCCGACACACAGCGACAAGTTCACCCAGGCCATCGCTCTCGACCCCAACAACCACATCCTCTACAGCAACCGTTCAGCGGCATATGCCTCCAAAAAGCAGTGGGATGACGCACTGAAAGATGCCGAGAAAACGACAGAGCTCAAGCCGGATTGGTCCAAGGGCTGGGGGCGCAAGGGCACCGCTCTCTTCGGCAAGGGAGATCTACTTGGGGCACACGATGCCTATGAGCAGGGCCTGAAGCTTGATCCAAACAATGCGGGCATGAAGAACGATCTGGCGGCCGTGAAGCGGGCCATGGAGCAAGAAGCTGGGGGGGCCGGTAAGTGCTTCCCACATAGACTACCTCCTGCGGAGTGTGTTATGGCTAACCAGTCTGAAGACCCGACAGGGGGCATTGGAAAGATGTTCAGCGACCCCAACCTTCTCCAGAAGCTTGCAAGCAACCCCAAGACGAGCCCGCTTCTCGCCGACCCGAGTTTCATGGCGAAGCTGCAGGCCATTAAACAGAACCCGAATAACATGCAGGACCTGTTCAGCGATCCTCGCATGATCCAAGTGCTCGGCGTGCTGATGGGTGTTGACATGGATATGGTTAATCCCGACCAAGCTGCACCTGGCGGCTCCGGGTCCAAGACCGAGGCTGAGGAGGACGTGCCAATGCCCGATGCGCCTCCGAGGAAGACGGAATCTGCGAGCAAGCCCCAGCCGAAACCGGAACCGGAGCCGGAACCCGAGGAACTGGACGAGGAGGCTATGGAGAAGAAAAAGGCAAAGGAGGCTGCGGATAAGGAAAAGCTCCTCGGCACCGAGAACTACAAGAAGCGGAACTTTGACGAAGCCATCAAGCACTACCAGGCTGCCTGGGACCTCCACAAGGATATCACCTACCTCAACAACCTAGGCGCGGCCTACTTCGAGAAAGGCGATTACCAGGCCTGCATCGACACCTGCACCAAGGCTGTCGAGGAGGGCCGTGCTCTGTACGCCGACTTCAAGGTGATCGCCAAATCGTATGCCCGCATCGGCACCGCATACGAGAAGCAGGGCGATCTCGCCCAAGCCATCGACTACTACAACATGTCGCTGCGCGAGCACCGAACGCCGGAAGTTGTCAGCAAAGTCCGCGCCGCCGAGCGCAACAAGATCGAGGCCGCCCGCCGGGCCTACATCGACCCACAAAAGGCCGAGGAGGCGCGCGAGGAGGGCAACAAGAAGTTCAAAGAATCGGACTGGCCCGGCGCCGTGGCCGCCTACAGCGAGATGATCAAGCGCGCGCCCGACGACCCCAGGGGTTACAGCAACCGCGCGGCGGCCTTCATCAAGCTGCTCGAGTTCCCCAGCGCGCTCGAGGACTGCGACACGGCCATCAAGAAGGACCCCAAGTTCATCCGCGCCTACATCCGCAAGGCCCAGGCCTACTTCGGCATGCGCGAGTACAGCAAGTGCGTCGACGCCTGCACCGACGCGCTCAACGTCGACAGCGAGCACCACAACGGCGCCAACGCAAAGGAGATTGAGCAGCAGCAGCAAAAGGCTTTCTCGGCCATGTACGCGGCCAGGGAGAACGAGACGGAGGAGCAGACAAGGGAGCGGTTGATGCGTGATCCAGAGGTAAGTTTGACGGGAAGCTGCTGGGATTCTCTATCTGTTGGAACGGTTCGCTCTAACATACCAATTTTGTAGATCATGGGCATCATGCAAGACCCTGTGATGCAGGCCATCCTGCAACAGGCGCAGTCAGACCCTGCTGCGTTGGCTGAGCATATGAAGAACCCCAACGTCCGCAGCAAGATTCAGAAATTGATCGCTGCCGGTGTTATTCGGGTTGGAAGGTAAGCGAGGAGGCTAGTGTGGGTAGTGAACTTGAATTGGGTTGAGAATGGCAGCAAGTCGATGAGGCTGGGTGCGATAGAAAGGTCAACTCCGGCTCGATCGGTATCTGCAGTGGTTGCACAGGTTGAAGGATATTGGCCATAACGAATTGCATGAGGCACGAGCACGGTTCTGTAATTTAGGTGACGCAGTATTACTACTTCATGAAGGTTAAAGAGGTTCAAAGGATGCTTCATGATGATTGCAGTCTGGTTTAGACATCCGAAGAGCGGTGTCGTGGTAAGGTAGCCCGGAAGCTTCAATCTTGCTTTCTTCACTCCTATATGCTGCATTGTGCTACACCAAGTTGATCAAGCAATCTGTCTACGGCGCATCAACATACAGAAATAGTTGTCATTAGGCATTGGACTCAGCAAGCAACAGACCAAGCATCTATTCACAAAACACAAAACTCCGTCCGCACTTGACCTGCTCCATCACTTACGACTCCAAGTTACATCCCATCCATCCCATGACCCTTAAGTTGCCATCACACTGCAAGCCCTGAATTATCCCGTATCCACAACTGAAGCCTGAAGAAGCACGCCAAAGAATGGGGGTGTTGATTGTAGAAGTTGGAGAAGGAGGAAGAAGAGCCAAGCCCAGTGCCCGCAGTGGCCCCCAATACATGCAGGTCATGTCCTGGACTCCTGGTTCCTAATTCCCACTCCATAAGCCGCAATTCCCAAGGCTAAGCCTCATTTCCTCAGGCTAAATCGCAATTCCTCAGGCGACCACGCCTTGAGGTCCTCCTTCGCGCAGACGTGCACCATCCGATCGTATGACGGCACCCCATCGCTACGGGTAGTATTAATGCAAGGATACGCAAACCAGAGATTTTCCTCAAAAGGAGATTTCAATGATGAGCCTGCCAGAAGACAACATTGTTAGCACGCTGAGACCGAAAACAGTGTTGCGGCCACGGGAGTTCATTGTATGGCTCATGTAGGAAGGGCTTAGAGGCAAAAGTAGCAAGTAGCGGTAGGGTGTCCCAATAAGTGGATTGGTAAGGTGGGTAAGGTACTGACTGGCAGAAGCAGAGGGATCACCACGCACCGGAAGCGCCCGTCCCATTGCTGCCGCTGGTGTCGACGTTGTTGTTAGTCGCCGACGAAAAGGGAAACAAGCTGCGGCCCGTACTTGTAGTCCCACCACCGTTACCGGCCGTGGTAGTGGTACTGCCAACCTGAGTATTGGTGGTGTTTGCTCCGGATAACCCCGCAGAGGAGCTCATGCCGTTGGCGGAACCGGCTGCGTTCCCTGGATTCAACGAGCTGCTAAAGGGACCGGAGTTGCTGCTTGCATTACTGGGGTTGCGGAAACTGAAGCCGTTGCTGAATAGTGCTCGCCCCGGAGTAGGGTTGGAGGACGTGGGGGGGAAAAGCGTGCCAGACGCGGTGGGGAGGGTCTGGGGGATCTCGCCAGTCTTGAGGCCCGCGCCTATCGAGAACAGGCCAGTCGCGGGAGGAGAAGTGGTTGCCGCTGCTGCTGGTGCTGGAGCGGCAGCGGAAGCAGATGTGGTGCCTCCCGAACGGCCGCCGAAGAGAGGCAGCGTGTTGGAGGTCTGAGGAGTGAGGCTGCTGCTGGTAGCGGCAGACTGGAACAGGGACGACGTTGCAGGAGCCTGGGTGGTGGCAGGAGCCTGAGTGTTTGCAGCGGGTGTTGCCACGGGAGGAGATTTAACTTCACGCTTGTGGGCGACTGCTGGACTTGGCGATAGACGATGTTGCGAGCTTGTGGTAACTGCTTGGTCCTGACTGCTGTCCGATACTGAATTCGGCGTCGGATTCCCCGCCGGAGTGGATGGCTTGGAGCGGACGGATTTTGCTGCGACAGCTGTCAGCCCTGGGACAACTCTCTGCTCTCTTTGGATGCGATGCTGATTCCCGACGAGCCCCATCCGGATCTGTCAGCAGCCGAAAGCCACTGTGAGTCCCGGCGGACGCGACGGCTCGCCATCCAACGTCTAGAATCTCCTAACGACTCGCTTCCTGTGTTCCATATCACCGACTCACCTGTCAGCTCTCTCGGCCTGTGCCTCTGGCACCTGCGCAGGCCCTCCCTGAGAATGCGGACCTCGTTCTGTAGAGCCAACCGCTGACTCTGCACCTCGTCCGACTCGGCGGCCAACTCCGCCAGTTGATCGGCGGTCATTTTGTCCACCTTCCTCGGCGTCAGGATGCCGGGGATGTCACAGACCAGGCAACTTTCAACTGCGAGGTTAATGACATTGTCAACAAAGGTACGCAACGACATCTGCCACGTTTGTACGAGGTTAGCCTAGATACGCCCGTGCGGGTTGCAGGAACGCGGAAGGGGAATATAGGGCAGGGGCTTTTTAGACTCACCTCATAATGAGACATGGCCATATCAATCACTCTTGAAGTGGCAAATTCGTCCCGCTCATCCTGGCCCAGGTCGCGGACGGCTCTCTGAAGCATCTGCCGGGTAAGGCGTGCATTTGGTTGGAACAGTTCCGGGTGGAGTTCTCCAAGGCGACCGACGAGCCGACCGGCCAGTCGGCGGAGCGTTTTCTCCTCCATTCTGAAACTGAACTCGTCTTCGAGTGGCATTCCGTAACCTTTTTCGTACGGAAGAAGCAACTCCTGCAGCTTTTCACGTAGCAGCTCTTCTCGTTCGACGAAGAAGGGGTCCACGCAATCTCTTAGGACGGCTGTCAAGGTGGTTTCGTCGGCGCCGATGATGTGCGTGAAGGCCTCCTCGACGAACTCCTGGCTAACCTTCAGCACCTGCTGGAGGTGAGTCCAGGCGATGTCCTTCCACGGCTTTGCCTGCTTTCTGAACAGTTGGAGGGCCAGCTCGCTGTTGGCTTCACCGGGAAACTCGCGGCCCAGGTTGAATGATGCCTGCGACTGCAGCTCCGCGCTGAGCTCTGTTTCGCATTTGGCTTCCGGGTTTGGCAGTCCGTACTCGTCGATCAGGTTCTGCAGGTAGGCTGGGAACTCCGGGGAGTCGTCATCATCGTCATTGTCATCGCCGCCGTTGCCATCGTCGGCCCCTGGATTCTCGTCGGCAGCATTTCGGTTCTCCCACCGGATCTTGTAGCTCGCGCCTTTGACTTCCATAACAACGTCAAAAGCGCGGTTCCTGTTGCGCAGCTTGGCACGGAGCTTTTTGTTCTCCTCATCGATGCCTCCAAAGAAGCGCTCGTTGCTATACCGGCCCTCAATCGCGTCGCGCGCCAGTCGCTGGAAGTCTTCAGCGATGCCGAGCAGGTACGAGCGGAGCTCCTCGGTCGTCGACCGCGAACTTCCAAGTCGATCCAGCGCCTCCTGGCGCGTCCTTAAATTAGCTTCAATGTCATGGATCAGGCCCGGTAAATTGGTTCTGATATGGTCCAGAAGGACTTTGCTCAGGCGCTTCCGTAGGCTTTCGACGCCCCTGTTCGCCGGGAGGACGGAGCTCCAAGCGCCAGACTCGAAGAAGCGCTGTTCGATGGCGTCTCGGGCGTCATCTCCCGAGGACCTCTCGCTCTCAGACGGGTTGCGCAGCACGTACCAGCCGAGGGTGAGCTTATGCATACTCTCGAGGCCCTTGGCCAAGTCCAGGTACTTGCGCTCGTTGGCCGACCCGGGTCCGGCCAGGTCGGGTTTGGTGATGACGCCGATGGTGCGCTCGCGGGACGGGTCGTGTCTCCGGGCTACCTGCAGAACCGCCTGGTTGGCGAGCTGGTTGTTTGCGGCCACGACGGCGAGGATGATGCTCTTTGGCTGGCTCATGTAGCTCGCCACCAGCTGATCGACAATCTCCTTGTCGGCCTGGTTCTGGTCGGCCGTCGCACTGTGGAAGATACCAGGAAGGTCGACCAGGGTCAGGGGGTACACGTCTGGGGCAGAGATCTCTACGCGCAAGATGTCTCGTGAGAATCTCTTCGTGCTCCCCTCGCGGATGCCCATGCGCGCCTTGGCATCGCGAATGATGTCGGGCAAGGCCTCCCTGTTGAATGTCTCCCTGAGGAATGGCGGGTCTATACTAGTGTCCCCGCGCCCGGCCGGATCAGGTGTGCCGTCGGCGAACTGGATGCTGACCTGCACGGCCGTCTCGTTGGCACGGCGCAGAACGAGCTCCGTGGCAAAGCGCGTGCACAAATCGCCGTCGACGGGGAAGCGCACTCGCGAGATGGCTTCCAGCACCGAACTCTTGCCCGACGACTGGTCGCCAACGACGATGATTTGGGGCAAGTTGACAATGTCGCCAACGTGGATCTCCCGAAGACTATCAATGGTGTCGAGTAGCGCCTTCGACTCGGGATTGTTGAGTTGGGCCAGCGAGTCAGCGTCAAGGGCCACCTGCGGCGGCAAAGGAGCCTCGAGAGACTCCATGTTGTGTGCTCAACTTCGCTATTCGACCCGGTTGTGGGTATCTTTGTACAAGCACCTGACTCGTCGTATCCGTGTAACTGATTGTCTTGAACATGGTTTAGTTCAGAAAGGCGCAATCTAGAGCCATGCAAGGCAGCTTACTCCTGATATAGAAAGACATCCTGCGCGCCATTGTCAACTTTCCGCAGCTGAGGCAGACTTCAGCCGTCTGATCGCATACGGGCTGCGGAAACGGTTCTATATCACCAACACACATTTCATCGGCAGGGGGCACCGTGCGCTTAGCAACGCAGCTGTTCATCCTTCCCTGGGATCTTCCCCAGGGTGCCGAGGCTGAGAATGACGAGCTGGCATCCAGGTCTCGAGCGCTGTATAAGGCACACCTGAAACCTGTACTTGTATAGTACAAACTGGGAAGCGCAATGCAACTGGTTCAGGCACTGAGGTTGATGCAGACCCTTCAGACTTCTGTTCCAATGAAAATATACCTCAAGACGAAAGACCAATGATAGGTAGGCAATGCCGGTCCGCTACTGTCTGGAGTGCTTCGTCCGTGTTTCACAGTGAACATGAAATCTGCCTCGATGCAGGGCACAAGGCCGCACTCTCGGCCGGGTGCTGTTAACCAACGGGCGCACGTCAGCCGCGCTCTGCACGCGGATCGGATTGAAAAGCGTAGGGCAAAGACGGTCGTGTTTCCAGTTGTGGTGTGTAGGAGGCGGGGGAGGGTAGAAGAGCCAAGCCCAGCCGAGCAGAGCCGGGCCCAATAAATACAGTACGCATTCACCCCACAGGTACTGTACTCCTTCCTTCAAGTTCCAACATTCAACCGCTTTCCCAACTGCGGGAGATTAGGAACACCGGAAAACACCATCAATGGGCGGACCGCGAACCTCTATCTTTTGTGCGTACCACATCGTCAGTGAGGTCTGGGCTGGCAAGCGTCATACAAGCAACAACCTATCAATGCACCCGCCGAACTTCAGTTTGTTCTTCAGGGATGACGGAGATCAGCGGGTCTTGACGCGCGCGCTTAACGTTGCAACCCCCTGCCGGGTCGCGCCCATTCGGCCGGGTACGGGGACAGCCAGTACCGGCAGAATCAGACTGCGAGGTTTACCGTAAAGTCAGGAAGCTGCTGTCGTGGACTCGCCATCACGGAGCTGACACGGTTCAGTTTGCTGCCCATCAAGGATGGTCAATCAGTCGTTTGCGATCGGGTTGCATCACCACAACGACTGATAAATGAACTCACAAGAGTAGTTGGGGCCGCATATAGGAGCATTCCCAGCAACCAGCTGCTCGGTCGCATCGCGATCCCGGGTCAAAACACGAAGGGTATCACTTAAACCTAGACTGTGATCCCGGAGCCCCAATACACCTAATTCACTCAGTAAACAACCTCTTCACTTCCTCGTCCTCCAAACCCACAATCTTGACCCCTGCAGCCTCCATCTCGCGTTTACACCCTTCCCACGAGCCGGGATCGACCGACCTCGTCCCTTCCTCGATGACGTACGCCTCGAACCCTTCGCGCACCGCGTCCTCGGCCGTGCACCGGACGCAATAGTCGCCCGCAAGCCCCACCACGTAGACGCGGGTCACACCGGCGTCACGCAGCAGAGCAGCCAGGCCGCTGTCGCTGACGCGGGGCTCGCGCAGGGGGTCGTAAAACGCAGAGTACATCTCGACGCGCGGGTCGGTGCCCTTGTGCACGACATGGTCGAACCGGGCCGCGTCGAGCTCCGGAATCAGCTCCGCCCCCGGCGTGTCCTGCACGCAGTGCACCGGCCACAGGCGGGTCGTGTACGACTCGGAAGGGTTGTGCGGGTTGGTGATTGTGTGCGTGTCAAGGAAGGGCCGCTTGGCCGGACCCGGGTATGGGTGGCCGCCGTGGTTGGAGGCGAACGAGATGTGGTCGGGCGGGTGCCAGTCCTTGGTGGCCACCTTGAGGGCAAAGATTGGTAGGGCGAGCAGGCGGTTGATGAGTGGCGCGATGGAACGGCCGTCGGCTACGGCGAGGGAACCGTTCTGTGTTGGGCGGAATGAGTTTTGGTCAGTGTCGTTCCCGAGCCGCAAGGGTAAGACTCATGCGGTGAATGATGTCCCGCTTGTCTTGTCATGGTGATGGGTGATTGAGCCAAGTGCCATATCGTCGAGAATTACAGGGAGCATGCTCACCGGCGGACAAAAGTCCTCTTGCATATCAACGACCAGCAGTGCTGGCCGGAAGCCCGATTCCGCCATACCTAGGCCTATCCGATACAGCTGTGTCGCGTGTCTGACATTCGTTGGGTGGTTGGATTATCGGCCATTCACCAGTGACTTGCGACATGTGGAAGGAGGGGCTCAAAGCGATAAGATAATGCGGGATCAATTGGGCCTCTTGGCATCAACCCCCCATAGCCCCATTGATTCCATCCCGAAGTACCTTGATTGCCGGCGATACAATAACGGTAGGTCATCTTCTACATCAACTCAGGTGGTGCTGCAGGGACATAGGCAGGCAGTGTCACACGGAAGCCACGCTGGCTAGGCCTTCTAAGATGGTATGCCATCTGTTGTCGAAGTGCGAGGCGACTAAATCCACCGTAGGACTGCTTAAAAATCCACCGAAGTGGGCTTGAGCTTCAACCTACGACCTTCTTGGAACGTACCTATCTAATCTTATCTAGGGTCAGATAAAGCCCGGAATGCGTTTGGGACTCGCCAATCGGTCGAGAAAAGGACCTTGGAAGCCATTGTAGTGCAAGTTTGTCAATGGATTCAATGGATCCATGGAACCATGCATTGCATCGACAGTCCCCGCAGGCGCTCACCTCTCCCTTCCAACCGAAAGCCGGTGAGTACGAATGTTGTTGGATGACTGGCATGAAGAATGCATCTGACCAAACTGTCTCTGACCCCCCCGTACCTTGCTTTCCAGTGTAGAGCGGGGCTCCGTCGGGGAATCCAGCATTTGGGTCTCTGCAGCTCCGTCCCTTCAATGCCTTCTTGTAGCACGCCGACTGGTCTCAAAGCATCAAAACCAAGCCGTCCGCCGCCACGGGGCAGCCGAGGGCGGTAGGTGAAAGCAATAAAAGCAACCAAGCCTTGTGCTATGGTCACTTGTCCTGCTGTCCACAGTTTAGACAAACGATGACCGCGGACAATATTAAGGAATTCTCGAAACAATTGTTACTGCCTCAAAGTTCCGGCAAGAGAAATGGTTATTCGCCGATAATAATGCCCGACTGACGAAGCGTGTCGTCGGGAAAGGGGCGAAGGCACAAAGAGACCTCACATTAGCAGCTGGTCACACCTGCAGTAGACTGGACGACAGCTATGCCAAGTAAACCGTTTCCTTCTCCAGTTACGGGCTCAGGGGCACAACTGTCTGTGCGCTGGCTCTTGGCCACAAAGCCGGGTAATGGAACTCGGCGTCCAACGGTGTTGGTCCGTGCCGTGTAACATACAAGCCCATGTCACATCGAAATTCCTTTTTTCTTAAGATCGACCACCGCCTCCGTCACCGACAGCCGTGGTGTGTAATCCGCCTCCCTCACCAACCCACCGGTTCTCTCGTTCTTCGGCTCCTCAATTCAACATTGCCTTCTGCGTCCAAGCAAGGAAGCGTGGCCGCAACGAGAATCCAGTCAACTGGTCTGCATTCCCTTCTTCCTTTTGCTCCTTTTCCTCCACTTTCGGCTGAAATTCCGTGTATCGATAGTTGCGTCTTGCAATCTCCCGGAGCTAAGGAGGCTAGGCCAAGGTATGTCTCAACTAGGAAATCTCCGGGAAACTCAGCGCCGACTTTCAACAAACAAACTTTTGCCTGACATATCCTAGGTGCAGTGCTTGTGCGGTCGGACAGTGTTTTTGCAAGACATTGCAGAGACTACACAAAGTAAACGCACCTGCCAATTGCTAGGTGGTAAGTTTATTCTGTTCCAACGTCGCTCAACATACTCCACGCCCGCATCCCCATCAGGGCTTCACGTCGACATGTACAATACCGGTACTGCACAGTTATCCTGCGATTGGCCGCGCTGTGTGTCCCGCAGCCATCCGTCATGACTCTGCGACTGGTTTCTGTCCTCACCTCTCCGCAATGGCTAACTGAAATCAAGTTTCAAGGCTCTCCCTGTCGCATTTCCGTCCGTCCAATGTCCGCCGAGTTTCGATAGCATCTTTTATTCACCATTGTTACCATGATCGCCTCAAACATCCTTCCGTCGCGATTTCGCGGCGAACAACCCCCGGCGCAGAATGCCGCGCCTTCGTGGCTGAACAAAAAGGTCACTCCGCTTCTCCAGGTCCTCGCCCGCATCACCTCGACTCACCCCATCCACACCATCGTCATCGTAGCGCTGCTGGCGAGCTCTTCTTACATTGGACTGCTAGAGGATAGTTTGTTCGATGCTACCCGGAGTGTCAGGAAAGCTGAATGGTCGTCACTCGTCGAAGGCAGCCGTCTTCTCAGGGCCGCCGAGGACACGGCTTGGAAGTGGCAGACGTATGATGCGGACGCTTCGATCCCCTCAACCGCCGAACACCTAGCGCTTCTTACCCTGGTTTTCCCCGACTCATTGTCTGCCGATACCTCGAAAGCTCCACCATTGGTAAATGCGGTGCCCATTCCTCAGAATCTCTCGATTCGACCGCTGCCCTCGACATCAAACTCGTTCACGACCTACTCGCAAGACAGCGCCCTTGCTTTCTCGATTCCCTACAGCCAGGCGTCCGAGTTTCTAGCAGTCGCTCAGGAGATTCCCAATGGAATACCATCGCAAGAAACCATGGAGACGGAACAAGGACGGGAGAAAAAGATGTGGATCATGAAGGCTGCTAGAGCGCAGACCAGAAGCAGCATCGCGAGATGGATGCGTAATGCCTGGGTCGAATTCATCGACCTCCTGAAGAACGCCGAGACCCTCGACATTGTCATAATGGCCCTGGGCTACATTTCGATGCATCTCACATTTGTCTCGCTGTTCCTCTCGATGCGCCGCATGGGGTCCAATTTTTGGCTCGCCACGAGCGTACTATTTTCCTCCACCTTTGCCTTTCTCTTTGGCCTGCTCGTTACGACCAAACTGGGCGTCCCAATTTCCATGGTTCTCTTGTCCGAGGGTCTGCCCTTCTTGGTTGTGACCATCGGTTTCGAGAAGAATATTGTCCTCACCCGTGCAGTCTTGTCTCACGCGATCGAGCACCGCAGGCCCGATAAGAGGGACGGAAAGGCTGCTAAAAAGGGCGACAAGGCCGATAGTGTCATCCAATCCGCAATCTATATTGCAATCAAGGAAAAGGGCTTCGACATCGTCAAAGACTATGCCATTGAGGTCGGCATATTGGTGCTGGGCGCTGCATCTGGCGTCCAGGGCGGACTCCAGCAGTTTTGTTTCTTGGCCGCTTGGATCCTGCTATTCGATTGCATCTTACTCTTCTCCTTTTACACGGCCATCCTCTGCATCAAGCTGGAAATCAACCGGATCAAGCGTCACGTCGAGATGCGCAAGGCTTTGGAAGATGACGGCGTCAGCCGTCGCGTTGCCGAGAATGTGGCTCAGAGCAACGACTGGCCAAGAGCAGACGGCAAAGACCAGCCAGGCACTACCATCTTTGGCCGCCAACTCAAGAGCACCCACATTCCCAAGTTCAAGGTGCTGATGGTTTCCGGGTTTTTTCTGATCAACGCTGTCAACCTGTGCACCATTCCATTCCGAAGCGCCAATTCCATCTCGCATATCTCTTCGTGGGCACGCGGCCTTGGCGGCGTTGTCACGTCGCCGCCTGTTGATCCGTTCAAGGTTGCCTCAAATGGCCTCGACATGGTTCTGGAGACAGCAAAGATGGAGGGCCGGGAGACCATCGTTACGGTTTTGACGCCGATCCGCTACGAACTTGAGTTCCCCTCAGTTCATTACGACCTCCCGCAGAAGGTCAGCAAGCCTGAGGAAGATGCCTTTGGCGATTTTGCCGGCTATGGCGTTGGTGGCCGTATGGTGGGCGGCATCTTGAAGAGCTTGGAGGATCCTATTCTCTCCAAATGGATCGTGGTGGCCCTGGCCATGAGTGTTGCGCTGAACGGCTATCTCTTCAACGCAGCGAGGTGGGGTATTAAGGATCCCAATGTCCCCGATCATCCTATCGACCCCAAGGAGCTAGCCGAGGCCCAAAAGTTCAACGATACGGAGTCGGCTACCCTGCCAGTTGGCGGGTACGTCAGGCCTCCGCCGATGACACCCTCCATCCCGCCGACTCCAGCATCGACAGACGACGAAGCTGAGAAGGAACTAGGCAGCGCGTCGGCCCCGGCGGCTCCAGAACAGCCGAAGGTTATGCGCAGCCGAGAGGAAATGGAAAAAATGCTCTTGGAAAAACGCGCGCACGAGCTCAGCGACGAAGAGGTGATTGCGCTCTCTATGCGCGGCAAGATTCCCGGCTATGCATTGGAGAAGACGCTCAAGGACTTCACCCGTGCAGTCAAGATTCGCAGAACCATCATCTCGCGGACAAAGGCGACGGCGGATTTGACGGGTCTTCTCGACCGGTCCAAGCTTCCCTACCAGAACTACAACTGGGCCCAGGTTCACGGTGCCTGCTGCGAGAACGTTATTGGCTTCATGCCCCTCCCCGTTGGCGTTGCTGGGCCCCTAGTTATCGACGGCCAGAGCTATTTCATACCCATGGCCACGACTGAAGGCGTCTTGGTTGCCAGTACCAGCAGAGGATGCAAGGCCATTAACTCTGGTGGCGGGGCTGTTACTGTTCTAACTGCCGACGGCATGACACGTGGGCCTTGTGTCAGCTTCGAGACGCTCGAAAGGGCTGGCGCCGCCAAGTTGTGGCTGGATTCTGAGAAGGGGCAGTCGATCATGAAGAAGGCGTTCAACTCCACCAGCCGCTTCGCGCGTCTTGAAACGATGAAGACTGCCATGGCGGGCACTAACCTTTATATCCGCTTCAAGACGACAACCGGTGATGCGATGGGCATGAACATGATTTCCAAGGGCGTCGAGCACGCTCTCAGCGTCATGATGAACGAGGGCTTTGAAGACATGAACATTGTGTCTGTCAGCGGTAACTACTGCACCGACAAGAAGCCTGCCGCCATCAACTGGATCGACGGCCGTGGAAAGAGCGTGGTTGCTGAGGCCATCATTCCGGCTGAGATAGTCAAGAGTGTGCTGAAGACGGATGTTGACACTATGGTGGAACTGAATGTGAACAAGAATCTGATCGGCTCTGCCATGGCGGGTTCGGTGGGCGGCTTCAATGCGCACGCCGCAAACATAGTCGCCGCGGTGTTCCTGGCCACCGGTCAGGATCCGGCGCAGGTGGTTGAGAGTGCCAATTGCATCACCATCATGAAAAAGTAAGTTTTCTCCTGGGCAGACCTGACTCGGCAGTGTGAAGTTCTCTAACAGGATGCAGTCTGCGCGGTTCCCTACAAATCTCGGTTTCGATGCCATCGCTCGAAGTCGGCACTCTTGGCGGCGGGACCATCCTCGAGCCTCAGGCGGCTATGCTTGACATGCTTGGCGTCCGGGGTCCCCATCCAACCAACCCCGGAGAGAACGCCAGACGGTTGGCCCGCATTGTGGCGGCTGCAGTTCTCGCGGGCGAGCTCTCGCTCTGCAGTGCCTTGGCGGCTGGGCACTTGGTCAGGGCGCACATGCAGCACAACCGGTCCGCTCCGCCTACGAGGACCACCACGCCGGCTCCAAACGGCCTTGCCATGACTAGCGGCATGGAAAGAGGCGCGTCGACGACGTCGCTGAGCGCAGCAGCCATCGAGCGGGCCCGACGGTGAGCGACATCGGTCTTGTCCCCGCGTATACATAACCACGAGTGACAAAGAGCCGTCGTTGTATATATGAGCTCGGCTTGTCGGTCTGCACAGTGATTGGGTCAAGAGTTGCGGAGCCACCTGTGCCCAGCAATTCGCCATTGAGGGCTGTCGCCGAACTTCTTTTGAATTACAGTTTTGCTAGACATACATAATAGAGATACTAGTAGTAGCTCCTGAGCTGCAGTTGGGTCTTCCTGCGCGTCGGCCACCTTGTTGGGATCCCATATGTCGTTTGACTCACCGGCAAGACACTGATATGTTCCCGACAAGGCGCTCCGAATGGATGTCCGACATAGGACCGAGAATATGCGAATAATGCCTATAATACCTCGACACTACCTATCAGGGTACCTATGCCGGATACCCTGCGTAATCGCTATTGAAATTGACCCGGTCATCGGAGGTAAGCCGGATATAGGGAAACATGGTTAGCAGTCGTTTTCCTATTGTCCTCAGGCTCAAGGTTCCTTCCTAGTACCAAGCATACACTCGCCCTCCGATGATGAATCGAACAACTTTTTCCATGTTGCTCGCCACTGACGGAGGTTGACCCATTACGCAGTGCTTAAGGTATCGAAGTGGAGAACTGAGGATTTCTCGGATGGCACTTCCCCTTTACTACGTCAGGGAAGGCAAATCAGGAATAGTGAGTTTTGGGCCTTTTAAATTTTTCAATGTGACAGTCACTGATGGAGATAAAAGAATGCAACCGTTGACTGCTATGTACTCGGTATTCCCTCCCGCCCGGAGACCGAGCCCTGGGCCGATCTTACGCCCCCCGTCCACTCCTCCACACCCACCCCCCCTTGCTTGCTTGCAGCGGGTTAGAGGCTCGCTCCAGGAATCGGATCCGAGGTAGGCAAGGTAGGATCGCTGCAATATAATATGAGCTTGTTTAGCCTTATGCTTTGCAATGTGATTTCATGAGAGAATTTGCCCCATCCTCAAGTTCTTCATAAATTTTTCAACCAGATAGCAGCCTTTCACTTTTAGGATTCACAGGAGAAGTTATCGCCTCCTTTTCGTATTTTAGATTCATTTTTTCCCCGTCTGGACTTGTCTCGTCGCCTTGCCACCAGGCAGATCGTGAGAAGAAGCGCTTGAAGGTTGGAATAGATTTCTTGACGGCCTTTAGCGTTCACTGCTCTGGTGCACGCTTGCCGAATTACCGGCCGGACGGCAGACGCACGTCATCGGGACTTTTGCTTCACTAGCTGAGCTCAAGCCACCGGGCCCGGAACTGAGACCCGATCATACCTAACGCGCCATGGCGGATGTCGCCTCCACGGCGCCGGCCGAAAAGGAGACGCCCGGCGACTTGACCAGGACCTCAACCATGGACGCCACATACAACAAGGAGACTGCCGGTCATCATAAAGAAGGCCTCGAGCCGTCGGCAAATCACGATGCTGAAGGTAGTAATAAGGACGAAAATGACGACGCGACAGCCACCAGCACCACTACTGCCACCGGCGCAGCCCCTGTACCCGGACCGGGACCAGGAGCAGGAGCAGGACAACACGATGCACCGCCAGCACCAGCCGAACCCGAAGCGTCGCGCACCAAGCTGCAGACAACACTGATCATCGCCGCTCTCGGCTCAGCTCTCTTCCTGGCCGCGCTCGACGTGACCATCGTGACGGTCGCCGTCCCCACCATCGCGCTCGAGTTCCAGTCCACGGCCGGGTACACGTGGATCGGGTCGGCGTACATGCTGGCGAGCGCCGCGGCCGCGCCCATGTGGGGGAAAGTGTCAGACATTTGGGGCCGGAAGCCCCTCATGCTTGTTGCTGTTGCGGTTTTCTGGGTTGGGTCGTTGTTGAGTGCGGTTAGTAGGAACATGGGCATGCTCATTGCTGCGAGGGCGATTCAGGGGGTGGGTGGGGGCGGGATTGTGATTTTGGTTAATGTTTGTATTAGTGATCTGTTTTCGATGAGGAGAAGAGGTGAGTACTACTAGTACCTGATTTTCTGGTATGATTGAATGTCCTGCTGACAGGGTGACTCAGGAGTCTTCTTTGGCGTCATGGGCATGGTCTGGGCCATCGCATCAGCGATCGGGCCCGTCCTGGGCGGCGTCTTCACGAGCAACGTGACGTGGCGGTGGTGCTTCTACATCAACCTGCCCATCTCCGGGCTCGGCTTCGCTATCCTGGCCTTGGTGCTCAAACTGCACAACCCGCGCACGCCCATGCGCCAGGGCCTGGCCGCTGTCGACTGGCTGGGGTCCGTCACCATTGTCGGCGCCACCCTCATGGTCCTCTTCGCCCTCGAGTTTGGCGGCGTCACCCACCCCTGGAATTCACCCATCGTTGTATGCCTGCTGGTTTTTGGCATCGTGACGGCTGCCATTTTCGTCATCCTTGAGTGGAAGGTGGCCGAGTTCCCCATCGTGCCGATGCACCTCTTTAGGAAGCGCTCCCGTGTCGCCTCGCTGGGAGTCACCGCCCTCCACGGCCTCGTTTTCATGTCCGGTAGCTACTATCTCCCGCTTTATTTTCAGGCGGTTCTTGGCGCCTCGCCATTGCTGTCGGGCGTGTATGTTCTTCCCTTCGTCATGTCCCTGTCCCTCGTGTCGGCAGCAACGGGCATCATCATCAGGAAGACGGGCAAATACTTCCCCTGCATTATCTTTGGCATGACGGTCATGACGCTCGGTTTTGGGCTGTTTATCGACCTCGAAGTGCGTCCCAATTGGGCCAAGATCGTCCTCTACCAGATCATCGCTGGCATCGGCGTCGGGCCGAACTTCCAGTCTCCCCTGATTGCGCTGCAGTCGACCGTCGAGCCTCGTGACATGGCCTCGGCCACAGGTACTTTCGGATTTGTGCGGCAGCTGTTCACCTCCATCTCCATCGTCGTCGGCGGCGTCGTGTTCCAGAACGGCATGCAGAAGCAGTACCCGCGGCTGGTCGAAGAGATGGGCCCGGATGCCGCGAACCTTCTATCGGGTGGTAACGCCGCGTCCAGCGTCGGCCTTGTTGACCGGCTGCCTGAGCGGCAGCGCGAGATAGCGCGCGACGCGTACCTCCAGAGCCTGCGCACCATGTACATTGTGTTTGTGGCACTCGCTGGAGCAGGTCTATTGCTCTCTTTCCTGATCGGTCAACACACGCTGAGCAAGGACCACCAAGAGCACAAGACAGGACTGGACCAAATGCGGTTAGCAAAGCAGGAGCGTGCCGCCGAAACTGCCAAAGGCATGGTGACGGACGAAGAGAATGGGGATGCATCCCTGCAGTCTCAAGATAAGTCCGAGACGAGGGCTTAGTTCTGGGTATGACGGCATGGCTCGGAAGTTTCAATGGAGGTGGCTAGAGGTAGATTGTGTGAGTTGAGAAAGGAAGACTGGACGTGATGATATGGTCCGGTGCTATGTGCTGACCTAGAAATGGCCGGCGCCGGGGGAGTTGGAAGATGATACTTATATATACCCTGAGTAAATTTGTTCTTCGCATGTCATTCGGCTCGAGTACATAGCATTTCGTGCATACCTTTAGAACCTGAAGTACCACTTAATGTAAACATATTCTTTGTTTCAACTTTGCTCGCCTTTGCTCGAAGCCAAACTCTCGAGATACTCCGTCCTCTACATGTGTATACCTTACTAGGTAGTTAGTACCAGAATTTTAGAGGCCCTCAGGCCTCAGCCGTCGGCTGAGGAAACCTATCCAACATCACTTCCTCCCCTCCTACCTCAAATCCAACCTCACTCACCACTCGCGCCTCAGGCACATCCAACTGCAGCCTGTACGAGCCCGGATACAGGACCCTGTCCCCGCGCTCATTCACGCGGGCCAAATCGCCAAGCGTAATTTCGATCCGAGCCGCAGCGGTCTCGCCAGGCTTGATCCCTCTTAGCCGTTTGTAGCCCACCAGTGTCTTGATCGGGTACGGCTGCGGCCCAAACTCGCCCGCTGCGAAGACGAGTGCCACGTAGTCCGACGTGACGTTGCCCGTGTTACTCACCCAAACCGAAACCTGCTCTGGGAAAGGGCACAAATCTTTATACGCGACATCAGTGCCATCACAAGAGCTAAGCAGAGAGCCCGTGGTAAAGTTGAACCTCGGGAATACCCCGAAGCTGGCATTGAATGTGGTGTAGTGCAGTCCATAACCAAAGGGGAGCACCGGGCTAGTGTACCAACGGTAGGTTCTCCCTGGCGAGCTGGACATGGCGCTGTTACCCGGGCGGGGGCGGAGAGACATCTCGGTGAGAGGGATCTGGAAGGTGTAGCCGGCGGGGTATTGGGTGACGGGCAGACGGCCGGCGGGAGCGGCTCGGCCGGAAATGGCGTTTAGCACGGCAGTGCCTCCTGACTGACCTGGGTATCCTGCCCAGAGAATGGCTGAGATGTTAGGGTTAGAGAGAAGCGGAGTATCGTCAACCTGATCCCCTAGCTGCACGATGACAAGCGGTTTGCCAAGGCCAGCGAGGGACTGAATCAAAGCCAATTGTGCTTCGGGCCAGGCAATTGAGTCTCGATCCTTGTCTTCAGCGGCTATGCTAAGGTCGGTACCGCCAAAGTAGAGGATGATGTCCGACTTGGAGGCCGCTGAGAGGGCACCAGCCGTCCAGGTGTCTTGGGCTGTGATGGGCGGAGCTACCGGTCCTGGAGCGTACTGGTACGAGAGGTTGAGCTGGCCAGCCGCGTATACAGGGGTGTGCAGGTAGGGTGGAATGCCGCTGTATCCACCGAGCATTTGCCTGGGCGTCCCAGCAGTCCACTGAGCCCAGTGACCGATAAGTCCTATGGTTTTGTTTTGAAGGTCTAATGGCAGTGTCCCGTCGTTTTTCAAAAGCACCAGACCGTCTGCCCCAGACTGAAGTGCTAAGGCTTGTGTTTCAGGGGTGTTCACGGATGACCACCCGATAGAGCGATAGGGGCTTGCGCTGGCTAGGTCAAAGTATCCGGCTCGGATGAGCCCTTCGTATAGTCTCCGCAGTGCGCGGTCGACGACGGCCTCCGATAGTAACGATTGATTGTAGGCACCCGTGACGTCTGTGTATGGAGGCCAACCCGGCACTTCACAGACCGTATCGGTTCCAGCATTGTAGGCATCTGCTGCCGCGTGAGCTGGCGTTGCACTGAAATTATGATATCCGGGTAAAAAGTCCTGCTTGAGTCAGTCTGTTTCATACCACGACTCAAGGACTGAAGAGGCAGACCTGGACGGCGTTGCAGTCGCTGGTTATGTAATTGTTGTGCTCGGTCCAGTTCCAGTGTTTACGGAGGATGTCGTCCATCAGATATGTGCTAGCACAGGCCGGGGTGCCATTGAGCGCGTTGTAAGAGCACATGAATGAGCCCACCTTGGAGTCCCGGGCGCACTGTTGGAAGGGCGGGAGGTAGTATTCGGACAGATCTTGTAGGGAGACGACGGCGTTGAATCGGTGTCTGGTAGTACCCATCCACCTCTCCAAGTCATAAGCGGCATAGTGCTTGCAGGTAGCAATCACCTTTCTGATGGCGTCCTTTCCCTCAAGACCGCTGAGCAGTGCCTTAACATAGCCCTTGATGCGCAACGGGTCTTCGCCTGGGGTCTAGTGGAACACAATCAAGTCAGCAAAGAAGTGGCGGCCAATGGCCAGGGCACCGCCGTCGGCGAAAACTCAGACCTCATGCCCCCTTCCCCACCTCGGGTCCTTGAAAGGGTTGATGTTTGGCGTCCAGAAGTCCAGGCCGGCAAATCCGGCGTTGATAAAGGCACGAGCCTCGGTGCTGATCACGCTCGCAACTTTGTACACCAGATCGTCATCGAAGGCAGCAGCCAGAGTGATTGTATTGGCAAAGGATGTCGCAAAAGAGAAGGGGCCTCCAGTCCGATTGAAGGTCACCCCCGGAGACCCTGCAACGCCGTGCAGAGCTTCGCTCCACCACGCATAACGCGGAAGGCCAAGCCGCTCAGCACCAAGACTCATGCTATTTCGCCATGTGAGTATAGCTCAAGTCCTGCTAGCGAGGGGGAATCACATACTCGACCAGGTTCGACAACTTTTCCGTGATGTTCATGACTTCCACCAGCGCTGCCGCCCGGTCTGATGGCGAAGCCTCAACGTTACATACCGTGTTGTTTGCCAGTGGTCCGTTGATGCAATCGGGATACTGAAATGCTAGCACCCCATGTATGGCAGCAAGGGAGCCGCCAAGCACCCCAAGCCATGTTGAGAAGGGTGCCATGTCGCTTCAGCAGGGACTGTGAACGAGACCGGGAGGTTCAGAGGTATGTACCGGATCCAGCAAGATCCAACCTCCTTTGGGCCTGAGTACTAGTATTATCCTCGCTCAGAAACGAGTGCGTGACGGTCGTTGATAGACTGATATCGGCCATCATGAGGGGTTCTTTATCTAGTATTAAGCGTATATCGCTGCTGGTTGTAAGTTGTCGTTGAATCGTTGGCTTTCGCAACCCCGAAGAACCGCTTAAATGAAACCCCTCCGGGCCGTCCATTCTTTGACCATGATGCTTCTTCAAGATGAGCGCAATATATGCGACGTTATCCATTAGCGCGGCTGTTGAGGTAGTGCGGAGAAATTGGAGACGCGCAACCGGGACAGCTGAGAGGAAGAATGCGAATGTGAAAATGAGAGCGTCTCGAGGGATTCGGTCGGAGAAAGCGGCAAACACCTGCATCGGGATTCGTCGCGGGGGACTGCAGGCCAGATTAGCCTTCCCCAATTCAACCGGAACACGCGAACTTCAATGTGAGGTCCAGAGGGGCTTTTGGACAGGTTCGTCTAACAAACCTACTTGTTGCTAGGTGGGTGTCACGGCTTCAAAGCAGCTCGAAGGATGTGTCAGACTGCACTGAGCATAGAAGTGACGTCCCCCTTCCTACTTTCACCCTCCACATGTGGTAGTACCGTAGCGAACTGGTCAAGTGGTAATCACTGTCAACCATCTCGTCACCACCCACGGTTCGATTCACAACCAGAACACCCGAACCTTCTAAGCCACGGGGGGTCCTCCCCCAGCTAGTGGCAGACCAGGGTTCCAATGCTCTGGCGTAACAGAGGGAGCTACGACATCTCTAGCTCGTCGTCCTGAAAGTGTGGATCACCTATAAATCTGGATCCATTGACAAGTAGACGGCTTCGTCCTCCTGCAATTGCAGCCCTCGAAAGTTGTCCAGCAAGGTTGCGATGCCAAGACCACTTGAGAACTGCTGTAGATATGCCCAGCATAATGATCCCGAAGCAAGCCGTTGTGACAACGTAGTTGACAAAGGTTTTCCTGAATGGCAGCGTCTCGCCATCAATGCCGAACATGGCCAAGCTCGTGGTAATGGGGAGAAAGACCTGAGATGGCCATAGATCCATGATCAGCATCTACGCATGAGTCGGACAAGCTGAAAGCATTTCCAGGCGACCAACCAACGCAATGATGGTAAGGAGTTTTGTGTGTTCGCTATTTTGCTGCTGAAGGACTGCGATCTTGTTGTTGTCCTGTTGGAGATGTTGAGTGATCTACATCCAAACACTTAGTCATTAGTTTCAAATATATCTGATCAAGGGGTGAACGTACTTCTCGCTCAAGGTTCTCTAGAAGACGCTTCTGATTTTCAACCTCCTGACGGAGATCGCGAAGCTCCAACACGTGCTTGTCAATGGTGAGAAGAAGCCGGAAGAACGAACCCGACCTTCCAGACGACGGCTCAAGATCGGAGAAGTAGCCCATATCCCCTTTACTAAACGCGTCCCAGGCTTCAATTGTTTTGCTAAGAAGGGTGATGACTTGTTGCAGAAAGCGGATGGTCCGGTTGGAAAAGCGCTGGACCCGTTTGTTGTATGTCTCGGTGTGGTCCGGTAACAGGTCGTCTGTTTGGAGAAGATAGTCGTGCGTCTATTATGAATCGTGTCAACATATGGCACTTCAAATCGCACGGGCCGCTCACATATGGCTCGGTGAGCTGTAGGAGACGACACACGACGTTGTGCCATTCCTGTCTCACTTGATCGATGCGACTCTCCAAGACCCGTAGGAAGTATTGTCTTGGTTTCCATATTGGGATGTCAGCGTCAATCTTACCTCCCGTTAAGGGATCCATGAAGTTGGACTCGTCGCTCATGCCTTGGTCGGCATAGTACTCGACGCTTTCCCGGCTGTCCTGCCCTTTGTAGTACGTGTCCACGAGCGCAAGTCCGACCCAGGATCGCTCATCGAATCCGGTGACGATGCATGAGAGTTGAGCCTCATAGATGCAATCCGTTGGTGAGTGGACCTCGTTATCCGGTGGATCCAGAACGAGGAAATTCAAGGCCCTAGAGCGACGCAATGGTTTGCCGTTTCTCCGGCGACGCCAATCCTGAACGGGGTGTCGACATTTCCTCAAGGCGTAGAATGGCAAGTGGAACTCTAACGCAAAGGTAGGAAAGCCAACAGACTGAGTTTCGCTGTCAGTCTACCAAAAACCGAGAGGAGAGAGCGAGAGGAATCGAATTGATAGCCTCTCCTGTGCGGTCGCCTCCTCTTACTACTTCGGCTACACTACCCGTGGGGGCTGAGAGTAGGGGAGGAGACTTGACTTATAAACCAAGACAATGGTAGGCTTACAGGCATGTGGACTCCAAGAAAAGTCTTGAAGTCGAGATGGCGGAAGATGAAGTCTCTGTAGTATCCGGCTTGCCTGCGCGAGGCTGTGGCAACGATGGCCAGAATAGACCAGCGGTCAACGTCGGTGACATAGCTGCAGATTATCCCGTTAATGTACACCAAGCCTCGAGTGAGTGGAACTGGCGATCAGTCTTACATCAAGCGCCGATCCGCATCCGGCTCATCTGTTTCGCTAACTGCGTGTCCGTGGTTAGATGGACCTGTCAACCTCAGCCGGCTACTGTATCGCTGCTAAAGTCAATGCAGAGGTTTGATATTAGAGGTGTCTATAGGCCGCTTACCGCTTTGCTAAGCTCAACATAGAGCTGATGGGCTGTCAGGGCGCCTTTCCTGGGCCGGCATGTGCCACGTACAGCTATCCGGGTGCCTTCGTCATTCCGGTCATCAAGAAGTGCAACTGGTCTGCCCACTCGTTGATCGTTCCCTCTTTTCAGGATGGATAGGTCGGCTGGGAGACAAAAGCCTTCCAATACATCCGCCTGGTATAGAAATGGATCGGAATCGTCACATAGATCCTGCATAAGTGTCTTGAGGAGTTCAGTGGACGTGCTTGGAAGTACTTCCTGACCAGGCCTAATCCAAAATGGCTTGTTCTCATGAGCGCAGGCATCAACTTGGGGATTTGAGAAGACCGATGCCCACTCCTCGGCAAAGCGCTTCGCCTGTCCCCTACTCGCATTGGGCAAATCCATCCGGAATACTCGCAATAACAACAGGTGCTCCTCCGTGTTACTTGGAACTCAAGACACGGATTGCCAAATCGCACGCTTCACATCGATTATGGCCGCATTGAGGACAGGCTGTGCAGAGTGCAGCGTTGTTCGGTCCGTCGCCGCAGAAACACTGGGACAGATTCAGTCAACATTCAACAGCACCTGAAACATCACCAAGAATAGTCACTTACACAGTAAAAGTACAGAACGCGACGCCGTTGTTCCTGCCCGGCGCGCACGTTAGCCTTTTAGGCACTTGCGGTCTTCCAGAGCTGGCAGGACAGCTCCCAACTCACCCGCCCCATGATCCTGGGCGAAAATATGCCGGTGTAAAGAATGAGATTTTATGTGCCAGTGGAATGCGGGGACGACGCCGATTTAAACGGTGCCGTAACCAGGGCTTCTCAGCTCCAGTCAATCGCTGGATGTCGATACTTGAAGCGCTGTCTGCCTGAGTGCCTAATGCTACTGCATTAATGCTGCATGCCGTCACAGTTTGGCGGTGGCGCAGTATTGCCGGTGAAGACTGGGGTTTCGAATGACAGGAGAATTGGATTTGGGGAACGAATAAAACCAGTGGAAGCAGAGCAGGCGCATTGCTTGTTGTGAACTCGTGAAGTGAAGTCTGGCTTCCCTCGCTAATTTCCTTCCTCCGTGGGAGTATCCGTCACCCAAGAATATCACGTGCTCCAGCATTAGTCTCATTTTGTCCCTCGGTTCACAACTGAGAGACATGGTACCAAGTTCGCACCTGAAAAGCTGTGACACAAGTTCATGGATCGATTTGAACCCTGGAGGGCAACATACATAATCAGTACCAAGATACCTTAGGTACTGATTACCGTCCGAGCATTCATAAGTCGGTCGTACCGGAGGTACCTGTACCTTAGCCTCTTAGGTACGTGCCTACCTTCAGTACATATAGCTATCAAGCTTGATCTTGCCCTGGATGCCAGCTTTCCAGAATCCAGACTTCAATGCGGCAGTGCAACATGCACCGCGTCAGCTGTGCTTCCGCTTTGTCAGCGACGGGAAGGGGGCCGCGTGCGACCGAAGGCAGAAATCTTGGGGCCCTAACTAAAGGTAGGTATTGTACAATCACAAGCCGCCAAACATGATGATCGAAGTTCGAACACCGACCACTCTGCGGCTCGTAGCGACTGAATCATCAGTCCCACCCGCCCCAAGGCAGACCTTACCAGACCAGGTACAGGGTAACCTGCACATAAGAATCAAGTCCGTAACGGCCCTTTTGATTCTCTTATACCCAGGTTATTCCTAATACTATAATACTAGGTTCCACATATAACCCCGACCCTAAACTTACCCAGTCACAAGCACCTATGTATCCGTAGCCCATTCCCTACCCTAATTTCACTGATTTTAGGAGCTTTTCTAGGCTTAGCCTACCTGGCTATAAGAACATAGTTGTGTTACTAAGCAGATCTGTATGTACGATTAACTCTGTTTCTGTTGGAAATACCGGGTACCACCCCCTGGTCACAGGCCACTTCGTGGCCTGTGACGTTGGAAATTAGCGTTACCTTACTGCTCCTACGCGCCCACCAGGATAAATTGGCTCTGGAAAGCTCCTGAGATTCAGGATAACTTTGAACAACAATTGATCAATCAATCTTGAAGACAACCACCAAGAATTCCATCGCCACTGGGCAATTCGCCTAGTATTTGTGCCTCACTGCTGTATTTCCAACAGTTTCCCAGATTATTCTTATGTCCCATAATAAAACGCTTGGGAGCTGAATTTTATCTATTCTTATGGCTCGTGTTCTTATCTGCAGGTTAGACTGTAGTTGCGGTTCATGGCCGGGGGCATTGGCTGCTCTGGACGTTTAACCGTTTCAGCGGGTAAATTGCCTTAGTTCAACGGAGACGCCGCTGAGAATGGAAACGAACCCGCTATTGGCCGTATCCGCTCCATACTAGTACAACTTGAACGAAGAGATCCCGAGCGTCCGCCGTAAAGGAGGCGGAAACCCGCACCATCTCTACTGCCGAAAAGGAGAAACGCGTGGGTACCCAGGCCGACCCCTCATCGATTGAACCACTGCAGTAGTACCTTACCTTACAGAACGAGAATATTAGTGCAAATGTTCAGCCTCAAGATGAACAGGAATCAGGTAGACTCAACCTGAAGGTCGCACGAGCCGCTGCCAACTCGAAACTTGAAAGTCTGAAAGATGGCCATCAAAGTTGGGATTGTCGGCTACGGCTTCTCAACGAAATGTTTCCATCTACCATACATTCTCCCAAACCCGGATCTCGAAGTCTACGCCTTCTTGCAACGCGCAGCCCCGCCGGTTGACGCGTCGCAAATGCCACGATGGGGGCACTGCACCATTGACTTTCCCAAGGCCAAGCACTACATGACTGCGGACGAGTTCTTCGCAGACGAGTCGATTGAGCTTGTTATTGTTTGCACCCATATTCATGAAGAGTTCATTGAGAAGGCTCTCCTCGCAGGGAAGCATGGTCAGTGCCAGCCCCATGTCGCCGGTGTGTGGTTCTGCCAGGCAGAGAAGCTGATAATGGTCGGATTGCAGTCGCCGTTGAAAAGCCGTTTGTCACTAGCAGTGCCGAAGCCGACAGGCTCATTGCTTTGGCCAAGGAAAAGGGGAAGATCCTGACCGTGTTCCACAGTTAGTACTCTGATATTGGACCCCGTTGTGGTTGAACCCGCCTACGAAATACTCTCTAACTTCACCAGATCGGAGATTCGACAGCGACTTCCTCACGTTAGAGCATCTCGTCAAGCAGGGGGCGCTCGGCGATGTTCTCGAAGCTGAGATTCACTTTGACTATCCTTCGCCTAACTGGATTGCCGGATGGACGGGGAAAGAATACCATGCTGGAGAAGGCATGCTTTTTGCGCTCGGTATGAGTTAACCCTGGAACGACCATAGAGAGAAAACGCAATCTTACCAGAATGTCTAGGAACCCATACCATTGACCAAGCTCTGCACCTGTTTGGACGTCCAGCCTCGGTCACAGCATTCCTCCGCTCCAATCGAGGCGTGGATAGTGAGGTCGATGACACCTTTACCGTCATATTGCAGTATTCCGGAGAACAAAAGAATCTTCTAGTGACGATCAAGACGGCGATTGTCACGCACATGAAAGATCAACTGAGATTCTTTGTCCGGGGGAGCCGGGGGACATACTTGAAGGTAACACCACTGACTCTTCCATGTCACTTGGGGTGGGCTATCCTGACCCCCATGTAGTTCGGCACTTGCCCACAGGAGAGCCAGGCGATCGCCGCCCCGGGAAAGCCAGCAACAAGCCCAGACTATGGTCTCGAACCGGAACGCATATGGGGTACCCTAACCACCACAACCGAGTTCGACCCCGCTTGCCAGAAGTTTGACGAAGCCAGTCGGACGTACATCGGCAAGTATCCCAGCACCCGCGGGTGGTACAGGGGGTATTATGAGAACCTGTCAGCGGCACTTCTCGGAAAAGAAGAGGTCTATGTTAAACCCGATACGGCAAGAGACGGCTTGAGAATCATTGAGCTAGCCAGAGAGTCGCATGAGCAAGGCCGCACCGTCGCCTGGTCCTAGTTGGCTCCCCCACCCGGGATACAACGACGAAGCATCGGCCATTTCGATCTAACCCTCAGTCCCATTCTATGTGGGCCACGGGCTTGCCAGACAAGCCGTTGTCGGCTTGCCCACTTGGAAGCTAGGCCCGATTCTGCCTCCGTCCTGCCAGGGTACAGCGTCCGCCGGCGGGGTTATCGCTGCGGCCGGCCTGTTTTTGGATAACCGAACAGGATCATCGGAACGGATCATAGATGCATCTCAGTTCTCGTGCGGGCTGTTATTGCGTGCAGCGGTGGAGAGAGCTTGCAGGAGAAGCGCCCAAATCAATACTACCTGCTCGTCGCGGCTTATGTTCCTCTCTCCTACAGGCAATAACAGGATAGATTAAGACGGCTTAGTTTTCAAGAGAACGATGATATGAATAGTAAGCGAAACTACGTGATCTCGACGGTTCCTGTCGGCTGGCCCCGAAAGCGATCATCGCGGTAACAACCTTTCCTTAGAGTCCAGGCCACGCTGTGGGCCCCTACGGTATTGTACAGCTATGCTTCGGTGATTATGTGCCCTCGATCAAGCTTGAGATGCCAGAAATCCATGTCACATCTTGCTTGGGCACTCGAGTCCGACTTGGAAATGTCATTGTTGTCACGGCCATTATCTGTTGATTTGGGCTCAGGAGTTGAAGGAAGTAACCAATAAAGGCAAGGGAGTCTGATTCGACTCAACCTTGACCACCCGGGACTGCCCGCTTGGGCAAAGGATACTCAGATAGAGAATGAAAGTGCTACCCCAAGTCTCTCTGGTGAACTATATTGAGCCATGTCTTATGGGCATGCGCGATTCAGGGACGATACCATGTTAAAGCAACTGACCCCACTCGCTGTTGAGATTCCTACTACCTAGTATCCGTACTTTCCAGCGTAGCTGATCAACAGTGACGCTACATGACGTCAGACGGCTGAATACCCAACGACTATCACTAAGGCAGGAAGGCTCGGCTGCAGCCTGTGAGAGTCCAACTGCATATGATATATCTGACAGCCTGACAGTGGTTTGAATCAACCAAGACACCCGAGAGCGGAAAATACGTAATCCGGATATGGCCGGGATTGCAAGGGGAGGTATGGCTGTTTATGTTACGGCTTGGTCTTCTGTGATGGCTGCTGACAAGACTGACTTGGAAATCTTAGTAATAGGCGGATTGGGTCATGGAACTTATGTAAGTGATGGCAGTTGCTCTCCCCTATCTCCAGGTAGAGATTCGGTCGGAAAGGCTTGTCAGGTTTATAAACAGTAAAAATGTCCGGCTCGTTTACGGGAAGGCGTAATATTGCTTTTGCCATCACGTACCCGCCTATTCCTTCGGTACCAATCTATGGCAATGCAGCCTGCATCTTGATTCTTGATGGTGGAAGCCGATCTCAACACTGCCCCGAGGGCCTGGAGCATCGCCCAATTAGGAAAGCTGCCCATGACGCTTGAGGCGATCTCTAGGGAGAGCGATAATACATCTACTTGCTACTCTTACTCTAAGTCTCTAAGCTATCTCTCCCTGCCTTATATTGTGCGGCAGTCGCCAGCTTTATTAGCTGAAAGCCTATCGTGCCTATGTTGGCTAATGTATTAGAGATGTGCTTACTTCCAGGGACCCGGGGGAGGGAGGTGGGGGGGGTATCACTTGAACAACTCGAGGGGAGCCAAGGTTAGCGAGGGCGAGATCCCTAACCTACACTAGCCGAGACCCGACTAGCCTTCGGAAATTTTAGTCGATGCGACCGCCAATGCCCGCTAAAAAAACCGTTGAATCGCCCGGTGAGGAAGTGGATTCGAGGGTGGCGAAATGCAATCCACAACCACTCTTTCCTGCACGCCAATGGATGATACCGTGCGACGATGGCCAATTCACCAATCAGATTGCGGGCTCCGAGAGTTCGTTCCCTGGGCGTTTTTACGGGACATTGATAGTTGCAACACAGGCAAGTGATTACTCGCATCGAGCTTTTGATCCATTCGCCATTTGTTGAACGATTCGCCCCATCTCACCATCTCTTTGGGTTTGGATGACGTTCCACGTCTGCAGTGGTTTTCGTAGTCCACCCGCATGCAGACCTTACATATCCAAGAATTGCCGAGAAGGAATGTCGTTAGCCAGACTGGGAGGGGTTGTTCCAAGTATTATCATCATATCATGGCCCTGCAGCCTTTGCTCCTGCGATGTCGCGGTGCAGTCCAAGTTGTTGCCCTATCACCGACTAGATAGGCCCATCGAGACTGCCGAGACCCGGGCTGAAAGTGGACCCTCTCATCCTGGCGGACTGAAAGCTCCCACGATTTCTCGGGTCCTCGTTCAAAACCATCCACAGAGCCACAGTGGTCTGGAAGGGCCGTGGCAGCCAGGCTGACCATCTCGATTGTCGAGATCATACTTCCCATTGTCGACATCGATGGGCCGATGATGGCAGTCCAAGGCCAGAAGCTGGGCCAATCCAGCACTTCCAATTGCAATCGCACCCAGACGTTGGACCTGGGCCAACGAGCTGCCGGTCCGAACCTTGGCATGTTCGGTCTTCCAGATGCCGCTGCGGACGTCGATGGCTTCGATCCGAGTTTAGACGGCGGGCCTTCGTCTCAAGACTCCACGGCGCCCCTCCAGCTCTGGGGCGATAATGGTAATCAGGGATCCATGTCCACCATGCCACTTTGTCACACTAATATTGCCTTGTCAATGCATTTGCCCCAACAACTCTTCAAGGCATGCCCAGACCACTTGGGCCAAGCGATCCCAGCCCAATCCAGCCTACTTGGAGGGCAATATCTCCAACCTCTGACAGAGTACCTTCCATTGCCCAGCACTGGACATGGCGGCCTCGATTCCGATAGCTTCGAGTCGGAGTGGTCCCAAACTGGCCCGGCATCGTGGCAGGCTGCCGCATGGCCGGTGGACATCAATGCACATGCGACAGCCGACGGGACGGTGCTCCATTCCGACAACCTGCCTAGCTACGTCCTCAACACTCTCGAGCTGGAACCGAAACTGAGAACTCTCTCAATGGTACCTCGACCGGACGGGGGCCAAGTCCCAGTATGGCAGGGCCAGGATAATATGGTGAGCGGACATGCCTCGGAACCAGATAGGAGGAAGAGGGGGCAACCGCATACTGACGCGGCGGAACGGGGAGAAGGCGGGGCCCCACCGAAGAGGAAAAGGGGACGCCCACCAAAGCACGCACCAGACACCGGCTCTGCGAGTTATGCGAACTCTCCCATCCTCGGAAAAGAGTCCAACTCCGACTCGGATACGGTTCCTTCCCCGGTCAGCCCAGGGGATGAATCGGACCTGTTGCTGTTAAATACGCACAACAATAGCAGCATCAGCATCAACATCAGCGAAAGCAACACCGACATAACCGTCCCCGACGACACACCTCCGAATTCCAACCGCACGGCGAAACAGACTCGGAGTAGGCGAGGCAGCATCTGCAACGGTAACCCCAGCAAGTCGGACCGCGACCGCGACCGCAACCGAGCAGCCGCTAGTCGGTACCGCGCCAAGACGCAGGCCGCCTTCGCCCAGCTCGAGGCCGAGGAGCGCGCGGCCAACGATCGGCGCCAGTCGCTAATGGCTTGCGCCAGCCAGCTTCGCGACGAGATCTTCCTGCTCAAGACGGAGCTGCTGCGGCACGCCGACTGTGACTGCCCCCTTATCCAGGGGTACCTGTCCCACGCGGCCAGGCAGGCCTGCGTAGGCCTGAAGGCTTCGACTTCGGCAATCGGCAGGATGGCTCATGGATGGAACTGAGCCGGAATATTGTTAAAATAATGTGACGATGCAAAACATGACCTTATCATGACGGAAAAATGAGCGGCGGGACTCGGGCGTTGGATAGCGGGCTGGCTATTGTGATGGTTTCACGGGTGGCAAGACTGTCGTTATATGTTGTCATGGTTATTGCAGGCGTGAGGTCCCCTCCCGGTGGACATGTGTGATCGAAGCGATTCTGACTTGGACGTTTGGCATGTTATGTTTGCCCTTAACTGTCCTGTTCTCTTCTTTTCGATTCAGCGCGATGAGCCGGGCGGTATTCTGAATAGTGGTGTTGACCCCACGTAATGGCGCCAGGTTCTTCGGTGATCAAAACTGATCGGTTATGGCTCGGCGGCTCGATGCTTGGTACTTGTACTAGAGAGAGTGGTAGTACCTTACTACTAGGTACTAGTTGGTCCGGTCCGGTTCGGATCAAGACGGACTAGCTCTCTGAGTGTCTGTTCGCTGTCTGCTTCAGCTCAATTGTCCGTACTCAGTGTGACAAACCACCTGCTTGTCCGGGCCTGAGATTATGATGTAAAGCTGTTCGTTATGGTCGTTGCATGGGACACTTTAGTGGCTCGGGGTCTTCCTCATTTCCGGCGCCCTGGCCAGTCCTAAGGATACCCTCTCGGCATCGGTCACTGACGAGGGATGCTCGCCTCATAGTCGTCTAGTTGAGACCACTGACACGACCCTGTATCGGGTGAGACACGATGTTGCTATGTAATGTGGTCAACACGGATGCCACAGTGGCAGTGACGGGGCGGTGAACGTTTAGGATTGGACTACTCCCGTCCGATGAAAGTAGTTGTGGTAGGTATGGTGTAACGAGTTTCGGCACGAACACACAACACCCGTCAATGTCAGCGTGGCCCGTGACAAACTTGAGTGTCCTACTACCTTAGTAGTAGGTAACCTTGGTTCTGCACCAGTGAACAGAAGGTACGGCCTGCTATAGAAGCGGTACTCCTATTTATCATGATACCTCAGTGAACAACAGGGTATCCGAGTGGCAAAGCAGGTTTGAAAACAATAGGATAACTCTGGGGCTTACTCACTAGGTAGTAGAGTTGGTTAGGTGTTAGAATGTAGTCGGGTTCTTTGGGGCTCTCACTTACTCTGATCGAGTCCAAGGGAGTTTTCGAGGCTAGGAGGCTTCCGGCTTCGTTGATTCACGTTTCACGCTCGATCCAGTAACCATATGTTGTGATGTCTTTGACAGCGGGACTCTTGTTTCTGAAGCCTGAAGCCTCCCGAGTCCTGTGCTAATGCTAATGATGTCGATAAGTTTCATATGCGTAGGTAGCAGGCGGTCATGTGGTCAAGGGATTGTCGAAATGATGAAAGAGGACTTCGGAAGACATGAACATGCTAGAGAGCTGGAGAAAATGCGGATCAACAGGATGAATACAGTCCTGAAAAGTGCTGGGACAGTTGGGCGACAGTCCCTAGCGGGAGTGTAGCGGTGCGCCGTAACAGCAAGGTAAGGTAAGTGAGTAGCAGATGCCAGAACATATGTTGATTTGACTCTCCGGGCGAGAGCACGCGGGTTGGAAGAATTAATAAAGTACACTCGAGGAGTGTAGGTGTTGACTGGGCACGCACATGCAGGTACACGTTACATGTTTGGGGTGTTGCGAGGCGAGCAGTCGAACCAATTAGGGGCAACCGTGTATATCAATCCGGAAGTTCTGAGACATTTATGGCCCGTTTAGGGGGCCCAGAGCTGAAGGCTGGGTATGACAGGTAATGTGATGCAGATGATGACCTCATCATTGGTTCTTTTCGCCCGTTTGTCTAGGTAGGTACCTAAGTGATTGTCCGTCTGGGCACTACCATCTCCTTAGCGCCCGGCACGGTCGAGAGCTACGTGGCTCGCGTGGCCACGGTTCGCGACTTCATCCTGCCTGCCTCCTACCTCCCAAGATGAATTTGCCCCGCACCCTCCGCGTTTGCCAGAACTCACCCAGTCCGCTGATAGTAATGATGAACATCCGTATCACGCTGCTACATGTATTCTGTATCTGCGCCACATCACCACACCTTCATCCTGCCATGGCCATGCGAGTGACCTCACTGCGGCCCATATATGTAAAATCCGGCCACTGCACGATCTTCGGCTAGATATGCCTCGGTTCTGGCGCCAAACCCGTCATTGGCTGACCGAGGACCTATGGTGATGCGATGACTGGGAGTCTTCTGTAAGTTCTGTTATGAATAATATCAGCCATTGAGTTGGCAAAGGCCAGTTAGCAAGAGCGACACTGGAGGATGGCCTAGCACTTGCCTCAGGCACGTACGCCAGATTTGGCATGATCGCACAGCTTAAGGTAGTAATAACCCCCCGTACAGTATCCCGCTCTCACGGCCGTCAGGTAGGATTACACGTGCGCCACAACCTACCTTACAGGCCTACCTACTAGTACGGTATATGGTTTAAGCTCACCAATCGGTGAATCCTAGTCCTGATGGTACCTGATAGAGTCTCAACGGCTGTATCTTACATTCTTATGGCAGATTAAGGTTCACTGCAGTGCTCCTAAGGCTGTACTGTACAGAGGTTGCTCAGTGCTGACTCGGACAGCACCCGGCGTGACTTGAACAGACCGGGAATGTGATTCCAAATAACTTCAAATTGGTCCACAGTGTTTGTTTCCCATCATAACTAGGTACGAGAAGACATTGAAGAAATGGAAAGCAATAAACATGTTGTTTGAGTGTTGGCAAGGAATGTTGAAAGCAACCTACTCAGGAACTACGCTAGATTGTCATTAAGCTAGAAGTTCCTGAGGTACTGTCTAGATGAAGGCAGTAACTTCCAATGATTCTCTGAAACAGGAGGCAGCACCACTAGGTTACACGGCAACGGCAGGAGGGTGACATGGGAAGGTACCTTACTTCTAGCTGCACATGTGCATTTGGAACCTACCTTACCTTACATCCCTCCTAGGTTCCCACCTATCGTATGCTAGAGTACTTTTATTCTCCTCCTCTTGTTGCATGTGTGCTATGTAGCCCATTCATTTCTGCCAAGACCCTGAACCACCCATCCACCACCCAGCGCCCAGTCATTGAAATAGAACCCGTTATAAACCGTCGCGATGCAGGGTGCAAACGTGAAAGCCAGCAAGGAAATTATGGAAGGAAACGAAGAATGAAAGAAAAATACAGCCAACCCAAAATGCCAGGCGTCTGCTCATGACCAACATGAAAACGCTCGTCAAAACATCGGAAAGGAGTTGCTCGCCTCCCACGTCCCCACATTCATCTCCCAGCCCGATCAACTCAGTCATATATGGCTAACTGCCCGTCCGTCCTCCTCTCCCCACTCTGGAGCCCCGGATCCTCTCCCACCAATCCCTGAGCCCCCTGGTACGCAGTGATGACGTCCGGTCCCGGCCCAGCATCGCAATCGACGCCCAACCGCCTCCACGATCCGCCGGCCAATACGCCATAGAAATACCTTCTCCCGGCCTGTGCGACCCTGGCCTCCCTCTCCTTGCCGTCCAGCACCGACACGCCCTCCATCTCCTCCAGCAATAGCGGGCTCTGCGAGACGTAGTACAGCATGCCCGCGATGCAGCGCGGGTCGACGGGCATGGGCGGGTAGCGAACAAAAAAGCTCCAGGCCAGCACCGAGAGCATGACGCCGAGGAAGAGGACCGAGAGCGCGGCGCAAACGGTGGCGGCCGTGCGGGTTTGTGCGAGGTTGAAGGGCACGTTGGACAGCACCACGGGCAGGAACTCGGAAAGGATGGCCGCGACCGAGACGTTGAGGAGGAATAAGTGTCGGTGCTTGATGGCGGAGTAGAGGCCTGAAAATGGGTTGGTGCTCGGGGTGAAGAGGATTGAGCGGGAGGCTGGCTGTGTCCGCTGGGCCATGAGCGTGTAGGGGACCATTACGCTGACGCCTGTGGGTGGGGCAAAATTAGTAAGGTAGGCTAGAATTCGCGAGAGTGGTACTAAACACTCGGGATTGGGAAGGTCACTTACTGAGGAAGAAGGACTGCCAGCAAAAGGCGATGATGACGCCTACGATGGCGGCAACGAAGCGGACGCCAAACGTGTTGGCGTTCATGAACCGCCAGAGCCGCCCGTTGTCGCGAATGCCACCGCGGTAGTAGGTGTGGTAGACAATAACAAACACCATGACGGCCAGCTGGAACACGACGAAACTAATCCGCCAGGGGAGGCGCAGCGTCATGAAGGGCAGGTGCTGGCTCAACGATCCGCCATTGGCCACCGCCTCATTCGCCTCCAAGAGCTCCGACTCGCTGTCGGCTTCGCGCAGCCGGGCCTCATCCTGGTCCTGCAGACCCCTCCCCGCTTCGTCGGTCAACACAATCCCGTACTCCTCCCTCCCCGTGGCCGCGTTCTGGAAGTACCCCAGCCCGTACTGCTTGGTCGCCACGGCGCGGCGCATCGCCCGCTCGCTGTTTTGCTGGATGTGCACCTGGGGATTGCCGGCGAGGGAGGCAATGCCGGCAATGTTCCACGGATTGGCGAACACACCCGTCGTCCAGCGGCTCATGAGCAGGAGGACCAGCACGAGCAGCACGATCACGGCCGCCATCAGTCCCATCAGCGCGTGTGCGGGGACCGGGCTGACGCCCAATGCGGGCGCGCACGTTGTCGGGCTGGCCGTGTTCTGGTAGCACTGGCCGTGCAATTTGAGGCCGACGGCTTCGGTGGCCAGCGGCACCATGAGCGAGGCGAACCCGACCATGATCGTTGTCAAAAAGGGGATGGGATGGCCCTGCAGCATGGTTACGACGGGCGTGACAAAGGCCATCAGTCCACTGTACTGCATCAGCAGCGTCTCGGCGCCCGACCTACCACCGCCGGCCGCGGCCCCGGCGAGGGTTTGGAAGGGTTGATACAGCTTCGCGTTTAGGTCGATGATACGCAGCGGGATGACGAGCCCGACACCGAGAAGTGGGGGTAGGAAGGTGCCTACGAAAATGTCGGCCTCGGTCCACCGGAAGACCCTGGTTGTTCCGGTGGCTGAAGGCGCTGGAGGGTTGCTCGCCGTCGCGGAGAGAGTTGGCGTGGACGTGGAGGTGAATGTTCTCGTCGTCCCATGCTTAGTGGAAAGGCTTGTACTGGGTGAAGGGGTTGACGTAATGGTTTTGGAAATTCCTGACCGGGTCGTGGTGTACGTGGTCGGGGGTATGGTGCTCGTAAAGGTGCTGAGCGTGGCTCCGGACGTCGACACGAATGTCAAGGTAATGGGTTCTGTGCCAGTTGGTGTTGTCACCAAGGTATGCTTCCCGGGTGTTCCCCCGATTGTCGTGGTGAAGCTGGTCAGTGGAGGGTTGCTAATGATGGTAACAGGGGTCCCGTCAATGGTTTCTACAAGCGTTGTTGGTGGCGGCGTGAAAGTGACAACGGACTCGGTACCGCCGATATTGGTGGCAACTGTGAGGGTCACTGGCTGGAACGGAGCGCCGGTTGGTGTCGTAACCAGCACCTGCGTGACTGGCGTTCCCCCGACAATGTCGACGGCGGTAAAAGTGATGGGCTGACCAGGAGCCCCCGTCGGTGTGGTGACGACAACATCGGTTACCAGGGTTCCTCCTACGTCCTGGACGACCGTGTACGTGATGGGTTGGAACGGCGGCCCCGCAGGTGTCGTGACAACGACCTGGGTAACTGGCGTGCCCCCGACGTTGTTCACAGCTGTGTAAGTAAGGGGCTGTCCAACTTGTCCTCCCACCATGTCGGCAACTGTTGTCAGGACTCCCCCTTCCAGCGTGACCACAGGAACAAAGACGCCCGGCGAAGGCGTAATGACCACGGTCTGCGTGACGACAGACCCCCCGACCTCCGTGACTCCTGTGGTGATCTGCTGCTCAATAACCCGAGTCTGGGCGTCTTCTGAAGGAACGACAAGTACAACGGGTGCTTCCGTGTGCACAAACGTTACGATATCGTCGCCAATAACTTCCACCCCGGTAAACCCCACAGGGTCCGGCTGCTGAGTTATCGGTTGGTCAGGGGTTGATGGCAAGATGGTGCTGTAATAAGTTATGGTGACCTCTCCTACGCTGGGAATGACGACACCAGTGAGTGTGTTTGTTCCGAAAGCGGTTCCAATTGTAGTGAAGGTCGTTGCACCCGTGATTGTGGTTGGCACAGCAAAAGCCGCTGTTGTGGTCTGGACAACATCGGAAAATCCAGTTGAGGGAGCGATGGTGCCTTGGCTGCCATCGGATGACCATGTTGATTCGGGAAAGGCTGTCGCCAAGGGAGTTGTCACGGTAGCTGTAAACGTGGAACTGACTGTCGACACAGTAGTAAAGAAGCTTGTACTGACTGTCGTGAATTCGCTGGACCAGGTCTCTGTCGTTACGGATACGGTGATGCTGGTGGTGAAGGTGGAGACGGAGGTAGAGACCGGGATAACCGAGGCACCGCTTGGAAGACTGACTGTTGAGTCGCTGGAGCCTGCTGTCCGGAGTGTAGACGGCGCGCCCGTGCTGCCCACCAGGCTCGAGGCAGAAGCGGTGAGGCTCATTGTTGCCGTCGATGTAAGTAGCGGTGTGGATTGGACCAGATCCACCACCTCCTCTCCGGAACTCGGAACGCCGCTGCTTGGGAGGTTGCTGGATGATATCAGAGTGGGAGTTGTTGAGAGAGCCGTGGCCACCGTCGTCGTGGCGCCGGAAACCGTAGACTCAGATGTGTTGACGGTGACCTGACGAGCGAACCGAAGGGGCTGCGTGGCATTGGGATGGAGGCCAAGGATGCTGGCGCTGTTGTCTGAGCCCGGCATCTGCTTCTCGGCGATAATGACGAGGGCGAGGGCGATGATCAGTAGCACGATAACGGTAGTGATGAATTGCCATCGTAAGGGCTTCGGTTTGTAGTTTGGTGTATTATTTGCCTTGATCCATACGGGGGACTTGCTCCCCGGTTGGGGACCATGCAAGGCCACTTCATAGCGGTCTTCTGTCGCCTGTGCCGTGTACTCGTATGCGGCTCGGTCGTCTCGCGGGTGAACGTAGGGTTGCTGCATCTCTCAAACGGCTGCGCAGCCGTGGTGCCGAGCGAAGGGTCCTCCCCCTTCGGTCTAGTGGTTGTCAAAACAAAGTTATGCGCCCCCCCTTTTTTGCCTTGCTCAACATCACCCCGTATCAACAGTCATGGACGCAAGGGATGCCTTGTTCGCCGTGACTGTACCCAGGACTGGATGAGATCTCGAGCAGATCGGAACTGCATGCGAATTTTCTCCCATGCTGCAAGGCCGGGAGCGGCGCACTCATATCAGGCAGATGGGATCCGCCTGGCCGTTGGAACCTTGTCCTACGTTATACAAGCCGAGTCATTGCAGTGCGGCTGAAGGCGCGCAACCCAGCCAATCCTTGCGTCGCTCGCGTCGTAACTTTCTTTTGACCTCTCAGATGCCACTCCCGATGTCCGATGGCGGTGGCTGGAACTGGGCTTGAATGCCGAGACGATCTCTTTGTCGCCAGGGATTGGTGCTGGCCCATGAGCCAGCCATCGTGGCTGCAGAGTTCGGGGGACACCACAAATAGCGCCAGCACCAGCCCTATGTTTGAGATGTCGCGATGGAGCATACACACACCGATGGCTGGTTCCGCAAGCCGCGATGCATGACCGGGCTTTGCCATGTGCATAATGAGCTCAAGCCATCATGGATGATGGCACCCTGATCATTAGAGTCTACACGGTCCCCAGGACGGTTCACTGCCGGAAATCGGTGTCAGTTCATATCGGTCAATACAGAGTTTCTGAATATGGAGCAAAGCAAACGGAGTCCGGAGTGGTATCAAGTGGGATCTGGCTGAGACACCCAACGTTAATTTTGGGCTTGTCTCCCGGCCAGTTGCGGTAACAACAATCCTGGGGGTCTGTTATGCTTGCTATCACCAGAGAAGGGCATCAACGTTCGCCTGCCCGAGCCATCACAGGATCTGTCAAACACTCCAACCATGCGGTTCAGCAGCCCTTCGTTGCCTGCCACACACGCAGCAATGAAGATGTGCATAATCTCAATACCTGAGACCGCGCGGCCGGGCTTTACTCCGAGAAGACGCCGGCTCAGCACTCGAGGAATGGGGGCACCAAAGCATGACGTATGAGAACCGGAAGCAGTGTTCGTGAATCAAAGCGCAGACGAAACGCCCCAAGGATGGTATTGTGCTTGCTGTGCCGCATCCGAACCACCCATGCCCGTGTACATGTTCCTTAATGCCCGCCATTCCCATGTCAAGACTGAAATCGCTTTTTGGTTTCCCACCAAATGGCGCGGCGAAGCCATGCAAGGCCAGTTTCCGAAAACCAGAGCCGTGTCCCCATGAATCACCACCACCTCTCCGACCGCATACCGCTTAAAACACGAGGGCGGCACCCTTGGTCTTCTTGTCACCACTGTTTCCCCAGAGTCAGAACCCGCACGCCAAAACATTCGAAGAAGATTGGTTAATAGGGACCGCAATGCGAAAAGGCGAGGCATGAGCGGAGTTGTTGCGACTTCAGGCGAGGCCGATCGTACTGCGAAGCGATCTGTCGAATGAAGGTGTCCTGCCAAGCACTCTGCTGGTCTCGAGACGCATGGATAGCTCGAATTGTGACTTCCAGCATTCGCATGAGAAAGCAGAGAGCAGAATATCATTGATTCCCATTCGTACTCAGACCCCCAGGGTCCGTTGTCCCAGATCGTGCCCTGTCTGTGTGCCCACATTGCCTGTTGAAAATCCGAGTGATCGCGGGGGAAACTTGTGGTAGCTTCGGGGGCTCTTGTAGTCTCGGCAGCAGAATTTATCGTGTGCCTGATGAGGCGTAATGGTTTGGGCATTGACGCGTTCGAGCCTCGCGGTAGCGGTTCATATTTGCGGTCCCTATCGCAACAATAACAGAAAGCAGTTTTGCATAAAACTTACCCAAGCTCAAAGTGCTTGCACCGCTTCAGCGGGAGCTGCTTCTTCGCCTTGCATGCCGAGCATTCCTGTCCACCATCCTGTTTAGCGACTCTCTCCCCAGGCCGATGGTCGCAGAGCTCCTATCTCACTAGTCGCAGCACGATCTTCTTGGTTGTCTTCGCCTTCTTGTGGAAGACGGGCTTCGTCTGACCACCGTAACCGGACTGCTTGCGGTCGTAACGGCGCTTTCCCTGAGCGAATGCTGAGGCCTTGCCAGCCTTGTACTGGGTGACCTTGTGCAGGGTGTGCTTGCCGCATTCGCGGCTCTTGCAAAAGGTCTTCCTGGTCTTGGGTACGTTCACCATTTTGACGGCTGGGTTCGGTCGCGATGTGGTGAGGATGGATTGTCGTGTAGCGTCGTTCCGCCGTATCGTGGGTTTTCGCCAAATTTGCAATTTCGACCAGGGCTGCCGAGCCGCTGTGTGGGCGCACGGTCAAAATTTGATCCGCTCCGTCACTTAAGGCGGGAGTCGCGGGACCCGAACCCTGATGGGACTCGGCCCACTCGGGAAGGCGCGTGGGGAGGTGTGACCTACTTGTGGTCAAAGCTCAACCAAACTCCATCTCCTGACTCTCCTTCCCTGACTGATAACAACCTCATCACGAAGTTAAGAATGTCCAACTTGAGTATGGTTTTGGGCAAGCGTCAACGGCCTCGGCAAAGATTATACTTTCTAGAGCAGCTGTCACCCCCACAACCACCTGCCACCCAGGGAGCCTGGGCGAATCCGCGCATCTCCCCTCCTGCGGGTGATTTCGGTGCGTTTGCGCCTGGTAGCCAAGTGCGTTGCGCTACGTCCATACTTTCTGGTGGGTAAAGAGCCTAATTCGAAGCCCCAAGATCCATGACGAACAGGACGATCCGCCAAAACACACATGTATCATTATCATATTGTTGCGTGGGCCTGGCCAGGCCCCACCCAGCTTACCTCAGCCAGCCACACTCCCCTATTTCTGGCCTGTACGTTGGCCCAGGAATTTCCTCTTTTTCTTCCTTTCTTCAGCAGCCCTGACAATTCCACTACGTTGACCTCTCTTCCTTCCTCCGTCCCCTCCGACACATATACATGCCATATGATGACTGCGGCATGCCTCAGCTGACTGCTCGTTGTCACCTCCATCTAAGTTACTACGTCAGCCTGATTGGGGAATCATTTTTCCATTCCAATGGCTATCTCCCTATTTCATAACCTGAAGTTTCTGGATCGCGCCGCTAATAACGTCATCAACATCCCAATTCGGAGCAGCAAACCGACGCAGGAATGGCTGATAGAGGGTTGGGGGGGGAGGGGGGGGAAGGTGTTGCTTTTAAACACTCGAACACGGTAGCATCATGAGGTTATGACTCAGAATCCAGGGGCAGGAAGAAGCAGAACTGCAGAAGACATACATTTCACCCCTTGTTTGTTTGTTAGCGCAGGACTCTCGACAGGGGTTCTGGTCCAGGAATCAGAGAAATGCTTCTCAGCAGCCGGAACGATTGATTTAATGCGAGAAAAAAGAGTATCTAGCATTACTCAAGAAGACCATTTTCTTCGGGGCCTTTTTTCTGTAGAAAAATTGACTATTTTGATGTTGAAATTGAAATCTTAGGGCTGACCCTGGTCTTGAAGTCAGGCGCTAACGAACAAACAAGGGGGGAACTGTATTCATATGTCTACTTGACCAGGCGTGGCCGGCCAATCATCCTGAGCAAACTACATTTCAAGCTCACCAGATTTCACCATGCTGATTTGTTTGGATCTTGTAATTGTTACTACTCATGCGCCGACTGATTCGCACATGGCTTCGCCTTCTTGCTCATTTTTGACTTCCAAGTGCTCGAACCTGTCTACGTGTCCTCGACAGACACCTTACACTTCACGGGCGTCCTTCAAGATCTACGCTTTGAATTTGGAGGCCCACTAAGAGCAATCACGGCGGCTTCACCTTGCCGGCCATTGATGGCTTCTTTTTTCTTTCAATTTCTCAGGTTACCTATAGGTACGTTAGCGTCTTGAACGGGCCATCAGCCGCCATTCAATGTGGCCACAGCAGGGACGGATACGGTTCAGGAAACCAAGTTTCCGAATGTTGTGCCTACATGAAGACTTTCTCGCTGGTCCCAGTAGTCCACTCTCGCTTCGGAGTCATCTCGCGTAGACGGCCTCATGGAACTGAGACAGTACTAAGCTACCTCCGTAGATCGGTAGGAAGGTAGTCCAGCGGAGGTACTATCGGCCCGTAAAGCCGGTGCCACCGGGCCGATGGGCTGTCAGCGCTGTCAAATTACTGTGTATGTACTCCGTACCCCGTATGTGACAATGTTAAGGAGCTGGAAGTCTTGCCCGTGCGCTGCGTTTACAAGTACTAAAGTAGAGCCCATGTAAATCAGTGGGTTTGTGACTGGCTGTTCTTGACTTTTAGCTCTGGCTGTCTGTCGAAACAGGATGGTGTTGCATTTGCTCATCCTTTTTGTTTCAACATGTCTCGCCCACCAGCGGCCGTAGGTCGGACGCTCTGTCAATGAGGAGGACGATGCGAATTGACACTGAAAATGAATTGCCAGACTAGTACGGAGCAGTGATCCTGGGCACATTTCGATGATGGCCTTTACATATGATCTTCGCCGGAGCCTCGGGCCAGATTTACAGATCTCCAACTCGGCCCGGCAGGGATGGGATCATAATCAGGGGCGATCCCTTGGCGAGCTTCGCCGGTGCGCTAGGCGCTGAGGTACTGACAGACCTGGCCCACCTAACGTCTAACGACCCTCGAGCGACCCCGGCGACGCACACCCTCCATGCTGAACTTGTTGAAGTTTTGCTTTGGCAAGGTCGTAGGCTTGTAGCCGCAAGCCGGCGCAACTTCCCATGTGTATACAACAGGAGCAATCGATAAATTCACGAGTTCTTTGCCCAACTCCGTCGCCCTCTCGTGCCTCTCTACACGTAAAGAGTCATGACCTGGTCCTGGTTTGTGACTACGCTAAGCTTCCTACGCGCACAGACTCTTGTTGGCGTGATGATAACGCACCTTGCCACCAGCACGCAGAAACTACACAGTACACAACAAGCCAGGGGGGTTTCGGTATGGATCAAGAGAGCAGGTTCTTCCACTTGCCCGGTCTGGCTTGCACAAATGCAGCTCCATCAACCCAAAGTCCCAACTTCACCAACGCAGCACCTGCAGTGCACTTGGGGTGAGGTATGAAGTTTCACGTGCATATATCCGACGTAGGGCAGGTGCACAGTCATGGGCAAGATTGGGGAAACAGGAAAGAGCTCTCCAGTTGCTCCGCTAGCGGATTCCACCATCTCCATTTCTCCACGACACCCGGGACACCAAGGACGGGCCGGGGCGGAAGCTGTCATGTCAAATGCCAAGCATGACCGCGATTGGCACACCCATTGGACAGAACCTGGTTTGGGTTTGCGATCTGCTAACGTCACCCCACGTTTTCTTCGCCTCCACCCAAACTCAGGGTAGCTTCCGAATCAGTCACCAGAAAACTGGCAACGATGCTTGTGGCTGCAGACATGGCCAGTAGCGCTAAGCGTACCTTATGTACATACGGAGGTACCTTACATACGATGATGCGAGTATGTTTTGTCCCGTTGAAACTCGGAAATGGTCCGGATGCGAAGCCAAAGCACGCGCCTTGGCCCCCTACCTCGGTTTACTGGAAGCACCTTCACACCGAGAATTGCCATCCGAGATGGCCGACCCACAATGCTTTGGAGGAATCTCTGGTGAGCTTCAACAGCCAATGGAGTCAGCGTCCCCAGTTTGCGATTCACGCCATGATCCGAGCGTGCAGACGCAGACGTGTGTCTGGGACGAGTTGCTGCCACTGGTGGAGGGATCCACCACCTGCAGTACGGCGACATTCGATAGCACCACTCCAAGCTTTGTACAGACCTTTTAGAAATGCATCAACTACCAAAGCAGCAGCCCCTTGAAGATTTTGACCTTCCTTCCTTTCTCTCTTTGCCCCCAAGGACATCCAGCCGCTACTCTTCCTCGCCGCCCAGCTTCCTGACAGGACTACTCAGGTCCAAAGAAGGTCTGTTCGCCAGAGCCTCGTATACCAGGGTGGCTTCACCCCTAGATAATCACTCGCACCCTTCGCCATTTCCGGCCGAGTCGTTTCCTGATTACACGGTTCCTTTTGAAAAAGAGTTCAATATGTCGGCAGCGCCGACAACACCAACGCCGGAGGACCCCGCTCTCTACGAGTCACGGGCTGGGGTGCCAATCGCTGTAGTCTCAACCGTACTCGCCATTTCCACTGCCGCAGTTGGTCTGCGGTCCTATTGCCGGGCCGTGATAGTTCGTCAGTTCGGAATCGACGACTGGGCCGCCGTTGCCGCCCTGCTTTTGGCCATAGGTAGTGGGATCACGATCGCCGCAGGTATGGTAGACGCCTCTCCACAATCTTGCGTCCATCGCTGACACCTATCGTCCCAGGTACCATGTATGGCAGTGGCAGGCATATGAAAGCGCTGGACCCAACAGAGATCTACAAGTACTTTCGAGTATGGATCATGTCCGCATATACACACAAACCGATGCCTCAAGTAGGCTAATTGTTGACACAGGCATTCTACGTCTCGATTGTGCTGTACAACGCATCCTTGACCGCGACAAAGCTTACCTTCCTGCTTCAGTACTACCGCATCCTGGGAACGGGGCCGATGAAACGCGCCATAATCGCCGCCTTCGTCATTGTAGCCTTGTGGTCGACATCACAGCTTCTTGTCAACATTTTCCAGTGCACTCCCATCCATCGGTTTTGGGTTCCCGACATCCCAGGAACTTGCATCCCACCTCTGCCGTTCTGGTACATCAACGCCGCGGGCAACATTGTGACCGATATCATTGTCTTCATCATCCCCCTTCCGGCCCTGAGCCGTCTAAACCTTCGCAGGGGCCAGAAATTCGCCCTGGTCGGCGTCTTCAGCCTCGGCTTCTTTGTAAGTCCAACCTACCAGTCCCCAGGCCAGCCGCACAAATCAAATGTGTACTAAAACCGAGCCTGACAGACCTGCGCCATCTCGGTCATCCGTATACAGTACCTCCACCTAAGCGAGGACGTCACATGGGACAATGTTGGTGCATCTTGCTGGTCGATCGGCGAAGTTTGCTCGGGTATCACATGTGCCTGCCTCCCAACTCTGCGGCCCCTGATCCCTCGATGGTTCCCGTTTATGGGCTTGCAGGCCTGGCAGAGCGATCCTAGTAGACATTACTACCACAAGTCATCGGACCGCGGCAAATCCAGTGCCACTGGCAACGGCGGCAATGTCCCTGACAACGGCAGCACCAGGGCCATCATATATCCGGAGGACCTAGAGCTGCAAACCGTTGACAGGTTAGAAAAGGGATCCTGGGCAACCCGGGCCGAATTGGACCAGGTAGAACCGAGCCATCAAAAGCATGGCAAAATCGCCAATAAGTCTGGACTGGGATTGAAGCCGACTGTGACGACCGAGATTAGAGTGGGCCCGCGAGCCTCCGACTCGGGGTCATCGACCGGCAGCGGGATCAGGGTCAAGAGAGATTTCATCATGACCAAGGAGTCCAAGTGATTATTTGTTTCTGGATTTTCGTTTCTAGATGGATACCACAAGGGGCGGCAAAATGATACCTACTCAAAAGTTGGAATATTGACATCAACTCAAAACAACCCCGATTTTTGAACTCCTTACTCCTTAGTGGTGCTATCGTTGCTTGAACTTACTGACCCAGAGAAGCAGCCTCCGCCGTACATCTGTCGACCTTCGAATTGTGTGTTTTCAAACAGAGATGTCAAATCGATCTCAGCCGTCCCGGGCCCACGGGACTGCGTTGCACTCGGCAGATGAACCCGCAGCACGGCACGGCAGCCTGTGTGGCCGCAGTTGAGCGAACCACAACCGCACTCGGTGCGACCGTTTGGATCATTCCCCTGACTTGACATTGGGATCAGATGGTTCGCTCTGCTATAAATGGACTAGCCCACCACCTTCACCACTTATCCACTGCAGCAAACTGCTGGCTTAAAGGTTCAGAATGCCAGCTCGTTCGGTTTCGGCTCTTCACTTGAGGCTTGAGTCCCCAGTCCCATGCTCACAGGGGAAATACCAAACCTATGGTTGGACCAATCAAGGCATCATAAATGCAGGATGCATCTGGCCGGTCCTTCCCACCGCCGCATAGTGAACTTGAGCAGCCGACAAGATCGCCGGTCAACACCAGGGCTTCGCCCCGGTCGCTAGCAGCTTATTTACCATACCAAATCAGTTCTCCGGCACAGCTACGGCCAAACGGTTCAGGTCTGCGACTAGTCATTGACAACTCAGCGCTTCGGTTTCCAGTTGCTAGCTCCTTTCAAGATGGCGGATGTCACCCACAAAACCGGTATGGAGAGGTGCAGGATAACGGACCCGCTATATACATGTCGCAATCGTCGCTCGGGCTTGCATCAAGAGACTCTCAGATATCACTGTTGGCCGGCTCCCCTCACAGTCTATATGCCGTGCACGCCCCCACGGCCCCAATTGCGTGCCGGCCCACGCCGATGGCATCAACATCCTACCTTACCTTAGCTAAGGTGAATGCACCAATCCACCACCATGCGATATCTTCGGGAATCGGGAGCTAGTTCGCATGCGGACAGCATCCTGAGCTATTGCTACCTATTTCATGCATACGGTCAACGGAGCCGGGGGATGACGGATACTAGCCCCTTGTGTGTCGAGACAGATAAATGCATGAGGCATCCGGCCAGCTCACGATGGAGAGAACAGCCGTCGGACAATACGATTGTTGTCACTGTGTCACATGAAACTTCCCATCGTCAAATCCCCGCTGTCCTTCTCCCGCCAGGCCCAACCTGATTCTACAAACCCCGCTCAGCACCCAGAAACTATGTTAGCATCACTGCAAGCAATGGCAGAAGAGAAGCGGGATACCGCCATGTCCGAAACCCAACTCATCCAGGACGAAGACGATGGTCTGCAGGTTAGTTGGACCGCAGATGAAGAGAGGGCGTTGGTCCGAAGGTACAATGCCACATGTTCTGCGACTACTATACTTAGTAGCCTGAGGGTGAAGACTGTTGACTGACAAACCGGTGAACAAACGTGAACAGAGTCGATCTCCTAGTGATGCCGCTGTTGATACTCGGCTTCTTCGCCCTGCAGCTGGATAGAGGCAACATGTGCGCTCTCCCAAACCCTTTCTAAACTCACGATTACAGCACAGTCAAGCTGAACAGCCCACAGCGGCAACGCCATGACAGACTTCTTCCTCCAGGATGTTGGCATCACGCAATACCAGTTTAACATCGGTCAACAGCTGTTGTCGGCTGGTATTGTGTTGCTTGAGGTTTGCTTCCCCTGAGGTGCTTCCGCTGCCTTGTACGTCCTCAGACTCGGGGTTAATTCAAAAGCCAGATCCCGAGTAACCTGTTGCTCTACAGGATCGGTCCTGCCGTGTGGATTGGGTCGCAGATTCTTGCATGGTATGATTTAGTTGCATATTCCGAGGTTTTTGTTAGGATAGTCAGCTCACAAAGCATCTAATCCAGGGGCTTTGTTGCCACTTTTCAAGCATTTCAGAAAGGCCTGGGTCCGTATCTCGCAACGCGATTACTGCTTGGGTGAGATACGTCGAAGCTGCTTATTTGGCCGCTACTACGCTCCATACCTTACATGGATGTATGTACTGACTGGTACGACATGATCCAGATTATGCGAGGCAGGATTCATCCCTGCCGGCCTCTTCACCATCACTCGCTGGTACAAGCGCGAAGAGACCACCACGCGGTTCTCATGGTACTTTATTGGCAATTTGCTTGCCGCTGCTTGCTCTGGGCTCGTGGCCTATGGGATGTAGGTGCTGCCCGATCTCACACCCAACTAACCGAATCGCAAGTAGAGGAACTGAGTAAGTAAGCTAATTCCTGGGTATATAGCCTGCATTTGAGAGGCGTTTGCGGCCTGGCTGGATGGCAATGGCTGTTCTTGGTAAGTCTGGATCGAGCCATGCGGGAAGACAAGACAAAACAAACTCGTGTTCTGACTCGGGATATCCAGATTGAGGGCATTTTCACCATCCTCGTGGGCATCTTGTTCATCTGCCTCTTTCCCCTCTCAGCGGAAAACCCCGTTTCAATCCTCGGGCTGCGGTACTTTAGCGAGCGAGAGGCACAGATCCTGCAACAGCGAGTGCTGCGAGACGACCCGACCAAGGCCCAGAAACGCAAGAATGTTAGCTGGGATGAAATCAAGGCAACTGTTTGTTTGCCCACTTTCCTTCCCTTTTTACGTCCGGAACATCCCTAACATTACCACTAGTTTACCAACTGGCGACTGCTCCCTCACCTCTTCATGACCTTCTTAGGGTTGGCACCTGCCAGCACAATGGGCGCCTACGCTCCGTCGCTGGTCGTCTCGTTCGGCTTTGACCGGCTCAAGTCCAATGCCATGACCTCCGTTGGCGCCTGGTGTCTGCTCGTCACTAACATCATTTGGGGGACGGTTGCCGACAGATTAAGACTGAGGGGAGCCATGGTCTTTCTAGGCCTGCTTGTCTTCTGGGGGTTCACGGCAAGTTACCCCCTTTCACCACCCTGCTGAGTTTGCCCCAGTCTCAACTCCGTGTCTACGAACGAGCATGCTAACCGCAACGCACAAATTAGCTGGGTAACCGCCTGCTTATCGAATCTACCAATTCCAACCTGAGGTTTGGAATACTCACTGCGGCGCTGGCGTTTCAAGTCACTTGGCGTAAGGACTTGTCATGTTTATTTTCATCCCCTGAAACCCGGACGTCGCGACTAACATCCCGTGTTACTGTAGACCCCGTCAATGGTTCCTGGCTGGCTATCAACGCACGAACGGCCGGCGAGCGCTCCGTCACCATGGCGCTCCTCATTATGAGTGCCAACATTTCGGGCATCATTGGGAGTCAGCTCTTCCAGGCAGAGGATGCCCCCACGTATAGGAAGGGCTGGACGGCCATTATCTGCTTGGTCTCTGCCTCGCTCGCCATGTCCATTCTTGCCAACCTGCAGTACTGGCTACTGAACAGGTTCCAGAACAGGAAGGGTGAGGCTAGGTATCAGTATTGAGAGAGGCGGCTTGGGGGCATATCCTTGTATCTTATTGTCGCGGTCAAACGACCCACCCCCTGGCAGCAGAAAGCCAGTTTTGTGGTGAGCATGCATTAAAGTACACCGCGTACAGTACTACGTTAAGTCAGATTTTTACTTAAAACGAGACGTTGTAATAGCCATCACCAAGAATAAGCATCAACCTCCAACACAAACACCACCCCACGCTTCCTCCCCTCCTCTCTCCCCATCCGTGCAACCTTATCCCTCACATCATCACAAAGCCCTGCAGGACCACAGGCCACAACTCCAATCCTCCGCCACCCGGCGCGCACCTCCTCTTGCAACAATCCATCAACGTCGACCCTCTTACCAATCCTGACATCTTTCTCTGCGGGCAGAGCATGCTCAAGCGCCCGGACGAGCCCTTCCCCCGAGGCCGTCCGCCGCACGCTCCAGCACAGTTTGACGTTGGGGTGGCCGCTGCTGCATGCCCAGGGAAGTAAGGCCGTGATGCCTATCCCGCCGCCAATCAGCAGCACCCGGTCGCATGAGAGCACCGCGCCAGTGTTGGGGTTGTTCGGGTACGGTCCGTCGAGCAGTGCGACGACGCCGAGGCCTCCTTCGTGTGTAGTAGCGCGCAGAGAGCGCGTCATGCCGGCTGATTTGCGGATGAAAAAAGTTATGCCAGCTGGCGCAGGGGTTGCATTGCATGCTCGTGTTGTGGTGGTGTTGTTTGTTGTAATTGTTGTTGTTGTTGTGCCGTGCCCCTTTTCGACGGCATCATCACTGGCCCGATCCGATGGCGGCGATGTGGTTGGGCTGGCTTCATGCTGCTGGGTAAAGCGGGAAGGCGGATGCAGATGCGTCGTGGAGAGAATCGAGAACGGGTGGTTTTCCCACGGCCGCAGCGGGTTGAGAGTCGGGAAGTATATGTACGCGTGCTGGCCAGGAACAGTGCCCCAGCGGACACCCGCGATGTCGACTCGGACGATGTCGTCGCCAACCTCGGTTATCCGGGCGCGATGTACGCCGGCTTTGAGTACGCGCAGTACGCGGACTAGACGCTCAAAGAACCAGACTGCACATGCCGCGTATATCCTAGTAGAGCGGCCATCAGTGAGCTCCTCGCATGTTTCAAGGGCTCAGAGTCAAAGGATGGACATACCACATCTCGTAACCATACTTTCTCTGGAACCTGAGCTCGACATGGTACCAACAGCCAACGACGACGAAAACGGCAAGGAGAATGTGGGTGATGAGAAAGATCTCGTACGACCAACGTCGCACGTACAGTCCACTGCCGACCAGCATGATGCTAGCCGCCACTGTGGCAACCGCGCCCCAGATCCAGTAGTCGAGCTTCTCTTCGGCCGGGTACGCCCCGGTGTCGCGGTAAATGACCAGCGCCAGGATCGAGTGAAGGATTGCCTGTATGGCAAAGATGCGCGCCACCCAACGGTGCAGCAACAGGTAAGTCGCATGCGACCAGTCGCTCAGCCACAGGAGGACGTTATTCCTCGTCGAGAAAAGAATCACAAGCGGAAGCAGCGCAAAAGCGAGTGTTCCCGTTCGGTAGAGCACATACGACATGATCTCGCGCCACTGATTGGTGTACCAGACGTTGGGCTGAAACGAGCGATAGTTGACGGCGCTGAGCACGACGTTGAGCACAACCATGAGGGCGATGTAGAGTGCCTGTCCGACGGTGGGCGCATTGCCGAGAAGATAAGGCAGAGGCCGCACCTGGTATGTTCCCACGGCGCTCGGGTAGACGAGGTATGGTTTGATCTTCTCGAGTATCCCGGTCATATACGGGAGGTAGCCCAGCCATGTGAGCACCACTGGCGTCCCAAAGCCCGTAACCAGTATCACGATCCTGACCGGGTTTCAAAGCCATCAGTAACGACCATCGACAGTTGACCTCTCAGGACAGGTTAAGGGGGGAAAGGCGAGGTGTTCTCCATAGTCCATACCCATATCTTGGATGTATTATTTCTTCATACTCCATGGTGACCATCGTGCCCAGCTGACTCTCCCAATCCGACTCGGGAACGAGTGCCGTGAAGTTGAGCCTCTCCTCGGGTCCAAGTTCTCTCGTTGGGTGATGGGATATGCTGGCTAGGGCAGTTGCGTAATCCCATTTCGCGGGAACCGACGGGTCCCCTGTGGCCTGTTCTGCCCAGTACTTCTCCAGAGACCAGGTAGGAATAGAGTATAACTCGGCGCACTTCATGTGCAAACACATAGCGAGCGTCGTCAGATAGGCCGTGTCTCCCGCGCGGCACGACGGAGACGTCATCATCATGCCGCCGTCATGACCGTGGCCCTCTTCCGACATATCATGAACGGAACATGACAGCATAAACGGGGCTAAGGCTTGAGAGCAGGCGTAGGCGCAAGGCGGTTTCCACATGTCGGTGTCGATGCCAACAAGGGCGCGGGCAGCCCGTGGCAGGATGCATGTCTGCAGCAGCCCGAGAGCCAACGAATGCCTCATACTGCAAGCTCTAGCTCGAATGCTCGGAATCCGTCTGCGAGAGGTCGATTTGGCTGATGAAGCCCTGGAGCAGGACAGGCGTGGGCGAAAGAAGCTTGTATACTAGTAATTCCGGTCATATTGTGCTGCGGTTGGCCAGCTCACAGGATGAGCGGTTATGAGCAAGTTAAACGCCATCTGAAATCTGGGTGACAGGGGCTATAACTGGAAGGCCCCGGAAGATGCTATGCCGACAAGCTGCATATTGGAGTCGATTTCAGTTTGTTCCGGCTGAAAAGATTATATGAGTATCCGGGAATAGCTCGATTTGATTCAAATATTGAATCCTTCAGATCTTTCTTCAGCCTGGAAGTATGGAGTTGAGAGCCAACCTATATTTGTTGCGGCAGCATGATGGCGTCTCACATGGCTACACACGTCACAGCCTTGGCACTGGAGTTGGCAGGTTGTTCCGTTTCCTGTTGAGGTAAGCTACTCGATGGCAGCTCACTATGTGAACCCCGACCCCAGGATAGGAGCAGCAGCAGCACTCTGAAAGCTTTCAAGTGGGATGGGTGTTAGTGGCATGGAGGGGATCTACTAATGTTGACTATCAAGGCCTACTTACTATACCGAAACCTTGAACGACGTGCACTTCCACTCATAGTCGCACATGTACGGGCTGCCACCGCCGTGTCAGATATAGAGCAAGTCGAGGCCTCACGAGGCTAGTGGGACGGCGGATGCGCTTGCTAGCTAGTAACCTCGTTTGATTTAGTAAGGTAGTGTGCGCGACACGAGAAGGGGAGCATGCTCAAGGAGTCAATAAGCTGATGGCGAACCATATGCATGTTTGACTAGAAGAGACACTTACTTGGTTGCCTTCAAATCGTTTTCTTTACGAGGATAGATGCTTAGCTGCCCACGGCATCGAGTTACAACCTGAACCGTTTGCTCGCTTCGGTAAACGTCATGCCCTTCTCAATTTCAACGGCCATCTTCGAATCCGCCTCCACCTGCTTCGCCATGAGCGGCAGTGCTTTCTCGGCTAGATCCCTGGGCAAGACAACAACTCCATTCAAGTCTCCGACGAGATAGTCTCCCGGATTGATGGTCATGTCCTGCTCGTCCGTCTGAAGCTTGACGGGGACATTGACGGCAACCACTTTGAGCAGCGGCGCCGGGGGTGCGGTGCCCACGTCGCGGGCGAAAATCTAACTTAATGTCTTAGCTTGGCTGTGTTACAGGTGCAATGTTGTGTCTAGGAAAGGGGCAAAGCTGCCTACCGGGTAGCCCAAGTCCCTCTGCTCCTGCAAATCCCGAAAGCGCCCGTCAATGACGGATCCCACGGCGCCGGTGGCTTTGGCACGAGTTGACATCAACCCGCCATAGACAGCGTTGGGAATCTTTGGCGGGCATGACACGAAAACCACGGCACCTGCAGGGACTGAGTCGATCTAGGCGGCCGTTTCAGTTGCGGATCAGTGTGGCAGGATCACAGGAGCCAACTGACATAGTGAGTGGGATGCTTGGGCCGCGGGTCAGCTAGCGGTGCGTACAGGACTGTGTATGCCGGACCGATAATCTTGGTAGGCCCGTCCTGGCGCTGCGGTGACCACATGCTGAGGCCAGAAAGGAAGCCGCCATTGGGATGTTTGAGCTTGCAGAGCGCGTCCGAGACATCGCATCTGTGGAATGACTTGAGTACATTCTGAAAACCCTTTGGAAGGGAGCTGAAATAACATTACGTTGTGTACTTCTGCAACGCCTTCACGATGGGGTCTCCAAGCGGGCTTGCCATGATAGTGGACGACCACTTTGTCCCTGGTAGCCGAGGTACCTAAGTGTGCGGCTTGAAACCTGACTGATCTGGTAGCGACTTAAGATGAACCAAGGCCGGAAGTGGCTCCCATGAGCAAAGTACAAGGCCGAAATAAGATTCTATAGACTGTAAAATGCATAGAAATGGTACCTAGTTCGCCTAGATAGTCGCTGCTTGAAGTGAATGGTGGTGTTGGATGCCGATCCCGATGATTGATGCAATCATTGCAATGGTCGATCTCATGTCTCTGCCCTTTGGCATGTGGGAAGTGGAGCCGTAGATCCGATCCGATGCCGGGTCAAACCGGCACTTAGCGGCGGTTTGTGGAGGATTTCGACATCACCGCCCTGTTGGGCCTTTGCATGTTCTGCTACCTAGTGGTGGCCAATGATTGGACTTTTGCTGACCTGCGCCGTACCTTGCTGGAGGTTCGGATTCTCTCTGCCAGCATCGGATTGGTCTGGCTCGCAAATGGCAGTCAGCAACGAAGGATGGGCCAATGGCTCGGTACCTACCTTGGGTCATCGAGTGAGACATCCCTCAATAACTGGGGTTGCATCTGCAAGGAACAGGAGACTATTAGTAGTACATACACCAAATTGAATGACAGACTGGTATTTGGGATGTTCGACTGTTCGCCCACAAGGAGTCAAGGGCCAAGGCAAGTTGGTTGTAACGTTAGTGAGGAGTTCAACGTCTGCTCGGTTGCGAGAAGCTGCCAGCTGCAAGCGAGTTGTCCACGCAATCCAGCGGCTCTTTCCCCGCAATCATATCTCGATCAAGAGAGAGTCCAACTCGTCGCAGCATGGTTCCTTCCCAGATGCTGACATCAGACAAAAGAAGACAGGCAATGCCTTACAAAGTTTCCGTAAAATATCAATCAGCTAATGGAGCCCGAATAGATGCACGGAGTAGAAACATTCTTTTCCAGGAAACTGGAAATAAAGTCATCAATGTTTTAAGGGGCTTGAACAAGATTGTCAACACTGTGGGCTATGTACAGTACATACATACAAATCAACCTTGCCCCACGTTGCCTGCTGGCTCCCTAATGGACGGGCCCAGCCGCTAGGCCAGCCTTACCAGAAGCGGCAGTTACACTGCGTTGTACGGCTTGGCGGCATTGGAGTGTCTCCGTGTTTTGCAGGCTAAAGGGCTGGGGCAGCCTGGTTGCCGCCTGGCTGACTTCTCTTCCTCCTCGACCGCACGCATATGCGCAGAGTTGTCAGCAAATCGACGATACCTGCAATCTCGAGCCGGATTGAGGAAGATTTGAACGCCGGTGTACGAGATCAAAAAAATAGCGATCCGGTGTGTCCGTCCTGTCCGTCCAGTACCTAAATCGAGGCTGGGAAAACCCCCGCCTCTCCCTAGGACCCCTCGCACGCAAATCCGGAAGCAAGAGCACACTGCTTACAAGCCATCACACATCAAGTGCAGTCCTGGCCCGTCCTTCTACGGGAAAAAGCGCGATGCGGAGGTAGTCTACAAGTCGTAGCAGGGCGAAGCATCATATCGATCGACCGAGCAACTTCTTCTCGGCCGTTCTTGTCGTGGACCCGGGCGCCATGTCTCCGCCATTTCGCCTAGCAATTCCCATCCCTACGCCGCTGCCAGGGATCGACAGCAGCGCCAATGCTCTCGTATCGGCTCTACAGCGTCGAAGAAACGGAAGGAATCCATCAGAGCAGAAAACGGTACAGGTACGCATACGGACGATTGACTGCCCTCGCCACCGCCAGTTGAAATAGACCTCCTAATTAACAACATCCTGTGCAGATCATAGGCTATGTGCTCGCTGCCCTTGTCGGCCTCGTCGTGCTCGTCATTCTCTTTCGTTTCTTCTATATCAGGCGCCGCCGTGCCGCCCACAACTACCATCCGGCGCATCGCGACGATGACTCGCCTACTACTCGTCAAATCAACCGACATAACCAAGACAATTTGGAAGACGCATTAACAGAGGCCCAGGCGCGAGACGGGAGCGGGCAAGCAGTAAACGGGGATGCCGGGGTAGATCGAACGACCTCGGTCCGTAGCGTCATGACGCTCCCTGTGTACCGACCAAAAGCGACCGAAAACGAGCAGGTGATTGGTGTCGAAGGGGAGCGCGACGGGATCGACGTTGTGGTGGAGATGCCCACGGCCGAGCTGGAGGAAGCGCTGCGCGACGAGGAAATGGAGGCTCTTTACCGGATTCGGGCCGCCCGGCGCCGCCAGATTGCCGACCGCGAGGAGAGACGCCGTCTTCGCCGCGAGGCGCGCGAGGCAAACGACGTGGTGGCACTGCGAGAGCTCCGTGACCGCGCACGCGAGCGCGCAAACCAAAACGTGGCCGAAATTGAAGCACTGCGCCAAGAGCACGAACGCATCCGAGAAACCCGACAGCGCGCCGTCAGCAGCGTGTCGTACGCCGATCTGGGCATTGCCCGCGCCGACGGGACCCGCATCCGCGCCAACAGCACCGAAAGCACCGAGCGCATCGGCCTACTCAGCGACGCAGCAAGCATGGACGGTAGCAGCCTGTTTCAGCGCCGCGACCGGAGCGCAAGCGCGAGCCTCAGCATCGACACAGCCCGCAGCCTGCACAGATCTGAGAGCCCCGCCCTTACCGTTGGCGGCGGCGCAAGTCCGTACACGCTTGTTACAGGAGGAGGGCGGACTCCCAACCGCTCAAGAGCCAGCTCGGCCGCGACCACCCCGCGTGCCGGGTCCAGCCCGGAGATGATCGACGCCGAGGACGCTGCCTCGGCCGACCTGGGCCTGGGCGGCGCGGGCTTCCCGCCTCCGCCGGGATACGACGAGGTCAGTCTCGGCGAGCTAACGCCCATGCATTCCCGCCGCAACTCCATCGTGTCGGCCGTCTCAGCCTTATCCGGAGGAGCCAGCCGGAGCGCCAGCCCTTACCCAGAGCCGCCGCCTGAATATCCCGGTCCGAGTCCCGTCCCGAGCCCCGGGCTCTCCCCTGGCGGGCCGGCCCAAACGAGGAATAACAGGCTGTCGGCGCACATGGAGGACCTGGCTGCGCAGGTACAAACGCAGACGCGGGCCGAGGAGCAATCAGGGAGCAGCAGGACAAGGCCACAGGGCGGCGTGCCAAGACTGCCCAGTCTGAGGATGCACCAGGTGCCCCAGATTGTGATTGAGCCTTCAAGTGCGAGACCTTGAATAACAGCCTACTAATACCGAGGGAGTTGTGTCCTGCAAACGCACTAGGTTAATGGGCATATCTATGGCCTGGAATGGTGGGACGGGGCGAAAAGGAGGGGCGCGTTGGAAAAGTTGGAGAGCAGCATAGGTATAATGCCAGGGCATGTCGTGGCTTTGCGGAAGCTGGTACAGTACAGGTATTGGCTGGTTTGGATACCCCCCTTGACAGAGCCGATATAGGCACTGATATGTATTGCATATATACTTGTCTTGCTTTTTGCTTTTTTTCTTGGGGCCTTTCTTGTCGTGGATTCATGGAGTCGTGGAGTGTTGGAGTGCAAGGGATTGAGTCTTCAGAACTGGGTACCTGGAATTCAGCGATGGGTTTGGCATGTTGGTAGGATCCTAATGTTTTCACTGATGATCTGCGAAGGGGAAACACACCCTAAGGTGTGACGTTTTATCTGGCATCGCCAAATATCTGCACTGGTGGCATTGTTCAGGCGGGTTGCGGCGTGCTGTAGAAAAAGAATACCTTGTGCATGAGTCTCACCGACTGCTGTAGAGTGCCTAGTCCGAAGGTCATGCGATGCTTGAGAGCCGGGACGCTGAAGTGTACAGACTTCTACTGAGTACGCCGCTGGCTGGGTGGGCAGCTGATCCCGCGCCTTCACGCGCTGTCTTCCGGTGGGCGCCGGCCAATGCCGTGAGACCCGGAACACTAGGTACCTATTTTAGTGAATGGGTTGTCCCAGGGCGGACATTACACAAGATTCAACCCGCGGTTAGTGTGGTTAGTAATTCCAAGCACACATCCCTAGGGGTGTGTACAATATCACTAAACAAAATCCGTCCTCGGCTCCAGCGTCATGCTCAAAATTGGTGGGGCGAAATCGGCGCACCTCGGCAGCCGACATTGTCTTTTTGCGGCATTGCAGGTGATGGGTTTTTCATACTTCAATTCAACTCCGGAAGACGGGACAAACCATGGGGGCTTATTAACACAACCGTTCAAGCAAAGGGGATGATACACCATTTCACATACTTAATGGCGATGGCATCATTCAGCGCCCTTCGAAAGCCCCTGGCACCGTAAGATCCGGTCTAGGTTTCCGGTCCCCGAAGATGCTATGTAACCCACTTGCGGGTTTCGAGCCCGCGGCAAAGGCGGGGAAAGAAGTGCAGCCGGGGGCGACAGCTTACGCCCTGATTATATCCGAACAGATACTACGGAGTACACTAGGTTCGATTTTATCAACCGAAAACTCTCTGCAAGGTGTTGTTGGATGGAGTCACTCGATAAAAAGGGGGGCCATGCCCCCAAACTCCACCCGGCAATGGGACGGTTCAGCGCCATGACTACAACAGACCCCATTACTCATCCCGATCCAGTCTCGCGATCAGAGCACGTTGGGGGTCGAAAACCCTTGACCCGGGATAGGCAAAACCGCGTGCTTCGAGAACCGAGAAAAACACTAGGGTCGCGAATCCTTGGGGCCCAGAGATCGCACAATGGAAAACGACGCCGAAAAGTCAGACAACTCCGAGTCAGACCGTACTGAGCGGGCGTCATCCATCGACATCCAAGCTGACGGCGTCGTCACCGCTGCGGCCAGGACCATGCCGCGGCAGCCAGCGGCTTCGGCTTCGGCTTCGGAGCCGCATCCCGCACAACCGGACCAGGTACCCGACGGGGGTCTCACGGCGTGGTTGCAAGTCCTCGGATCGGCGGCGATTCTCGTCAACACGTGGGGCGTGATCAACACCTTTGGCGTCTTCCAGGCGTACTATGAGACCGAGATGCTCAAGACGCACTCGTCGTCGGAAATCTCGTGGATCGGCTCCGCGCAGGGGGCGTTGCTGTTCCTGGTGGGCGTACTCGCGGGCCCGCTCTACGACGCAGGGTATTTCCGTGAGCTGCTGCTCGTCGGTCTCTTCCTGATCGTGCTCGGCCAGTTCATGGTTTCGCTCTGCACCACCTACTGGCAGGTGTTCCTGTCGCAGGGCTTGACCATGGGGATAGGGATGGGGCTGACCTTCCTGCCGTCGGCCGCCATCCTGGCGCAGTACTTTTCCAAACGCCGCGCCCTCGCGCTGGGGATTGCGAGCGCCGGGTCTCCAGTGTCTGGCACCGTGTTTCCCATCATTTTCAGCCAGCTGCAACAAACGGTCGGGTTTGGCTGGGCAACGCGGACCATTGCCTTCATCCTCCTGGGCACCTCCATCATCCCCATCGCCTTCATGCGGACGCGCGTGCCACCGACGGGTAAAGCCCGCGCCATCATCGACAAGACCGCGCTGCGCGATGCGCCGTACCTGTTTGTCGTCTGTGGCGGTTTCTTCGCCTTCCTGGGGCTCTATGTGACGTTCTTCTACATCACGCTGTTCGCAACGTCGCACGGCGCGGCCACGGAGAGTTTTGCGCCGTATCTGGTAACGCTGCTCAACGCCGGATCCATCGTCGGGCGCTTGATCCCAAACGCGCTTGCCGACCGCTGGGGTTCCTTGAACGTTTTGGCGGTGTGCTCATTCGCCAGCGCGATCCTGGTCTTTGGCTGGTTGGGGATTCATAACACTGCCGGCGCGGTGGTCTACGCGGTGTTGTACGGGGGGTTCTCGGGTGGTGTTGTCAGCATAATTCCCAGCGTCATGGTCACGCTCTCTCCTGATATGGGACGGGTTGGGACGAGAATGGGCATGGCGTTCTTGGTATCGGGCGTGGCCATTCTCACTGGGACACCCATCGCAGGGGCGATTCTGGGAGAGGAGAGCGACCCGGACTGGTTGGGTACCATCCTGTATTCGGCATTTGCACTTCTCGTGGCGACGTTGTTGTACATGACTTCGCGAGCTCTGCTGTACAAAAAGAACGGAAAATGCAAGGCCTGAGCCGTATCAGCGTCAAATGACCAAAGTTCCACATACGGGGTTCGATGTGAGAGCTTACCTAGATAGGTGGTTAGGCGTTTGGTCTGGCTGGACATCCCATAGGCGACGAGGCGTACGGAAAAGAGCGTTGAGCTTCTCAATTGATTCCGTTCCCGCATCTCAAGGTGGGGATTGGGCGATTGCTGGGACGTGATACGAAGTAGCAAAAGTACAAGTGACTTTAGGAGCGCGTACGGGGCTTGGAGATGGCAACTAGTTAGGGACCGTGGCGCCAATCAAGCGTCGGGTCCGTACTGTTAGAGGCCCAAAAACGGAAGGATCTCGGGGCTTGATCCATATATCAGACTGCAATCATCAACCGGCAATGATGCGGATTTCAACCAATAACTGTATAGAACACTGATGGAGTAGGACTGAAGGATCACAATGTTAACATGTTAATATAGCCAAAGGAACCTTCCATGCGCAGCCAACGATGAGAAACAACTTAACGCTACCGTGCCTATGTCAGGCACCAACAAGACCAAACGGTTTTCCCCGCCCAGTCGTACGCACAAAGCCGGACCCATTTCCGGACTAGGGAGGCTTTCAAATTGGAAGCGGTCTGTTGGCGTAATGTAGCATGAGTGACTAGGTAGCTATGTGTGAGCTGAATGCCATCAATACCTGAGCGACCAAGCTGTCTGGGAAAGGATTGAAATTTGGTCATAGGATGAATACGTTTGTGATATTGGGCGGGTATTTACAACTCGGTCGACTTCAAGTGTGAAGGGTCTAAGCAGCTCCGAGTCATGAACGAAGTATGCTGTCTTTGCCGATACTGACCCCTATTTCAAGTTCATGGACAAGCCGGTCGCCGGATCACCTAGGCGGCCAGAATCAAGCCAACCGTCGCCTGCCACCGCAGGAATCATGATTATCTCCATAATTCCATGATGCCGTGGCGCAAGAAGGGAGTATAGTAGTATATGCATACAATCACTTCTCCATGTGAAGTACGGGAAGATGCTACGGTAGGTAGTACCTAGGGGGCACAACCAGGCGGGGGTTTTCGATATGAGACCTACTTAGTGACCTGTGTAGTACTGGAAAGTTCCTCGCTAGATCCTTTCACTCCTTTAGCCAACTCTTGCCATTTATAAGGGATTGGTAAGGAACTGGGGATGTTTGACTTGAGTACCTTAGCTACGAATCTAGGTAGTATGGGATCATTTACGGATCATGATGTTGGTGACAATCATGATGGAAGAGTAAGGTACCAAGGTAAGAACTCAGAGCTACCGGCCAGTACGAAGTATAAGTAGTCACTAATTGCCTGACGTCGCTCCTCGACAAACAGCCTATCGACCTACTCTACCAATAACACTTTTCAACGATTCAGACACATACCTACCTACCTTAGCTACCTAAGCAAGCACAGTTCATATTTCATTATCCATATCTGCACCTCGACTCTCCAACTCATCCGACCTAACTACTAGTAACTGCCTCCGAGTCCCTCACCTGGAATGGCGCTCAAGACGCTCCTCCTAGTCCTCGTCACGGCCCTCGCCGGCACAATGGCAGCAGACTTCTCGGGCAACGGACAGTTGCGCACTCTTGGGCTCCTGCCGGATCCCGTGGACCTGGGCTGCCTGACCAACGAGGGGAAATGGACGACCGACGAGGCCAAGTGCGGCACTTTTGTTGCTTTCCTGTTCGATGAGGTCAACTTCAACCTGTCGACCCCCACGGGCGCGTGCGGCATGCCCTGGTGGGGCGACGGCAACACATATCTATTCAAGTGCGGCATGGCAGAGGGCCAGATTTTTGCGGTATGTTTACTATGACTTAGTTTCCATGGATGTTTTGTTGCCTTAGTAGTTGCGTGTACAGTTGCGTGTACCGTGAGTCCATGACTCGTTCAGTCATACATCATATGCATGAAATGGAGAGCTACGAGTACTATAGAAGCTGAAGCTAACCCGGAGTTGTGGCGGGGGAAATAGAAATACCTGGGAGACAAGCCTGGCCAGAGCCCGATTCCGGGAAGAGACATCTTGAGATATGTAACGGCCTATGCCTGGTCTACCTCCGGTCCTAGCCCCCCTGCGCCTAGCGATGAGCCTTTGGAAATCCACATGTGGCGTGGGTCGTCGAAGGACAAGGGCAGGCCGATAGCCCTGGCATGGAAGTCGTTGGCTTAGGCCGAGACGGTGGCAAGATTGCTGTAGACAAGACGCCTAACTGGAAATGATGTTATTTTGGTGTTGAAGTGTGAAGAGTCGGGGCTACGAGTGGTATTGGTATGGTACTATTGTAGGTACCTTAGTACCAAGTGTCCAGGATAGCAACTTGAACATGATCGGAACCAGTGTTTACGGTCAAGCGGCTACGACTTTAGATACTCCAGTCCGTACTCATACAAGTGTTAGCGAGCATAGCTGGGTAGAGTCTTGGAGTACTCTCTGTGCGGGTACATCACGTATTAGAAGCAGATGAGCATGGAGCGATCGTTTGTAGGTACGAGGAATCGACTGTTCGGCCACCTACGCGCCCCGGCGCCCGAGTCCACGGCCACGCCCGGTCATCCGATCACATCAACCGAAGGTTCAACACAAGTCACTCCGATGGAGCAGGCTGAGCATCGAATTGATCACGGCTATCCACCATGGAATAGCCCGGCTGATCCGAGAAATGGAAAGGAGAGCCACCCACACGAACGTGGCCGCTCCGCAACTGAGCAACGCGGTCAATTGAGTTCAATGGAGGGCAGTTGCGGTGAAGGCATTGCCGTCTTCTTGTGTGGGCCGGCACTCGATACATGGCTCCGACTCCGAGTCGCATGTTCTGTACTGTGGTATGTAAGGGTTAGGGTAGGTAATAGGGGTCTGCCTTCCTCATTCCTCAACGCCAAAGCAGGGCCGACGGTCGTACAGTACAGGACAAGAAACGCCAACACCCATCAACACACCACAACATCCATCACATCGCTGTCCTTAGTCGGTATACGGCTTGCTTGCGCATTTAGCGGTGTTTCGGGACCTGGATTCGGCGGGGGAGCTGTCCTCTAGGCTCTGAACTCGTCGGACGGCAGATCGTGTGATAACGTTACCTGGTTGCCTTATAACTGTTGGAAATACATAGCGAAGCCGATTACCTACATACTTTTCGAGTTAAAGGAAGCTCAGTACCTGTAATCCTGAGTTTGTGGCATTGGGCGGTTATTGAAGTGCCTACCCACAGTGTAAGTGTATGCCACACCAGTATCGATGGAACGACGCTGGAAGCTCCTGGAACAACGTCGCAAAACATGTCGCAAAGCCGAACGAGTCGGGTGCTCTCACCAATGGCGACTTCGGTCGTGTCGTGTCGACATGCTCCATTTCGTGGGTAGGACCGACTGAACAGCCGAGCAGATAAACGAGGATTTGTCAGTGTTACTAAAACGAAGCGTGAATGAGTGGAAGCACCTAAGCGGTCCATTTGTCCCACAATTGCTGTAAGCTCTTATTCAGCGACCTGAAGGCCTAACAGCTGTGGAGTTGCCGGATTCCAGTGGACTGTCCTTATTTGGGGAAGATTGGGCGAGGGGTGGCCCTTGGCGATCAAAGAACCCCTCCGACGCCAAGGTTGCCCACTTGCCCCTCCATGTCCTTGTAAGGTTTCCAATTCTTGAACCTCATTGTTGATTTGAGGATGCTTATCCGATCATGACGAATGCAGCCACCGGTTGCAGCCCCGACCTGTGCGCCAGAACCTATCAGGACCTCCTTAAAATGTGACGTGCTTAGAGACCAATGGAACCCCCGTGGAATGTAGTACATATATATATAGCCGGTGCCCTATCCGGATCGCCTCCATTGCCCCTCTGCTTTCCATCATCCACAGTTCCACACCCTAATACCTCGTTTCCCCCCATTCGACTCGACTACCTGCGCCTTTGGAGACATCGCCTTTGCCACAATCGCAATCATGGCGCCCAAGATCGCAATTGTCTTCGTATGTCGGCCGCCCGTGGCTCCCAGTTTCGTGTGGCGGCTCCTTTAGATTCCCAGCTGACTCTATTCGGACAGTACTCGATGTACGGCCACATTCGGCAACTCGCCGAGGCTGAGAAGGCCGGAATCGAGAAGGCTGGCGGCACTGCCGATCTTTACCAGTATGTTTGACGTCCGAGCTAGGTCCCCAGAGGAGCTAGGAGCCCGAGAACCTGACCATCATGCTAACTCTTGTGACACAGAATCCCCGAAACACTGTCTGAGGACATCCTGACAAAGATGCACGCGCCGCCCAAGCCAACAGACATCCCCGTCCTGGAAGACCCAGCGACATTGGAACAATATGACGGCTTCCTGCTGGGTGTTCCCACACGGTACGGCAACTTCCCCGCGCAATGGAAGACCTTCTGGGACAAGACCGGCAAGCAATGGTCGACGGGCGGCTTCCACGGCAAGTATGGCGGCGTCTTCATCTCGACGGCCAGCATGGGTGGCGGCCAGGAGTCTACTGCCATTGCCATCATGAGCACCTTCGCCCACCATGGCATCATCTACGTGCCCCTTGGCTACGCCAATGCGTTCGCTCAGCTGACCGACATGTCGGAGCCGCGCGGCGGCACCCCGTGGGGCGCGGGTACCTTTGCCGGTGCCGACGGCAGCCGCCAGCCGAGCGACAAGGAGAAGGAGATTGCAACGATCCAGGGCGAGTCATTCTACAAGACGGTCGCGAAGTCTGTTGGTGCGTGATCACCTGGCGGGGTCGAAAGAGAGACAATTGTGCCTGTGGCTAATGGGCAGTGAGTGGGAAGGGAGGTCAGGAGGCAACGCTAAAGCTGTGACGGCTGCTGCCAAGGACGCCAATGTCAAGGAGACGAAGGAGACGGAGACGAAGAAATCGGGCAAGGAGGACGCTGGAGGCCCTTGCGGGTTACCCGTGAAATGCGTTATTTTGTGAAGAGCGAATCAAAATACAGTTTAAGCCAGGCCTATCTGTCTTCTTTGATCTGGGTCGTGATGATGCGAAACGAAGCAGCGAGAGAGCCTGAGAGTTCGGCTGACAGGTCGGGTACCTCTTGCTGATCCGAGAGTTTCACAGTGGGGTAGCGGTAACGTGCATGAGGGGCAGTTTGAAGATAATCCAAGCGTCGCTGCGGATGGGGCCTAACCCGGGCGGGTCTGAGTCGCTGGGCCGGGTCGTCTCAACTCTCTTTTTGTCACTTGTGAGACTGCAATCCCATCCTGGCTTCACTGAAGTGCCTTCAGGAGAACTTAGCGACACTGCACAGCAAAAAAATAGTCAGCGTGGTTCAGTGTGGAATTGTTGAGCCAGTGGCTTTGCTTGTCAGGGAAAGGGTTGGCATAAAAATACCACTCTTTTCTGCACAATCTTCTGCCGGCGTTCGGGATCAGTCCGATCAAACCCAAACCAAGCTCCAAAGTCCAAACCCCTTTCATCGTACACGATATCGATGTGAAATTGAGTATGGGTAAGTCCAGACACCTCCTAACTCAACAGTGGCAGAACAAGGCCCGGGTCAGTTAAGTATATCTGCCCGCAGTTATCGACCGGCACGGACCTTGGTCCTATCATCCTCAGTCTCCTCAGTCTCAGTTTGTGCCGTTTTTCACCGCAAGTTCTCAGAGATGATGAGGTTTTGGATATGCCGGTCATTCTCTCTCCCTTCTGTCGCGCTGCTATGTTTAGCCAAACATGGGTTTGCTGCGGGACCTAATGACAAGGCATTGCCGTCCCTGCTGGAAGCCGGCCTCGAAGACCTTGCGTCGGGCCTCGAGTCTGGGCTGTTCACAAGTGTGGACTTGGTCAAAGCGTACATTGCACGCATCGACGAGGTCAACTCAACTCTGCGAATGGTCACGCAAATCAACCCGGACGCGCTCTCCATCGCCGCAGAGCTGGATACTGCTCGAACGGCCGGAACAAACCATGGGCCGCTGCACGGCATTCCTATCCTTCTCAAGGACAGCATTGCCACAGGCGACAAGATGGAGAACACGGCCGGGTCATACGCACTTCTGGGCGCTAGAGTTCCCGAACCCAGCACCGTTGCAGCAAAGCTAAAGGAGGCTGGAGCAATCATCCTCGGCAAGACAAGCCTCTCCCAGTGGGCCAACTTTCGCAGTTTCAACTCGAGCAATGGCTGGTCGGCTATAGGCGGCCAAACCGAAGGGGCATATTATCCCCGACAGGACCCCTCGGGGTCGTCGTCAGGCAGCGGCGTGGCAACCGCACTGGGACTCGCCCTTGCAGCTATCGGCACCGAAACAGATGGCTCCATCATCTCGCCCGCGAACGTGAACAACGTGGTAGGCATCAAGCCTACAGTGGGCTTGACATCGCGATACATGGTTGTCCCCGTCTCAGAACACCAGGATACCGTTGGCCCCATGGCGAGAAGCGTCAAGGACGCAGCTTACATTCTCTCTGCCATCGCCGGCAAAGATCCAAAGGACAATTACACCTCGGCCATACCCTTTGAGACCATCCCGGACTATGTAGCGGCTTGTGACCCGTCAGCGCTCTCAGGCAAGCGCATCGGCGTGCCTCGCAACGTCATTCGGTATTGGTTCCATGGCTCTCCCGAGATGGATCCTATCATGACCGCTTTCAACGCCGCCCTCAATACCCTCCGTGCGTCAAACGCCACCGTAGTAGATGATCTGATACTCCCCGGCTACGAGCCGCTTCTTGCAGGGGGCTTTGAAACGGTTGTCGTCGAAGCCGACTTTGTCACCAACCTGGCAGGCTACTTTTCCAAGCTGGCCGCGAACCCTCATAACATCACCTCTCTCGCTGATTTACAATCCTTCACGCAGTCCCATCCCTTCGAGGGGTTCCCCGAGCGAGACACGCTCATCTGGGAGGAGGCCTTGCGCCTGGGGCACGGTAACGATTCGCCACTCTTCTGGTCCAACTATACGGCCCAGCTGTACTATGCCGGGCCGCTCGGCATTACGGGAGCGCTAGCCAACCATAGTCTGGACGCCCTCGTGCTGCCGACCGAGTTTGTGTGGACCTTGCCCGCCGTGCTTGGCGCGCCCGTCGTGACGGTACCGCTTGGGAAGTTTCCGCAGGGCACCTCGAAAGTGAGAAATCGGTTCGGCAACCTCGTGACGACGGCTCCAAATGTGCCATTCGGGATTAGCTTTTTTGCGGAGAGGTTCAGCGAGGAGAAGTTAATTGGACTTGCGTATGCGTTTGAGCAAAGGACGAAAGTGCGGGCGACAGTCGAGCCGTATATCAAGCCGAAAACGGAGCTGGCCGATGTGATAACGGAGGGGATAAGGCTTGCAGCGCAGCAGAAGGGGGCGATCGAAAGGACGGATATCTGGATGGAATCATCCTTGTAGCGTGTCTTTTTCCAGTTCTCCCCCCCCTAAACAAGAATCTTCCCCCTGACAATTTCCCTACCAGAAGCTGGAAGCAGCCTCCGTCCCAATTGCTATCAATAAGTAATCGAATGATTCAACTACCGGTACATAACACATTCTCCCTCTATCTCAGGCAACCCAACAAGTCTGGACGTTTGATTCTGTCACAGGTGATCCACAGTGACTCAGTGAATCCACTGAGGGTTAGGGTTATACGAATGATGGTCATCAGAAATTCAACCGACTTTTTTCACTGTTTGCATGCATGAAATCTCATTCATTCCCTCAACACCAACCCAAAATTCGAACCGGCATCACCAACAGAACAACACCCCCGCAGTCCATTCCACACCGCCCAGTCCCCAAAGTTACCGCTCTTCATCAATACGTGACATAACCTGCCTACTCATAATTACTATGCTCCTCCGCAACGCCTCAACCCCTCAAGACCGGGACCCGGATATTTTCCTCACCATGACCTCGCACAATCCCACGCCTGCAAACGCCCAGCCAGACACCACTCCTTCTTTCCCTCACGAACAGCAGTCCCAGATGATCGAAACACTAGACGACGTCTGGGCCGATGACGACGAGGTCTCCTCCAACAACAATCCCAGCACCATCATCACCACCACCCAGCTTCATTCACAACAATGGGCCCAAGCGGCCGCCGTGATAAGCGACATGCCCCGCCTGCGCCAGGCCCACTCAACAGCAGGCTACCGCGACGGCAGCGCGGCGGGGCGGTCCGCGGCGGCGCAGGCCGGGTTTGACGAAGGGTTTGGGCTGGGCGCCACCATCGGGGCGCGCGCGGGCCAGTTGTTGGGGGTGCTCGAGGGCCTGGCCGCCGCCGTTGGGCTGCACGCTCTCTCGTCGTTCTCACAGCCCCAGCACCCGCGCGAATACTGCGCGGAGCCTGAGTCAGAGTCAGCCCGGCTGAGTTCCCTCCTTGCCGAGGCGCGGCGCGAGCTTAGTGTGCAAGGTGTCTTTGCGGCCGAGTACTGGGCTGCGGATGGGAATTGGGCGTATGAGGTCCCCCTTACTCATTCTGGGTTTGATGGGACGGGGACGGACGGGGAGGTGGTGTTTGCGGACGTGGCGGCCGCGCATCCGTTGCTGAAGAAGTGGGGCGCCATTTTGCGTCAGGAGGCGGATCGGTATGGGGTTGATTGGGAGGTGCTGAAAGACGACGACGGCGCTGGGAGGGAAGGAGGAGGCGACGGCGGCGGCGGCGGCGGCGAGTGGGAAGGGGACAGACCGAGGAGAGAGAAAGAGACGAGACTGGCCGCCGTGAAGGCTAAGGGCAAGGAGGCGTTTACTTGGTGAGGATTGATGCATCTCCGGAGGAAGACCTGCTTGGGAAGGGCTTCCCGTACGGTTCTCGCGGATCACTTGAAGCTAGGCCCTTAGGTTCGTCCTTGGTTGATCCGGCCACGGGGATACCCGAAGTGTTCTTGAATGCATTGTTTACGGAGTTACGAGGTACGGAAAACAAATTACCCACAGTAAAGGTTTGCTGTCTTAACTTTTTGCGCTGGTCCCTGGTCCTGGAACGTTAGCCCTCGTCCGCTTACAGACAAAAAAACTTCTCGAGTACTTTTGGCAACCAAGTCTTGGTCAAAATTAGAAACTCCATTGTTCGCCTTGTCTAGTCACAGACGTTCCAGCAAACTCAGAACTGACCACGCAACCCGTTACCCAAATCTCTTCTCGATTCTCTTCAGCATTCCCGTAACCCCTTTCTCCAACTTCCCAGCCCCTTCCTCAAGCTTGCCCTTAACCTCCTGCTTTGGCTTATACTGGCTCTCTGGGACGTAGAACTGCTGGTGCACCGCATATTCACTTGGGCCCTGCCCAGGAGGAGGCGGCACGGCTACCCCGCCAGTTGGAGGGGTCGGCGTGTGCGCAGCTCCAGGCACGTACTGCGCATGTCCCGGGAATGTCCCCGCTCCGTAAGGACTCGCCAGCACCGGACTTGCCAGCGGGCTTGCAAACGCATGGGCTGGCATCGTCGCAGCACGCGCGATGCCCGGGTGGGCAGGCGGGTGCTGCGACAAGCCTCCCGGGTGCCCGCCTAGATAACCAAACCCTTGGGGCGCAAAACCGGGGGACGTGACACTATGCTGAGGCGGCCCTGGGAAGGAAGGAGCGCCGGGGGGATGATGAAGGTTAGGAGGTGGGACGCCCGGGCTAAGGGGACCGACGCCACTGGGCACCAGACCCGGAGAAAAGGGTGTCTGAGCGTCGTTCGCGAGTGTCTGGTGCAGAGGGTTTACGGGGACGTCTTCGGGAGGCGGTGTCTTCTCGCGGTGCCGGACTTGCTCGGGGGCGGGTGGCGCCGCGGGATTGTAAGCTATAGGCGCAAATTGCTGAGGAGGAGGAGGAGGAGGGGGCGTAGGGTTTCCGGTGCCGGCAACTGCTGAGACAGGGGGACCGGGGAAGGTTGGGAGCGCAGTATTGTTGGGCTGCACCGCTGAAGGGGGTGTCGGGACCAAGTCGGGGTCAGAGATGGCAGCCTTTTCGAGCTTCTGCACTACAGAGCTGACATCGGCCGACTGGCGAGGTGGCGGTCCTGGCTCATCCAGCACCTCGCATTGTGCCGGAGGAAGCACACGTCTGATGGCATTGACGAAGTGCACCGCATCTTGAGGAGTCCAGAAGTAGATGTCAAGTGAGTGGAGCTTGTAATGGTACTTGTTCTGATTATGAGGATCATAGGTCGGCAGATGCCACTCGTCATGACCCTCCACGTCGCCCACGGTCAGTGACACAAGGCAAGTGTGCTTGTACGAATACCGCAGGTGAACTCGGTCGAGATCTGAGGCGATCAAGCACGGCCTGTCAGCTCTGCTTGCGTTCGGCGGTTGAGAGAAAAGGCAGCAGCATACAGCCATCAAAAGCATCTTGATCATCCGTACCCGGATTGTTTGCAATCTCTAGGCGGGCACGACCTTGATTTGCATCCTCAAACAAGTAGACGTATGAGCTCTTGTCGAATCTGTGATGGGGTGGCTGGTCTGTCGGTGGCCCGTAAAAATAATGGATGTCCCCGTAGCTTCAGACACAGCTGTCAGTCCAACCCTCCAACCCGCTTCGTATAGCTCGAGGTCCAGAGTCGAGCCATGGCAAACAAACTCACAGTGTGGCCACATTGTCTTCTCCCGGCCTCGCAGCCATCATTGCCTGGGCTCCAAAACTGCGAGATGTTCAGTAGCTAGGACAAGGAAAATGAGGGGAAGCTCCTGGTGACACAGCAGACAGCAGGAGGAGCTGTGGAACGCAGGAGCTGGTAGACGCTGACGCAAGAGGTAGGAAAGGGAAAGCAGGGCTGACTGAAGGGAGACAGCTGGTCTGGCTCTGAGCGCAGTCGCAACTAGGAATACAAGCCGGAGTAGGAGAGTAAAGAAAAGTAGAAACCATCGGGAGAAAGATGATGGTTGCTGAGATGTGAGGGGCACATGCTGGGCGTGAATGCCATTCCTGCCAGGCCCAGGAGCTATGTACATACACTACTAAACCCCTGCTGCATGAGCCCATGGCGTTGCTGGGTTCACCTGCCCCACGCGCAGTCCCTATTCAATGACAGGCTTCTGTCAAATCAGGCTTTCTTCAAAAAGTGGTGATCCCACTCGGGATTGGGCCATTGAGCCGGATTCAAGCGTGAGGAACGGCACGTAACGGGCTTCAGGCCGTGGCGTTTTGGGTGGGATTGAGGTGCACTGAACCCCACCCAGGCGCTTAAAGGTCCGCTGGCCCGTGCGTAATACCTCGCAAGGTGCATGGGTTGGGGGTTGGGCGATGGATCCTTGCAACACATGGGATGCCCCATCGGCCCGCCAAATTTTTTGACTGGAGACGGCAGGTGCCGAACCTCGAACTGCAAAGCCCATTTCGCGACTTTGGCCTTGTGCGAAGGAATCACGACCAAGAAAGCAAAGCCGAGAACGATACCCATCTGGGTGACACAAGCAAACGCCGAGGTCAACAGTAAGTTGCTCTCCCAGCTACAATACTCGTCCAGTTGTAATGCGCTGTCCTTCCACATCTAACAATCACCCAGCAAAACCACCACATACATCCATCCTCCGACTCCAGACCCCGAGCGAATAAAGGGGAAGCCCCTCTTGATCCCTCGAGGCGTTCGCCTTCGACGTCAAACCCCTTTCCGGCCGAACCAACCAACCAAACGACCCAATTCGTACGAGGGAAAACCCAACCAACCCACCCAAGATGGGAATCCTCACCATCACAAACACATGCAGCCACCTGCAGAACGCAACACGCGCCCGGCTAGGCCTCACCTCTGTTCCCAACACCAAATACAACCTGCGCCTGGCGCTTGCCATGCACCGGGCGGGTCTGCTCAGCAGCGTGACACGGGGCGGGCCCAGCCCGCCTCCGACCGAAGCCCTCTCGCTGCTGGAAACCGAGCCCGTGACGTCGGCCAACGTGGCCACGCGCCGGCTGTGGCTGGGGCTCAAGTACTGGAACAACGAGCCCGTGATTCGCAAGGTGCAGCCCATCTCGCGGCCTTCGCGGCTCGTGACGGCCACCGCGCAGGAGCTGGGCCGGGTTGCTAGGGGTTTCCCCGTGGGTTCCATCAAGGGATTGACGCTGGGCGAGACGCTGTTTGTGAGCACCGATCGTGGTGTACTGGAGGTGAGGGAGGCGTTGGAGAGGAAGGTGGGCGGGCTGGTGCTCTGCCGGGTATCATGATGATGATAATGAGCGACGGTCTAGGGAGAAAATAACGTGAACAGGGATGAATGGGCGGAGGGATAAGAAAGTGATTGTTAAGCTGCTGATTGGAGACTGTTGGAAGTGGAGGCTCTGTACGATATGGATTGGCGACAGTCAGTCTGGCAGTTACAAAACGCGATGTTGGTGTATACTGGCGTGGAGTATTGGTATTCACCGAGACGGACAGTCAGCTTCTTATCTTGAGAGGTGGTGCGGTTCCATAGACAGGAGTTATCCGCTAGCTGTATCATATCGTACCACGCGTTTCGCCGCGTGCCTCGTTCAGGTTGTAAAAAACAAAATATACGTCTTGATCTAAGACGCCAGGTGGCCAACTATGTCTACCTACACACCTCCGAGAAACTCCCCATAAACAGTGCCCGTCCACTCCCCATCAGGTATCATAAAACTTGGGAGTTCCTAAACAAACGCTGCACCCTCGTGCTAAAGTGCTGACAGAATAAAAAAACAACTAAGTAGATAGGAATAAGAATAAAAAGGATACAAAGTTGCTGCATAAGTACTTTTTGCTATGCGTTATTCAAACCGACTGTCGCCTCAGTTTGTAACCTCCACCTCTTGGCTGTCTGCAGTCTCAACGGCAGCACCGGCATCGGCAGACGAGGCCTCCATTTTCGCCGGCGAGGCGCCCTCAATTTCCTCGTGATGGCCGTTGGTTGCTGGCTCGGGAGTCAGAGCCAACTCAGGTTCAGGACCCTTTGGCATCAAGCTCGGTGCCAGCTTGCCGGCGGCTTCTGAGGGTTCGGAGAGGGTGCTTCCTTCACCCTTCCCATCGGCATCATCTACTCCCTCAGAGGTCTTGCTTTGCTCTGCAACGGGCGCCATCTCCTCGGATGCGTCTTGCTGGTTAGCTTCACTGGGTAGCGTGACCCCACCGTCGCTGGCCTTCGCAATTTCGACTATTTCGTTAGCGGTAGTGGCATGCTCGGCAGTTGGTGCTATCTGCTGAGCAGGTGAACCGTGCGACTGGGCCGAAGACGGAGCGGTCCTCGTGGGGTTAGATGCAGTCTTCTTCATCGGTTTCACTGCCGCCGTCTTCTTCGTTGCGGGGACTGCCGCTCTCCGGGGTGAAGTTGTTTGAACCTTTTCTGCGACTTTGGACGCAGATGCCTGGGTGGGGCGCATCATGCGAGCGAGAAATCCCTCGTCAACTTCTCTTTCTCTCTTCGTTGGCGGATGGTCTTTTGCGGCTTGTTTGGGCGGTGGCCCCAAGCTTGGCCGTGGTCGGCCTATCGTCGAGTTTTGCCGCTTGAGACCTTTGCTTGCCAGCGGCTTGCACACTACGCCCGCGGTCGAAACGCTCGCTCTGCTTGGTGCCCGTCCATGTGACTCTGCCGCTTGAGTATTGCCGCTCGCACGAGACAAGGACTGACGCGGAGCATTGATTTTGGACCCTGAGGCAGCCGTATGTGTCGTTAGGCTTGGGGGAAGTTTGACAGGTCGGGTCGGGGACTTGGGTCGAGGTTTGACAAAGCCGGTGCCCGATGGAGACGCCACGACTGGTACCTTTTTGGCAGAAGAGGCGGCTGTAGCCTTCGCGCTTGGAGTCGCTCGAGGGGTAATGGTCTTGTCTGACTGCTGCGCCCTCCTTTCGGGTGTCTTCTTGACCGACGGATTTGGCGCTGAAGTCTCCGCAGGGCTCTTCGGCGCCTTGCTAGTCGCAGGCGGTTCTCCTGGTTTGGCTGCCGGCTTGTTCGCCGTCGCAGCGGCGAGAGGTTTCGGAGGGGGCTTCGTTGTGCGCGTGGCCGACTTGGAGCTTTCCTTTTCGACCTTTTCCCCATCTTTCCCGCCACTCGATCCATTCGTAGCTCCCGCCTCGCGCTGCGTCGCCCCCGCGTTTGTGGAAGACAATTCCTCCACTGCCGATTTGCTTGTTACCTGCCTCTTCGCCTCTGCCTCACTAGCGGTTGATGTCCCGGCCTTGGCCATATGTGTTCCCTCAGTGGGTCGAGCTGCATCTTTACTTCCGGAATCTGGTCGCGAGGATTCGGGAATAGGCTGATCCTTGAGATTCGTCTTGGCAGGCGTTTCGCTCATCTTGTCTGGTGTATTGGAGTTCTCGGCCTCGCCGTTGGGTGCTGATGCGTTACTGTCACCGCTGAGCTTACGCGTTGCGGACAGGGAATCCTGGCTCCCTTCACGTTGGAGGCCTATCATTCCGTCTTTCGCTACTGCGATGAAGCTTGTCCGGACTTTCGAGAGAGGCCTTGGGGATTCCGCACCGGCGACTGATTGAAGTGTTAGCGAAGGATACTCAATTCGGATAACCGCTGGCAGGCCCGAGTGAGAAGTGACGCGATGAGACGTTTCAAAGATGAGTGAAAGCAGCTTACCGAATGGGAGTCCTGGTGACCTGCCTCGGTCCGGAGGACTGGTCTCCCCCTTCTGCTCAAACATAGCCCGCAGGTTCTTAACCGCGCTCATGGTTGCAGGTTGCGGGACAATACCCAGGAAGTTGTGGGATTAGGTTCGGTCGGCGACGCAGAAGATGCAGCGGAAGGTGCAACCAGTTCCACGATGTCCCCGTCAAGAGCCCAAACTCGCCAGCAGGTGCCAAAGCGCCCCTTTTTTGGGCTCCAAGGTTCGTCGGACTGTCGGCAGGTGTGCCTATCTAGCTCGCAGCTCCTCCGAGCCAATGGAATCGGCGGAATGGAGCTAAGCAAACTTATTCGTGTCCAGGTATTTCGTATCTACAAAAAAGAATTGGGGATTTGAACGCTTGACGGCGGGTCGTGTCGTGCTGAGTTGATGAAGACAGAGCCGAAAGGGTGCGACGAACGCGGTGCTCGTGGTGCCACCTTATAAAAATGCGTCGTGTCTCAAATTACAAGAGACATTTCGGGGATGGGTTGGATCAGGGGTCGTTGCGGAGCTCCTTTTAGGCGGTTCCGAGAGCTTGTGCAGCCCCCGTCAATGCAGGGTGAGTGGAAATGCATCGCTGCATCGGCACCCGCAGCAGCAAATGGTTCAGCGTTGGAAATCGATAGGTATCCCCATCATCGACTTAGAAAGCGGCTGCTAATAATGGATGTCCACGTTGTCCAGCCAGAACGCCCCCGAGTTAAGTCTCCCCCAACTGAGACGTTAGAAGTCGTTTCTCTTGGCAAGAGAGCTCTTTTGTTCGAAAAGGGGGCCCGCTAATACGTAAGTTGTTTACGAGTGTATCCGCACTCCGTATGTTTCGTATCATCGTATGTAAGTCCTGTACTGTACACTGTAAAATACCTCCTCCTTTCGCCGAATTTTATTGGATGAACTAACTAGAATTGTGGGCCTACGTCCATGTTACTGTACCTCCGTATCGTGTTGTGTCCATCATCTTTGCTACTCTCAAGTAATGACCAGTAATCAACGGCTTCACCGATCACCAAGGCTTAATCACTCAATAGGACGAGGTGAACACTACAAAATTAAAGCTTACTCGGTTATCACTAACATTGAGGGACCATCTCGAGCGACGGCCACATCATAAACTCGCATACCGATGTTGTCTTCCGCTCAATTATGCTCGACCCAAAAGCAACCTTTACCTAGGGATAGCAGTAGTTTCTCGTATAATAAGATGAACCCCAACGCAAACAAGGTGATTACCTAGTTATACTATATACCGTGTCCGAGTCGCCAAGGACATGTAACATCTAGAAAAAAGGGGAACGCCGGGTAGCTCTGAAAAGGCACAACAAGTATAATGTCCTCTTTTGATCCTCAGACTCCAGACCCCAACTCCACCGCTCACCAGTCCCTTTACCAAGTATAGAGAGGCCCGGGCATCAAACCATACAGTCGGATCCGTCGCATAAGTATAAAAGAGGCCCGGGCCTGGAACATGTGTGAAGCCCATCAACATGCAATCTCATGCTGAAAAGAAGGAAAAGAAGCAGTTTTCTCGGGAACACCATCTTTCAGACGGGTGTATGGTGGAAAGAACAAAAGAAAAATTAAGCTTAGGCACCGCTCACAGCGCCACTCCCGTCGAACAACAAGAGCGGCCACTGTCCCGAGTGCGAGTTACCCACATTTCCAACGCCCATGCTTTCCCCCTGACCGATATGGTCGACTACTCCCCCGGCACCGACGGCTCCGGGCCGCCCCGAACCCAGAGTGAGGAGAGCATTGGCGCTGTATCGGTCCTGACTGTCGGCAATCGCAGCTGTCCAGTCATGCCATGGGTTTGCAGACCCGGGATTGTGTGCCATGAGGTGAGGCTGCGACGGCCAGTGATCTTGCCCCTGTCCGGTGACGTGTTGCGTTGCTTGTGAGGCGAAAGCTACAAGAGGATTCTGCGCCGAAGCCGCTTGCTCGCCCGCCGTTGTGACGTTCGGTGCCGTCGCTGCCGTCACGGCTGATGCCGCAGTATAAAGATACTGCGAGTCGCCAGAGGAGTCGCACGCGTTGCTGGCACTCATTCCATTCCCGTTTTGATGTCCATGCGCGCTGAGGCGCCCAGTTGCCTGATCGCTATATCCCATCGCTGGATATGGCGTCGCGGTAGCAGCTCCCCCAGACTCGTAGAAGCTGTTGCCGTTGGCAGTGCCAGTGTTGCGTTGTTCGCTAGCGGCCGAACCCATGCCGCTGGATACAAGAGTGTTACTTGGCTGCGGCTCGGGTTTGACGGACGATTGCTGATACGATGGTGACGGGCGCTTATCGTCAGATGTCTGGCCAGGTTGAGAGCCAGGCTTACGGCCCATGTCTTGCTCAATCCAGCTAATGGTTCGTTCAATAATCGCGCTGATCTCGGCTGCAAGCCTGTTGCCCGTGCCTACATTTTGTCAGTAAGAGCAGCATGACGATCCTCAACCATCACTTACCGAGGAGACGCCCAATTTCCCCAATGATGCTCAGCCACACGCCCATTTCTTCGCGCAGCGTGGCAATCTCGAATGCCGTGGTATCGTATCGTCTTTGCCAGTGTGCCACGAGTGACGTGAAGATGGCGGCAACATACACTGCCAATTGGTACCATGTTGTGTCCAATGACTTCATCTTCAGCAGTGATGCAACCACTTTCAGAAGCTTCCTCGCCGTTTCCTCACTAATCCTCGTATTCTCAGCGCAGAACTTGGCGTCATCAGTCATGCAAACCGAAGGGTGTCTCAGGCATAATGTGAACTCGAGACAGAAGGCTTGCGTGTACAGAGCAAAGATCTGGCTCCCCGGCTGGCACTTTTCCACCTTGAGCTCGTCGGGCATATTGTCCAACAGATTCTGCATCTCCGCTTCCAGTTTCCGAACCACCTGAGTGTACTTGCTGGGGTCCCGCCGCACGCTGTAAATCTTGGAGTACATCTCCATGTACAAGGGCACCGCTTTGAATCCCATCAGGCCCACTTGATAATTGCAATGGCCAATCTGAGAACTGTCTAGGACGCCATCCTCTCCCAGAAGCTCGTCCCTGATGGCAATCGGGAACTCGGTATCGAACTCCTCAACAGAGATCGGCATCGGCCTACCGAGGCGGCCATTCAGGGTGACCATGACGCCCAGTATGGCCCACCATACTCTTTTGCGTACCTCGTTTTCCAGATTTGTCCCGCCTCCAGGTATTTTAACGGCCCTGTGCAGGTTCAGCTCGATGGCCTTCATCAACGCATAGTTGGCGATGGTTGATGAACAGCCAGGTTTGGGGAAATTGCGTGTGTGTGAGACGATCATGGCCAGGGCCTGGACTGAAGTCACGGTTTGCGAGATGGCCAAGTCGAAAAATTTGCTCAAGCTCCAGTGGTAGTGCTTGTTTGACAGCTCATTGAGCTGCGCGTGCTTTTCTGGTTCCTCGCGATTTCTGATGCCATACTGGAAGTAGATCGTAGCAAAGACCATATGGACAATTACCAACTCTGGTACGGACGGTTTGAAGGTTGGATCGTCGTAGATGCGCGTCAACTGCAGATTGTCAGTGGCGGTGCCAGAGCTGACGCCTAGGAGCAGGTCGACTTACAAGTTGGTCAAAGGAAGGCTTGTGGAGGACTGGGAGAAAAGGGGATATCATCAGAAAGTACCATTCAGCGTATGTAAAGGCATCTAGTCTTGAAGGCAGTTCAACATTGCCCATAGCCGGATTAACGTTCAGCGTGGACTGCAAGAAGGCCATGACGGATTTGTTGTACAGCGGCGAGCCAATGGGCGTTCCCGGCGGAGGCTCCTCCATATCCGGAGCATCAAATGACGTTATATCAATGGTGGTCCCAAGAATCGACAGCGTAGTCCCCTTGATAGAACTGAGAGGCGCGCTATCCGAAGACACGCCGAGATAACTGTCCGCAGGCCTGGTTTCAAGCGCCCACGGGTTGTAGTCAGATGAGTGTGCCGGGGTCTTTTGCCGGCCGTTGTTCTTGACCCACACTAGGCCGACCTGATGCCATTGATCCTTCGACGATGGGTCTTGGACGGGGTTCCCCAGGGCGTCGAAGGAGGAGCCGGGAGGGTAGGTGGTGTTGTATCCGGGCCACTGCCAGGGCCTTACCTCAACCCCATTATTCCTGAGCAGCTGCTCGAGCTCACGAATATGCACCAACATAGCACCCTTCTCGCGTTCGAGCTGTTGCAAGTATCCGCGTCGCTCCGTACGTCCCGTGACGCGATCCGTCACGTAGCATTCGAGATTCTGATTGGCGCAGTGTGAACAACCCTCGGGGAGCGCATCGCAGCGAATTTTTCGGACCTGGAAAGCAAAGCAATTGTCAACACCCGAGGCATGGTGTTTCTTCGGGGCGAGAAACGGCCACCCCCAGACAATGGGACGGGCGATTGAAGAAGATAGAGATTGTCCTAGGACTGGCCTGACAGGGTGCACCCACCTTGCATCGATCGCATGCCTGGCCTGTACGCGTATATGATTGCAGCTTGCTTTTAACCACGCTTGAAAAGTCTTCAGGCCCGCGCTCAAGGCGTGCAAGCTTCACCTTGGGCGCCGAGCCCCCGTCGGGCACGACATCGCCGGCGTCGCTGGGTCGTTTCGGTGGGCGGGCTTGAGGCATGATGCTTCGGCGACCGGCAGCTCCCAGCAGCTTGGGGTGATGCTGTGCCGCGCCAACACGGGCGGCGGCGATGCGGCGGGAACAGCCTTCAGGCGTTGCCGCTGCGATGTCCCGATGCACGTTTCGCGCCTCGCGGGAAACCGACCCGTCTCTGTGTGTCGTCGAGTATTGATTGACACTCGACGGCTTTTGCCGTTGACGATGGATGGAAGGGATGGAGAATGCCGGCAGCCCCGGGCTTCAGGGGGTGTGGCATGACCCTGTTGCTAAGGTCGGTTGCTAATTTAATGTTGTCGCGTCCAGAACGTCGGTAATTGCTGCCGGCACAAGCGGGCTAGCGAACAAGGGTAGGGCGCCTTGACGGGGCACCGAATCGGGACACAGTGGGTGCAGTTAGCCTGGGCAATCCACCAACCTTTCACTGCAGCCGACCTTGTAGACTGCTGAAGTTGTCCGGGTTCTCAGAACAAAGATTTACCGTTCGAAATACTGCACTGCTTTGTCATCTTCTGATTTGGAATATTGTGTATGGAACTGGGTAACCTCACGTATACTGCAATACAACAGTACATTGAACGTTCTCTCTCCTTTCTATCCCTGCCTGGATCGCAGGCCTCTTAATGGGCAGGAAGGACCCGAGTGAGCTTGGACGCCCCCACTCTTCTCTCTGCCCCTCAACCCCCGCTCTGCCCACATGATAACGGAGAATGTTGCAATGAATTGCTGCATCGACATCTCTGCAGCAACTGTGAGCATTGCAAGGAAGAAAAAAAGAAAAGGATATACTTTCCTGCTCGCAGATTCAATCTGTATTATCCCAAAACAGCTTAGTCAAGCACACAGAGAGGAACAGCTTAGTTGCTCACTAAGAATTCTCAACTGCTGTCCGATTGCATCTGAGGACTGAAGAGACAAAGGAGCCTTTGGGCAACGTTTGGAGAAAATGGCCCTCGAGAAGCTCCATCCTGAACACATACCAGCAGAGTACCAAGTCTACACAGCCTTCTTCCGCGACGTTAGCAATATCGAGTTCCTCCAGACCCAACTGCTCTCCCGCAACAGCGACTTTGAGTATGCATTCATCGATGCCTCTTCCGTCGTCTCACGGTTGCAACTCCTTGCAGCCGTATGCAACGCCCTCAATGTCCTAGTCAGTGGGACACTACGAACTCCCAACGTGCACTCGGAAATAGTGGTATCGTTGAGCACAAACAACAACGTATGGCTTACCACCCCGGTTACGTCCCCCTTTGGTTTTCCTGGCCCTGATGGCTGACACCATTTGCTCTCTCTGCGGCAGATAGCGGATGCTTACCGGAGATGGGGCATAACACCGGGGAAAACCAAAGACTTGATCGTGGTCAAGGTCGTCTCCCCGCCGGCCGCTAACATGGCTGCCCAGTCACCCCAAATACAGGCACAAACGCAAGACAGCATCTGGGCCCATCTAACAAAACACATCAGCGGCACACCGGCACCCCTGACGGACGCGGAGCTCTCGCGCAGCACAGATTGGGCCAAGGTACGCAAGTATTACAGGCTCAACGGCGTGTCTGCGCTGGAAAAACTGCCTGACGAGGAAGAGCGTCGGAGGCAGATGGAACGGCTTGCTATCATGGGTATGGCCTTGCGTGGGCTATGATGGGGTGAGGTGTTCGCGGCCCTCACCAGGGGCCAAATGAACGTCAAAACTGGTTTATGTCGTGAAGAGTTCGCCGTTCGTGAGTTTGATGGCATGCGATGGCGTGAGTGACCATGCGACTGTTGGGCGAGCAGACATATATATCGGGCTGGCGCATTAGGGGGAATCAACGCCATCTGCGAGACAGGGCTGCACCAGGCATCGCGGGTCTGCATACGGACCGGGGATCACATTTTTAAATCGCCTGTATTGCGTCTCAGAACGCACAGTCTTGGGTACACACTGCAGTCACGCATAGAGGGGACACGAAGAATGCAAGGCATCGATCATGATTCAGTCGAACTGGGCCTCTTCTCCCATGCCTCTATCTATCTAGCCGCGAGCGCTTCGCTACCGCTAATAAAACTCAATGCAGAAAAAAAAAATGCCGTGCCAGAGATGCCATCCCCCCATTGAGACTTCCTCTGCCTTGACTGTAAAAACAAGAAGACGAAGCCAGGTCTTGCGCACACACCATGCCATCACTTCATGATACGATACCAAAGAACCTTTTGACTCTCCTGACCAGCTCCGAGCGCATCGCATCCCGCCCTTCGCGTGTCCGTTGCACAGCGTCGCGGTTCTCTTGGGCCCGGCGCAGCAGGTACTTCATGCATTCGCCCGTCGAGCCCCACACAAGATACTTGTAGGCACGCGGCTTCTCTGCGGCCTCGCGGTTGGAAGTGACCACCAGCTGGCAGCTGAGTTCGTCCGCCATGCCCTGCAGCTGTGCAAACGCCACGTCGGTCAGCGCCGTTTCGCGCTTGGAGGAGGAAACAATCGCCTGCGCCTTGAGCACCGAGTCCCGGTTGTGCGTGGCGAGCACCAAGTTGACATTAGGGAACGAGCTGGATTCGTCCTGTGGTCGCAAGGTCGTGTTCCACTGCCGCCGCAACAGTGCTTCCGCAATACCATCGTACGCCGCGTCCGTGTCGGCCTTGGTGTCGTGAATCAGATGCCGCGGGTCGGAGCCAAGGTAAGCACCGCGGACGAGCTTGACGCCTAGTGTAAACCCGCCGTCGTGGGCAGCGGCGAGATGCCGGCTCAGGGTTGTGGGCGTGGACTTCAGATACGCCTGGTACGTTCCGTAGACCACGGCGCGGTCGGCCGTGTTGAACCTGCGCATAAACTCGAGCGTCCAGGCGTCGATGCCGGGTTGAAGGGCCTGCTGCTCGGCATCAAAGAGCAGGCGCACGCCGCGCGAGGCGGCCAGCCGGCAGATGCCCGAGATAGCTGTCTCCAGGGCCTCGGAGGGCGGCAAGGACCGAGAGAGGGCGTAGAGGGCTTGGCGGCCCGCGCCCGTGAATTTGAGGGCAACAAAGTCGCCGGGCGAAGCGAGGAGCACCGTCTCCATCGTCCCTGTTGCCCACGGGTTGACCTCGGTGCGGACACACTCGTCGGCTTCTGGGCCCGAGTTGCAGGACGCAAGATTCTGGGTTTGGGCCTCCGTGAGGACCACCTCCTTCGCATACCCTAGGATGACCCCCGCAAAACCCACACTTTTGAGCGAGGAGATGGTCCGTCGTACTTCTTCCGCATTCTCGCCGGCGCAGAACTGGGCATAGAAAGTCCGTTTTAAGACGTACCGTAGGAGCGGGTTTTTGTCCGGGTTGAGGGCCGGATTGGTGGTGTTGGCTAGAACTGACATAATGGCCAGTGATGGTGGGAGCAGGAGAGGCGAGGATGAGATGGTTGTCGTCATTAGGGAACGGAGGATGTTGGTCAGCGGCAGGATTGCGAGCGGTGCCGACTCATCCTTTCTAGATGTCTGTTCATCTGCGCCGGTCGCTGCTGGGAGGTCAACCGCCCCGGGTAATGTGAGGTTGCCAGACGGTGAAGATTGGTTGGAGGATGAATGGAGAGCCCGACTTGATGCCTTCCTCGCCCTAATCCGGGAGACAAGGCGTGGATATGACGGAAAGGTATGAGAAGCGGAGGCGAGGTAGATCGCAGTAGAGGCAGTCGAAGCGACTGGCCTCCCTCTCGTCATCCTGAACGCCGGAAGTAGGCAGGGTAACGGTCCTGGGGGCGATGGCGCCATGGCAATCACGCAGCACCGCGCAAGTTCTTTTAGTTGCTGGAGGAAGGTTTGGAGTAGGTGAGCGAATGTCAGGCGCGGAAGGACAATGGATTAAGAGCAGATGATAAGAGGTATTCTGAATTGAAGATCAGATCGAAGGCCCACAAGGTTTCATGGTGTTGGGTGTTGGGCAATGGCCCTCAACTCAATCAATTGACGCCTGCACACTCCCCAATATTATAGCACGACGACCATCTGCTTCCACGGCCATTGTGCCCCGGTATCGCAACCTGCCATGGACTGGAACGTGGGCAAGCCCACCAATCCACGCGATTTGGCGGCAGGAGCTGATTTGCCATGGAGCGTTCGGATTGCCCTTTGTCGAGGCCGGTTGATGCAAGCGATGATGTTATCGCTGCTTCTCTTATCAAACCTGCAGTGGGAACTCTGCAAAGGCCGCAGGTAGCCGCGAGGGTGGGGAACGAGCTGCCAGCCGGCATCGCAAATGCAGCCCCACGACAGCACTCAGAAGCTAATAGAAAGCAGCAAAGCGGGGCCTGCCAAGCGCCTGGTGCAGCACAAGTGCGGGTTCTGGGAGTTTCTGGTGAAGCTTGTTCGGCTCAATGCCGCGGCGTATGCCACTGGCGTCAGGATTCTGGAGAATTGGCCACTGCGATTCGCGGCCGACCCTCGTCAAAACGAACCCATCGCCGGCTTAAAAATACCGAGCAATTTTTGACGACCCTTGAGCAACGCAAACTGCCTTTCGCAGTGTAGGATCTAGCGGGGACATCGAACGGTTGATGTCGGCGCTGGACCCTTGATTGACATACGAGCATGGTCACACGGACAGCCATGGCTCCCCTTGCGAAGCGCTGTCCGTCGTCCATGTCCTCCATGGCCTGGCCAACCCCGATTCCCGTCTCGAGGGCCCGGCAGAGATGGAAGCCGATTTTGGCGCCTGGAGCGGTGCGTCCTAACCCGCCCTGGGCCGCATGATTTGCTCCAGCAAGGTGCATAAAGAGCGAATAAAACCGCACCGAATTGTTACTTGCGAGTCATCCTACTGCTGTGCCGGCTGCTCCCGTTGTCCCGAACCTAATTGGCGTTTAATCCAATCGACATAGCGGATTCGCCGACCTCTCGCCACGCCAAGGAGGTCTTGAAGCCCTCCATAGACGAGTCCAGCAACGACAGCCGCCTTGGTGGTTCTGGCAGTCATGGGCAACGAGAAACGATCTGCGGCCGCGTTAGCAACAGCCCCGGATCTCCTGCAAGCCTACCGCTTAGGGGGGCCGTACTCCAACAGCTGAATGCTCCTGCAACCGCGACGCAAGATGTGACGGTGTTGAGGAGGTCCGCTGTACCGCGATACGAGTCGAACATCTGCTCTATCGCGAATGTTGCCGTGCTCCAAAAACATATCTTGAGGCCCATCTTGAACCCTTCCCGGACTCCGCCGTAAGCAACCTGGTAATTTTTACTCTTGTGGTACAGAAACCATCCGGTCGTAGTGGTAGGCAGCTTGTGTGCATGCTCGGCTCGAAATCGCAACCCAGCCGATTTTCCTCCCTTGGCCGTTCCCAAGGTAAACCCGGCGAGGAAGGACAGCCCAGAGGCCATGGGAATTCTAAGGCCGGGCGGCATCGAGAGACGACAGTTGCGATAATAGAGCTCCATCTCTTCCTTTGTACGTAGGTGCCCCAGGTCGGGGGGAATGCCCGGGGGTGTCTTGTCCTCGGCCGTAGCCATGGCTTTTTCTCTGGTGGCGCAACTCCGCGCAGACGCAGGTTGTAGAAGTAGTGGAATCCCTGGCGTAGGCAAACCGCGCGGAAGAGATCGACGAAGAGAATAGCAGAATGCTTGTTAGCGTGGTATTCTCCCAATCTCCTCTTGCATCAGCATGCGGCGAATGCGGCTGATGACGGGACTCGGGAGCTCAAAAAAGAGTCCGGTTGAAGGGATGGTCCAAGCTCCAAGCTCCGAGATGCTCACTAGGGATGGGAAATTTCAAGGAGGGCCTTGAATTTTATTTCACAGCTGGCCGTGAAATTAAGTTGAAATTTCACAATTTCAGGGCAAATCAAATTGGGAAGGCGGTAAGGCTCCGGGTTAGGGTTATACACAGGCACTCTTGCCCAACAACACTCTTTCCAATGCTCCTCGGGCTCTCTTAGTCTCCCAGACCCCTATTAAGAGTGGCTAATTCAAGGCCCTACCCTACTGTCTGAAGATTTGAAATTTCAAGGCCTAGATTGAATTTCAATTTCAAGCAAAAATGGCTGAAATTCGGAAATTTGAAATTTCATTTCCCCTCACTAGTGCTCACCACCTTGGCCCCACAGCTCGCTAAAATAAGCTCGGCCAATGCAAGCCATCTCCGCCTTGGCAGGGACCCTTCTGTCAACACCACACCTAGTACACCTAGCAAACGCAGGACGTTGCCTTGTACATGAATTCTCAGAGAAACTAAATCTAGTGTAACTAGGTTCTTCCCGTCAGTTCTCGAGCTTCCCCTAGCCGGAATCATGGTATGCTTGAGTCCACTCTTGATCGCACATTCCGTCCACACATCTCGTCCAGTCGCACAACAAATTGCTCCTCATATGTTTTCCCTTCGCGCTGACCAAATCTCTTCTACAGCCTCGGAACACGCACAACCCCGTCGACGACCCCGCGATTACAGTACGCTTGAAGCACGGTATCCACACAATTTTCCTGTTTGCAATGCCCGACTGGACCTTTTCGCGACTCACCGCCGAGCTTCTATTTATCCTCCAAGACCGCTACCCGGACGGCCTGACCACCTCGATCTCTCGAGCCATCACGACATCGGTTCCAGCCAGCGGGGATGATGTCAAGGTCGTTTATGCGCGTCCCAAAAACCCCAACGACTTGTCTGAGGGATGGAAGAATCTAAATGCTCAGCCTACGGACACGATAGCTGAGAAAGGACTCAAGGAGAACTGCGCTGTGGCTTTCGCGCTGTTGGACCCCGAGGCGGATGTTGAGGATGTTGAGTTTCTCGTCGAGCTTCCCATGCAAGATTACGATGAGGCATGAGAGCTTCGCACGGCATCGAGCATGAGGGTAACAAGGGAATATGCGCTGGGATTAGGTCTAGTGTCAGGGCCACACGACCAGCCCCAAACAACTCTATGCAAATGTGCGCCCAGAATACGTACGCCGGTTGCTGGATATTGCTGGAAACTGATCGGTGAGCTCAACAGCAATTCCGCCATTCAAAACCGAATGAGCAGTTCCAAGCTGACGGTGAGCCAGTGCAAACTAGCCTCTTGTCATTGTGAGAACTTGGGCGGTACGTCACACGTGGCCCTTATCCGAGACGGACTGGAAATATCCCCTGCCCTCCATTATAGCGAGCTGAATGAGCGAGAGAACATTTCCCTAGATACGGCCTGTCATATACAAGGTCATGTTTCGCCTGGTGCGATGGCTTATGCTTGCCACCTACCGGCTGGACATGAGAACCCGGGCCCTCGAATTGGCCCATAGAAAGGCTTGGATTGTTCCTGCAGAAGTAGTCTAAAGGATTTCATTGGGAGCATGTGCAGCATGGAGTAGGAGTTCCATTTGTTCCTAGACTGCTAGGGTTGCCTTTGCATTCACTGTCGGTAGGACCGCGATGTAAAGATGCACGCAGTGCCACGATATTCCCAGACAGCTCAGCTTTGCTCGGTTGTGTAGTGTAGCGGTTAGCACTTTGGATTTTGAAGAGATCAGTCTCTCATTCCAACAACCCCGGTTCGAACCCGGGCACGACCTTATTTTTGTCTTCCTTGAACGAGGTCTTTGTGAAGGTGGCTTTCTAGGTCTTTGTAGCCAAGGAGCGACTCAGGCCATGGATATGTATATTATCTGCAACGAAAGGGGTTGAGTATATTACCAGCATGAGATGATTGAAAACGACTCGGAACATCTCATGTATTGGTTGGCATCATGGGCATATGTGGGGAGAGGACTGTTGAATTCACAATATTCTCGCTTCGTACCTGACTCATCCCAATCGACCTGGATTATCGTTTTGCTCTTGCTACAGATACCTACATAGGGAAAACACATGGGCAATTTTGTTTGCATGACAGGGTCCAGGCTCCTTTGGAACATAGTACTAGTTCAAAGGTAAGCTGAGAAAAACTATCGGTCAACAATTGCTATCAATCTGTTTCAGCTAGTCCAGGACCCTATAGATGAGGACTCAAAACTATATGCCAAGTTTCCAACAGATACTATCCAGCTATAATACTTCAAATTATTATTGAGATATGTCCTGGGGTCGGAAGCCGGAAACCTCAGCTAGTATCGATCTTGCTCGGACTCGACAATGATACAATCTCATCTGCATTTCTACCTACTTCCCTAGGTACCTGAGCATATTTGCTTCCTCGTTTGGGTCCCTGCGTTGGAGCTTAGCACTTACTACAAGCACAGTTTTTACATGACTGAACTGACCCGATTCGTCTTGCTTTTCCGAGTCCTCTTGACTTTCTCTCTCAGACTCTCTGTGTCTCAGTTCTTTCCCCAAGCCACGAGAGCACCTAGGCATTGCAGCTTGAAAGGGGTTTTGTCTTCTTGAATCATTATGTCCGACTCGGAGCCGATCAGTACTGAGGCTCCGAGCCACTATATCTAAATTTCCGGAAACAGCCTGGGAAGCGGCCTGCGGACAGCCTTGGATGTCACGACAAGTTACCTGATCTTGAGGCTTGAGGCGCCAGGCAGCACAGCGGTTGTGCTGGAGCCAGCGAGACTCTGTCTGGCCAAAGGCCCAAAGTACACACTTGCAGCCAGGGTCGAACAAACCAACAGTGACATAGCAAAAGAAAGGTATCACATGTAGTCGTGTAGTAACTTGATTGGAACTTAGCTCAGGCCTCAGGACCGGAGCGTTCTTGGTGAATCCGATCACCTGTGTCAACCCGATCACCTGTGTTAACGGGCGTGAGACCGTTAATATCCTAATATTACATTGGTAAGGTACCTTAAATATTGTGGTAGGCAGCGAACGTTACCATTCTAGGGGCTGCTATCACGGGTACCAGACGATGCAGTGGCATGCCATATGTAGCCCGGGGCCGGTAGCCAAGGTTCATTTGCCTGGGAGCTCAAGCTTCATTGGGATTTTGCCTCCCAGGTCGCTTAGATGCAACCTTGGGGCGGTGTTGGAGGATCGTCTTCAGATACAGGACCCAGCCTCGACCCAGCCGCCAGCATCTCAAGTGGGTGCAGTGCAGATGCAGGCAGCTTGAGGATGGGGGAACGTCAACCGTGTCATTCGCACGTGCCAATCTACAGCAGTATTGATAAGTGGTAGTAGCAACATTGAACTCAATTCGAACCCCTGTTATCCTAGGTACCTTACTCAAGAAGAATGCATTGCCGGGGTCAGACATGGCTGATGGCCGTCACAGTTGTGATTGTCGTGCTTGTCCCTGGTAAGCGGTAAGAACTAAGAACTTAAGAAGCACCGATTCCCCTCAAGCCCACCTAGCATCGAGGTCATGCCGAAGGCCGCCATTCCTATGTAGTTCCCAACAGACATGTAAGAGTAGGATATTTTAAGTTTTGGTGCGAGAACACCAAGCAAAAGCGAGGAGCACCCCCATCTGGTCCCATGTCCGCGCAGTTTAGACGGCACCGGCCTTCCGGGTTCAGTTATGGGAGGAACTGACTAAGGTACGAGACGGCCTCGTTATGAGATCTTATCTTTATTGCCTTCAGTTGAAACCTGCAACTTGAACTTTGCCCATGCCGTATCCATGGGACCTGAATGGACCAGCAGTGACAAGTACATACATACCGCATATACTCATAGGAAACCCATTTACGCTAGAATCGACGCTACTGCAGCCAGGCCTCGCTTCCACTGTCGCTCTCTGACAACCGTTCAACGACAACCAACCAAAGTCCGCCTATGACCACTTTTGATCGCCGTTCTCGAGATTTTTGCTGAGAGCCAAGGAGAGCTCGAGCGAGCAGTCGAAAAATCATCCCTTTGACCGTGGAATGAGCCTATTTCTTAGCAAAACGCGAAAAAACACGAAACTGGCCAATGGATAAGCTTTCCAGCCGCCAAGCCAGAAAACAGTACATTTCGCTACTTCGTTGGCCAGGCCATCCAGAGCTTACAGAAACCAAGCCATATCTTCAGTCAGGTCAAAGGAGCCTATATACATCA